CCGCCCCTACCTTCGCCTCAGAGGACGCCGTGCGTGCTTGGAAGCTTTGGCTTTTCCTCCTGCGCATGCTGCTTTCCCGCCCCGCCGGAACTGACCGAGTGCCGAAACAGGCCAGTCTCGCAAGGTTCACTGCCTTTTTTCGGGGTGACTGGGAACCCCTGCTCCGCGCAGCGCTAGCCGAGGCCGGCGCCCCAGCCAGGCCCACCACCAACACCACAGATGACTTGCCACGCCGACTGGAGCGCGCCACCCGTTTAGCACACCTTGGCGAACTGTCCGCGGCTCGGCAAGCCCTCACGTCTGAACCCCTTGCCCCACCAACTGAGGCCACTCTCCAACAGCTCACGGACCCCTCGCGGCGGCCAGCTGAGCCTTACCGCCCGCTGCCCCAAGACGTCCTGGATGCTGCCCCAGCTGACCCCCTAGCGCTCGACCGCCCGGCGCTCCTTGCTAACCTGCGGCGGGCAGGGCACGCCGCGGTGCTGCGCCAGGCCCCAGCGGCTATACGGCTGAAATCCTCCGCTTGGTTTTGGACGAGGATGATGCATCACAACTGTTGTGTGACGTCGCTTCCTTGCTCGCTCAAGCGCATGTGCCGGAGCCCGCTGTCGAAGGCCTTGCGCTGGGCCGCCTCGTCGCCCTCAGCAAACCAGGCGGGGGCACGCGAGGCTTGGTGGTTGGCGACTTCCTGCGACGGCTCGTTGCCAGGACCATTGCACAACAGTTCGCCTCCAACTTCGAAGCCGCCTGCAATCCCTACCAATATGCCCTCTCCACGCGGGCCGGTGCCGAAGCGCTGGTGCATACTTTGCAGGCGCGCACGCAGGCCGACCCGAACTTGACACTCCTGTCGGTTGATGCTGCAGCTGCGTATGACCTTGTTAGCCGGGAAGCTATGCTAACTGCACTGCGGGATACGCCCAGCACGCTATCCATCCTCCCCTTCGCTCGAATGTGGTACGCTCGGGAGTCGTGTTATGTCTGGGCCGCGGGCGACAGCTCCCACCGCATCCCCCAAGCTGAGGGTGGTGAGCAGGGGGACCCCTTGATGCCGGCCATGTTCTCACTCGCCCTGCATCCCGCCCTCCGGGCTCTGCAGCCTGAGCTTCTCCCAGGCGAGCAGGCACTGGCATATCTTGACGACGTTTACATCCTCGCCCCCCCTGATAGAGTCGCTGAGTTGTACCGACGACTTGAGCACCACTTGTGGCATCACGTGCGCCTCCGCCTCAAGGCTGCTAAGACAAAGGTTTGGAACTCCGCTGGCACTCTCCCACCAGGTGTGCTTGCCCTTGCCCCTGACTCCCCGATCTGGGTTGGTGGCCAAGAAACTCCCTTGGCAGAGCGTGGTGTTGTTGCCCTTGGTGTTCCTCTTGGCACTCCGGAGTTCGTCGAGGCCCGCCTGTGTGCCGCCCTTGCCCAGCGCCGCGTGCGCAATATGCCCTCCGCACCCTCCCGCTAGAAAGCACACGCGGCTACGCGGCAGGCCATGATGGCGCAGTCCTCCGCTGCCTTTCCGCGCTCCTGTTTGCCGATGAGGCGTCGCAGCTGCCTGAACCTGCTCAGGCGCGCGCGCAGCTGGCATTGCGGCACGGCGGCCTTGGCTTGCGCAGCGCGACACGCCATGCGCCAGCTGCCTACTGGGCTTCGTGGGCGGACGCCTTGCGTGCCATCGCCCGGCGCGACCCCGACTTTGCACGTGAGGTCGCCGGCTCCCTCGCATCTGACCGGCCACTCCCGCCGGCCCTGCAATCAGCGCGAGATGCCCGGGACTCGCTCTCTGCCGTTGGCTTCGAGCCCCCTGCCTGGGCGGAGTTGCTGCGTGCTCAAGTGCAAGCCCTCCCTGAAGACGACCCTTCCCTTGACCTCACTCGCGGGTGGCAGCGCCCGGCGTCCCTGCGGGAGGCCGATCCTGCCTCGGCCGCCCTGCTGGAGTCGCAGGCCGGACCTCACGCTGCGCGCGTTCTCACCACGCGTCCCACCCTGCCGGAGTTCACCCTGAGTCGCCCCTTTTCCGGGTCATACTGCTCCGCAGACTCCGGCTGCCGTTGCCGCTGACCTCTGCCAGATGCCGGTGCCGCGCAATCCATGATCCTTACGGCGACCATCTCGCAGCCTGCCCTCGCTCTGGTGTTCTTCGTGCGCGGGGCGGCCCTCTTGAGCGTGCTGCTGCCAGGATGTGCCGCGAAGCTGGTGCGGCCGTCGCCCTCAATGTGCTTGTCCGCGACCTCAACGTCGACCCCATCCGGCAAGACGACAGGCGCATCGAGGTCATTGCCAACGGCCTGCCACTGTGGGGAGGAGCGCAACTCGCAGTCGACACCACGCTCGTGTCTCCCCTGACGGCTGCCGTGCTCCCCCGCAGGGTTGCCGGTGCCACAGCTGGCGCTGCGCTTTTGACTGCCCGACGTGCCAAGGAGCGCACATACCCTGAATTGTGCGGGTCGGGCCGCTGCCGGCTGACCGTCGTCGCGCTCGAGCTTGGAGGGCGCTGGAGCACTGAGGCCGCAACCTTTGTCCGCCTGCTCGCAAGGTGCAAGGCGCGGTCAGCACCGCCCCCTTCACGAGCCGCCGCCATCTCTGCCTACACGCTCCGATGTTCGGCCCTCCTATCCTTCGCTGCCGCGCGCTCCTTCGCTGCCAGCCTGCTCTCTTTGCCTGTCACAGGCACGGCCAATGTCGATGGGGAGCTGCCGCCCCTGAGCGACATCCTCACAGATTCAACTGCACAGCCACCACACGCCAGCCGCCTGGCATGACCGCCCGCTGCCTGTTGCCCGTAGGATGTCGCCCGGCTGGGGCTGGAGCACAGGGACCGCATTGGACGTTGCCTTCCAGCCACGGAAGCTCCGCGTGTCCGCGGCGTACTACGTTTGTACTACAAAAGTCGATTTTCCAGCCACGGAAGTCCCCGGCGTACTACGTCTGTACTACACAAGTCGACAAAAAAAACGCAACAACACTACGGTTTTCGCACCGCGAGCACGCGAAAACCCGCAGAGGGATGACGTTTGCATGTCAAGAAACGCAAAAACACGACGGTTTTGGCACCGCGCCAACGCCGAAACCCGCAGAGGGGTTACGTTTGTATGTCACCAAACGCAAAACACGACGGTTTTGGCACCGCGCCAACGCCGAAACCCGCAGAGGGTTGTCTGCGGCCACGGAAAAAAGTACCAAAAACGACGGTTTTAGCACCGCGACCCGGCGATTACCCACAGAGGGTTGTCCGCGGACCTAAAGAAACGTAAAAAAACGACGGTTTTAGCACCGCGACCACGCCGAAACCCACAGAGGGTTGTCCGCGCAAATCAAGAGACGTAAAAAACGATGGTTTTAGCACCGCGACCACGCCGAAACCCGCAGAGGGTTGTCCGCGCAAATCAAGAAACGTAAAAAACGACGGGTTTAGCACCGCGACCACGCCGAAACCCGCAGAGGGTTGTCCGCGCAAATCAAGAAACGTAAAAAAACGACGGTTTTAGCACCGCGACCACGCCGAAACCCGCAGAGGGTTGTCCGCGCAAATCAAGAAACGTAAACAAACGACGGTTTTAGCACCGCGACCACGCCGAAACCCGCAGAGGGTTGCAATCCCGATTGGCGATGTCAACCCAGCCCGCCGCCTTAGAAAGCGTAAGTTTGAAATCTAGGACTGGGTACGAAGGTCTACTAAATTCTACGTAAATCTCGTAATTTACTTCAGTCTATGCAATTCACTCTATGCACTTCACTCTATGCACTTCACTCTATGCAATTCACACTATGCAATTCACTCTATGCAATTCACTCTATGCACTTCACTCTATGCACTTCACTCTATGCACTTCACTCTATGCACTTCACTCTATGCACTTGACTCTATGCACTTGACTCTATGCACTTCACTCTATGCACTTGACTCTATGCACTTCACTCTATGCACTTGACTTTATGCACTTGACTTTATGGACTTCACTCTATGCACTTCACTCTATGCACTTCACTCTATGCGCTTCACTCTATGCACTTCACTCCATGCTCTTCACGCTATGCACTTCACTCTATGTACTTCACTCTATGTTGTTGGGTCAGAGGGCTCCGCACGGAAGAACCCTTCGCGATGCTTTCGGGAAAAGGTTTCGTTTGGAAACGCTGTCTCGCCATCAGGTTTTCTAATGACATACACCAACTCTGATTAAAATCATCAACTCATCGTGACATGCTTCGCCTTCGCAATAATTCGGTATGTGCTCAGTGCTGCTGTGTTGTGCGTAGTTTTCGATGCTCCCACTCAGTGATTAGCCAGCCTTTGGTGGAATTTGACCAGCTAGTCCGTGCATGCTTCAGAAGGTCCTCAAGCAGGCTGATAGCCATTCGCAGGCAATGGCACTCATGAGCTTTGCTTGGCCATGTTGCCAAGCAATGCTACCAGGCACATGCAATGAATGTAAAGCTGCCGGTCAATGGATGGCTTGCGCGCTGAATGCATGTTACTGCGGCCATGTGGCTTCACAGGGGTGAGGCCTTTTGGCACAAATGGGTTGATGTGGTAGCGTCAGCGATAAAGCGGAGCATGCTCACATGCTGCTGAACACCTTGGGGCCCCTTGCTTGCCAAGTTCCTCACTTCTTCGCGGCATACATTGTGCACCGTGATAGCACGAAAAGAACCCATTGCCGTTTGAATGTCTGTTGGGCCAAATGCGGCGTTGGAGGCAAACCATCACGAACGCCAACTGCACGTGAGGCCTGGAACCTCAGCTAGGTACAATTGCTGTAAGCATTGCCGGGCGCTTGGGGGAGGTGATGTTGTCGCTTCATAGCACGATTTGTAGCCGCGATGCTCCAAAAACACTTCTTGCCCTGGCCTTAGTGAAAGGATGGGCTCACCAGGCTAAAAAAATCGTTGGTTCTGGCGACAATGGCGACAATGGCAAACGATGAGGACTTGGAAGTGCAAGCGCGGGCCATGGCCGAAAAGACATTGCCGAGCAGCCTTCCGCCAGCTGCTCGTGCGGCCAAGTTGCCGACTGTAACCCAGAAGATTCTGGAAAGACTTAAGAAGCAGCGAGATGAACAGAGCAAGGAGGCACCGGCACCGGGTGCGCCGAACCCGTCGGCAGCCCCAGTCCCAGCCCCGCCAGCCCCGCCAGCGCCACCTCCACCGCCGACATCCCAGCAAGAGGTTGTGCGCATTGAAGGTGTGGAGCTCTTTGGCGACGAGCTGTGGTTTGATGATGCTGATACCCGGCGACGATTGCGGGAATCCGTGATCGAAGCTCATCGTGAAGAAAAGATTTTGGTTGGGCCTCCGGCTGATGAGGTCGAGCGGATCTGCCCCTCCAACGGCCGAATTCTTGGTGCTGGAGCCCCTTGGCTGTTGGCGATGCTTGCCGCAAAATGCTCGCTGTTGTGCATTGCATGACTGATGCTCATGATGCTCATTGTTGGCCACCCTGCTGATGCTCACGTTGCTCGCTGCTCGCATTTGCTCACTGTCCGGCCTGGCTCCTCCCGCCCCGCCGATGCTGATGCTCATGTTGCTCCAACAGGCTCCCCGCTGATGCTCATGTTGCCTGCATTCCGTTCCGCTCGTCGCAAACAGGCCCTGCGCCGATGCGAATGATGCAGTCACATTCAGTCTCAGGTGACACTGGAGATGCGCCGGCAGAGAAAGAGAGAGAGAGAGAGAGAGACTCAGTCCATAGGTTGGGTTTCGCAGACCCAGGCTGTGCTACGCTTGGGAGGCGCCCACCAAGGCGGCTATGGTGAGCAGGATGTGGCCTACGCATATCGGCAATTGGCGCGAGCTCTGCACCCGGACAAGAACCCCAACATTCCAGCAGCAGGGGCTGCCTTCAAGCGATTGTCCGAGGCTGCTGATGAGCTCCGGCAAGGTTTGACAGAGCAGCGGAACGCCTTAAGGACCCTTGTGGCTTTTGCCGGCCGCCAAGCCACCTCCGAGATGTTGGAGCGGCCACAAGAGGCGATTTTTGCGGAAGCTTGTCGAGTGCTTCATACTGTCAGCACCACAGCGGGTGAGGGCCACATCGACCGTCCTGCTCTCAACCGTGCGGCCGCAATCAATTCGCAAAAAGCTCTGCATTTGGCATCAGAATGGTTCCAAAAGCCACAACTGCTAGAGATTTTTGGGGGTGCATCCGTGAGAACCGCTTATGACTGTGCGCCAAAAAGATATCGGGCACATTTCCTTTGTCTCATTAATCGCCTCCTGGTTGTTGAAGCCAGGCAGTTTGGGGATGGGCATATCCGGGCAGGATGGAACGCCATCATGCAAAACTTTCCAGAGCTGGGACTCTGGCGTGAGTTCAGGGATGCTCTCTCCGTGCATGTTTGGGACTCTAGCAAGGATCCGGCAGAGGAAAGAGCTTATGCGGACGAGGAAGAAGCCAAAGATGCAAAGGAGCCTGAGTTAGACGGCCGAACGAAAGCACAGAAGCTGCTTGAGTTCTATTGGCAGACATGCTCAGGGCCAACATTTCAAACCGCGCATGACAAACTTCGGCACCGCGGGAAGATGACTCTGCACCTTGGCGTTATGCAGCTCATGGAAGAGGCCACGCAGGAGGTAGCTACTAAGTTGGGCCTCAAGGAAGGCAAGGATTGGAAGTTCAAGCAGACGGTGGACCTGGTGAAAGAGTATGCTGAAGACGAGGATATTCGAAAGAAAGCTTTGGAGCTGGAACGCATGGTTGATTATCCCGCAGGGAAGCTCTTTGGTATTCGGGAGCAATGTGGGGGCAGTCGCAGCGCGCGACACAGCCGCAGCCGGAGTCGCCGGAGTCGCCGGAGGAGTCGGCGTCGCAGCCCAAGCCGGCGCCGGCGGCGCCGGCGAAGCCGGCGAAGCAGCCAGAGCAGCCGCAGCCGGCGAGATCGCCGCAATCGCCGTGAGCGAGAAGAGAGCAAGGACGGCAAGGACGGCAAGGACGGCAAGGACGGCAAGGATGGCAAGGACGGCAAGGACGGCAACTCCAAGGATGACAAGCGCGTCGTCCGAACGAAAAGCAAGTGGGATGTTGCGGAAGGGGGCAACATACGCGTTCCTGGCCGCACTGCCGACGGGAAGCCCACGTACCGTCGTCAATGGGATGCCAAAGATGGCGATGTGCGGTCCTGTGCAGCGTGGTCAAGGCCTTGGCGCCTGGCCATTGCAGCTATTCTGCCAGGCGGTTTTGATGGCGCCCTGCCATCCACACACCCTGACCTTCGCAAGCTGGTTGCCGCCCTTTGGAGGCACGTTCTCAGATGGGAAGGGGCTGATAGCAGATGTCTTGGGCTTTTCAAAGCAGATGCTCAGACACCACAGACTTTTGGCTGGGCTGGGAGATCAAAGTCTACTCGTGGCCTTGACCCGGACTTGCCAGCGTGTGAGTGGGCGTTTGTCCCGATGTCCGACCTCCTCTTAGTTGTCGGGGAGGGCATTGTAGGCATCACTTCGGAAGGCGTCTATGCGGACAATTTTCCTGGGCATCAGCGTTTCACTCTGGAAGAATACCTCACACATGAGAAAGTCGAAGGCCTGCAAGCCGACACGTAGCATAAAGACATCAAAAAAAGAGGACCGGATCTGCGACGAGCCGTGCGGAGAAACCAGCAGATGGAGTTTTTCAGCTGGCTGCGAGTTTGCATAGCCCGGCGAACGTCAGTATGCCAGTTATTTACCCGTTTGTTTTGCGTGCCTGGAGGTCAGATCCTGATGTTTAGGCATTGAACGCTGACAGGCAGATGACGCCTCGGTTTTCCACCAGACATTTGGCAGCAAATTTGGGATGCCCCGATGAAGCTACGCCCTTCCATCTCCCAACAGTTCCGGACCACGAGCTGTGGCTTGAAATCGGGGCTTTTCCGGGCTGTCTTCCTCTTCCCTGGTTCACAACTTCTCTGCTGGAGCAGCTCAGGGGCCGTTCACAGTTGAGATCATGTGCGCCGCAGGTGGAAGCTTGGCTGGAAGGCCTTGCGCCTCGAGATCTGTTCGAGGTGAAGGTTTTTTTGTTCTCACCATCTCTTTCTCTTTCGCTCCCTTTCTCGCGCCTTTCTTTGAAAGAAGTGAAGGTGAGATCTGTTCCGTTCGGCCTTTCGCGCTTTGGGGCCCGCAGTCGAGGAGGTGTCCGTGTCGCCCCTTCAAGCAACCAGCAGCGCGAATTTTCTCCACATTGTCTTTCGCAAGTCTTAGGTGCAGCACCATTCACAAGAGACGTGATACGCTTATCACAGTTCATCTAGCATGTTTCATGCCCAGCTATGCGGCCACCAAGCATTGACGCTGCACGCAGACATATGCAGACTGTGCTTGCCTTGCCTTCCTGATGGCCTGTCATGGTCCGCTGGCCGTTGAATCTCAATGCACGGACCTCAAAGTGATTCAACGTGCGGCAGCTTAGCAAATGCTTAGCAACCTAGCAGCTTAGCAGCTTAGCAGCGCTGAAGCTGAAGGATCGCAAGCACGAAGGTGCAGTGCTCGGCGAAAGAACCTCGGTGAGGCTATTCCTCAGTCATCTCTGTGGGGGCTCGGAGTGTCGGAGTGGCGGCGAGGCAATTCGTAAGGCTTCATGGACCAGCTGCTTCGGACGGGCCCTGGCCCAGGTAAGCGACTTGCCCTTGCGAGAGGATAAACAAGAATGCAAGACCTGCCAAGTGCCAGGTTCGATTCAGAAGAAGCCGGTTCCCAGCGTGTCGGCACCTGATCCACCTGATCCTTGGGGGCTTCTGGGGGGATGCCTTGATGCCTTGGAGATCTGAAAAATCTCTTGAGCCTGCAGGCCGAGAGATCACGCACTCGGTCCAGCAAGCGCAACTGTCAGGAAGAGTTATCTACGTTAAGTGGCTATAGATGAGAGTTACTACATGAACAACTCCGTGCTACTCGCTTGTGCAGTGCTTGTAGTGGTGACAAAGGATGAAGTTTGAAGTTGTGCAGGAGTGGTCGGCCTCTGGCAACCTGGGTCGACGACTTGGGGTCAGGGCCCCCTGCAGCCCCAACGCTGGTGGTCACCCACAAAGTGTGTCTTGGCCAGAGGTGAAAGATGGGGAAAGCCTTGTGTTGCAGACAGGGCTGTCAGCAGAGGAGCCCGCGTGGTGCGTCCTCTGCATGGACGTGCCAAATCTGCAGCGAGCGCAGCATTCCTGCCAGCCTGTCGAGCTGTCCGACATGCAAGCGAAGTCGCGGGACGGAGCTCAGACGTTCCTACATGACGGCCGCAGAGTTCCTTGGCACTTTCTTGGCCGCAGTTCCGCCAGTGCCGTTATTTCGTGCCGCTACCGCTAGTGTAGCTGTCCAACAGAAGAAGCAATCGACAAGCAATTTCGATCAATAGGTTTATGAAGGGGTTTTTGCATGCTTTCCCAGCCAAAAGAGAGAGCGAGAGAGAGAGAGAGAGAGAGACCGGGAGAGAGAGAGAGAGAGAGAGAGACAGAGAGACGCAGAGAGAGACAGAGAGAGAGAGAGAGAGAGCAGCGCAGGTGCCAACCACAGGCATGAGAAAAGTGATCCAACAGCCAGCACGAGCCCGACTGATAGCCCAGAGCCGCTGAGCAGATCCGTAGAGTGGCGGCCAGCCGACGCCAGGAAGGCCTTCTGAAAACCCAGTAATTGGTGATGAGTGGACAATAGGAGATGAGGAGCAAGGCACACCTGGGACAGGGGACAAAGAGTAGTCAGTCTAACGTTTCTTGGCGCCCTCCCCTCCCTCCACTTCTGGGTCCCGGGTGCTTCTGATGGGGTTTGTGAGTCGGTTGTTGGCACAGAGCCAAGTGATGTTTCTGGCGTTTTCGGCGTGCGTATCCGCCCCACTAGGCCTTGCGAAAGATAGACAGCAAGAAAGAAAGAATGAAGAAAGAAAGAAAAACAGAAAAGAGAGCAAGTCCGAACCCGCCAAAGCTTGAGCCGGCGTACCGGCTGTTTGAAGATCAAGGCGGTGGTGGAGGCGAGAACGAGGGGGAGGGCATGGTTTTACGCCAGGCACAATGACATCCACAGGAGATCTCGTTAGCCCCACAAGCGCGATAACCCAACACCTCAATCACCTCAAGCACCATCCAAGCAGCCGCCTCAGCACCGGGCTCTGACACCCCCGATGCCACCAGCCCCCATCCAAGCTTGGAGAGGCCACCGAAGATTTCACCGCACCACCAGACCCTTCCAGACCCTTCCAGACCCTTCCATGCCACCAACACAGGGACGGACCTCCGAACCGGAGGAATCAGTGGATAGCAGTCGACACAAATTTCGGCATGTCGCTGCGACATGTCTAACCTTCGTAAGTGGCATGACCGAAATTCTTTTGGCACGAAATCTCAGCTTGGACGGGACAAACGCCAAGAGTGGCTGGACAATCTTGAGGGTCACTTTTTGCGCCTTGAAGTGTTGCAGTTGTGCTACGAGGAAACGAAAGAATCCGAAACCGTGAGAAGGAGTGATTTGGGAAAATCAAACCAGGATGACGGAGTCTGTGGTCAATGCCGTGAATGGCGCCGAGCTTCAAGCAGGAGGCCTGCGGTCTGCAGTGAGGCTGCCTTAAGCTGCCTTAAGCTGCCTTAAGCTGCCTTAAGCTGGTTTAAGTTTAGCTTCTTTGAGATCTTGTGAGATGTCGTGAGGCTCGGCAGCGCCAAGCTTCAAAGCACAGCGGCGCGGCACTAGCCCATCCAGAGCTCGTGGAGAGGCAGCGACTTTACCTGGCCAGAGCCTCAAGAGTTTCAATGTGGTGCCTCATCGTGAGAGAGATCGTGTCCAAGCTTGGGAGTTGGGGGGCGCAGTTGACACGCACCGTTGCAGGCAGAACAGTCACCACCAAAGAGCGCGGTCTTGCTCCCGCTCTCGGCGGCAATGGTGGCTCCGGTGCACGCGTCACCTTCATGGATGGTCTTGGTGTTCGAAGTGTTCGAACGCCCGACGTGAAAAGAGAGAAGCACAAAGAAGACAGCTTTGGCTTCCCAGGCCGAGGAGGTCCAAACTCTGAGTGTTCCTAATCCTTGGCCAGAGCTTATTGAGCTTATTCCCCGCTGTTCCTGTTCTGACAGGCAGGCCCAGAGGACATGCATGGGACTCGGCTTCACGCTTTGCAACTCTTTGTGAACAGTAGGAGGCAGCATTTGTTTACATCTGCGGACCTTTTTCTTTGACTGGGGGGCAGGCCGCGGATCGACAGGAGGAAGAGCATGAGGTGGCAGACAGAGACAGAGAAAGAGAGAATTTGTTCTCCTGCTTTGAAAAGAGATGTTCAGACATGTTCAGACACCACTCCGACCGCTCCGCCCACTCATCTCCAACCTACCAGAGGCCGATGGAAGTGGTAGGGGCGTCCGAGACTCACGTCTTGCCAGTGCACGTCTCTGGGCTCTGGGCAGGCTCCACGGAACACGGGAGGTCGCCATTCAGGTGGACTGTCGCTGCATTCTGAACCGGGTATCTGCAACTCAAACAGGTCTGGCGGACGTCCATGAGCCTCCGCCGCCGTACATGCCACCTGAGCCGCTGCCCGCAAGCCCGCTGGAGCATCCGCCAGCTGCCCAGGGAGCACAGGCATCCTCTGGCAGCGTCCGATTTGCTTTGTGTGGCCCGGTCAGGCCAAAAGGATTTCGAAGTGGAGGCCCACGATGCAGCGTGCCAGTGAAATTTGAAAAAACATCCTTGTGGGTGCGTGCGCATGTGCGTGTCCACATCCCTTTGCTGAAGGGAGGGGTCGCATATCTCGGCCGGGCGTGGCAACCGTGCTACTGCCATGCCGACGAAGCTGGTAGATACAGGTGAGGATATCCTTCCATACAATCTCGGCCGGGCGTGGCAACCGTACTACTGCCATGCCGACGAAGCTGGTAGATACAGGTGAGGATATCCTTCCATACATGCATATACATTCTGTAGTACGCAGAAGATTGTCAGTTTCTCTGCCGTTGCTCGGCACACTGTGTATTTGGTGGGGTCAAGGAAGATGGTTTTGGGCGGTTGCTGGTTGTGTGGTCACTGCTGGGAGCGGGTTGCTGCAATTCCGACTTATCCGCAGTTCGTCTTGCTTAATCCCTACAATCAATCATCAATCAAAACTTGAAAATGGACCTCGATTTCAAACAACCCACATAACTTGTGATTTCAAATCGTACGAGTGACCAAGCCAGCTCCCTGGGACATGTTGGCACAGCTGCGCGCCAATTGCCTGTGGCTTGCCGGTACCTGAGCCCCTTCCGGCACATTTGCCTCATGCTGTGCTGCCTGAAAGCTGTACTGCCTGCTGTGCTGAGCACACCACGTCACATGATGCGTGCCTTTTTGTCCTTAAGATCTGATAACCCGCTTGTGGTGCGAACCAGAATCAGCATGGAAAACAGCAAAGCGCACAGCCCAACGCTGCACTTGGGACAAGGTGGGGATGTTCCAAGTATTGACTTGTCGGATGCTGTGTATCATACGTGTTTCGTATCTGTCTAGACTACTCGGTCGGCCATTGGTCGGCTCCAAGTAACTGCAACTCTGTGTGCGTGTGTGTGTGTGTGTGTGTGTGTGTGTGTGTGTGTGTGTGTGTGTGTGTGTGTGTGTGTGTGTGTGTGTGTGTGTGTGTGTGTGTGTGTGTGTGTGTGTGTGTGTGTGTGTGTGTGTGTGTGTGTGTGTGTGTGTGTGTGTGTGTGTGTGTGTGTGTGTGTGTGTGTGTGTGTGTGTGTGTGTGTGTGTGTGTTGTGTGTGTGTGTGTGTGTGTGTGTGTGTGTGTGTGTGTGTGTGTGTGTGTGTGTGTGTGTGTGTGTGTGTGTGTGTGTGTGTGTGTGTGTGTGTGTGTGTGTGTGTGTGTGTGGTGTGTGTGTGTGTGTGTGTGTGTGTGTGTGTGGTGTGTGTGGTGTGTGTGTGTGTGTGTGTGTGTGTGTGTGTGTGTGTGTGTGTGTGTGTGTGTGTGTGTGTGTGTGTGTGGTGTGTGTGTGTGTGTGTGTGTGTGTGTGTGTGTGTGTGTGTGTGTGTGTGTGGTGGGTGGGTGTGTGTGGGTGGGTGGGTGTGGGTGCGTGTGCGAGTGCGTGTGCGTGTGCGAGTGCGTGTGCGTGTGCGTGTGTGTGTTTGGGAGCTCGAAGTTCCAAGAAAATACCGTCCCGCCTCCGCTTCATCAGTTCAACTTTGCTTTGGTTGACAACATGCATGGGGACCAGGCACCTAGGATCTTGTATTGTTCAACCGACAGACCCTGATTATGGCATATTCCGCAATGTGCGTGGTCCCGGTTTACCTCAAAGTAGAACGCGCTGGATGTCACACATTGCACATCCCAACTGGTGTGTGACTTGGTAGGTCAAGCTAAACCTGTGACATGAACATGGCTCTCCTTTGCTAGCTCTCCTTTACTAATTGTAATGTTGTGACAGCAGGTTCAGGCTCAAACGGCGCCGCATTGATCCCAGTACTTCCGCCGGTGTTGAGCACGTGGATGTGTTTGTGATGAGTTTCGAGTCTCACACTCCCCATGTAGTAAGTATTTGGTAGTTTTTGTCACACTGGATGTCAAATTCCGCTGGACGATTTGGCTGTCTTCAGGCATGATCTGGCGTTGTCATACGCGCAGGTAGAACTTCTTGCTTTTTTCCCGCGCACCATGCACGCCGCCACGACGTTACCGCTGAAAGAGTTGTGTGTGTGTGTGTGTGTGTACGACACCTTGCTTGCGGGATTTGCTCGTCTTTCATGATTTCCAGCAGGGGCGTGGGAGGCCCTTGGAGGCCCTTGCTAACAGAGACATCTTTGAGTCCCGACTCACGTGCCTGCATCCTTTTTCAGGGTTTAGGTGTGTGATGTGTGGGTTGGGGTGCACCGTAATTACCGTAATCATTGGAAAGTCAGAGGGAGGATTGCGCAAGTGTTGTGTTTTGTGAAGGCCGCGACAGAGGCATGGCTGGGCCACCGCTTCCAAATCCGGCCAGCAGTGCCGCGCCGGAAAACGCTTTGCCTGTGCTTATTCAAAGAGCCATCCCAAGCCATGCCCTTAGAGTGCTGCAAGAATGAGAGGCGATGCCTGGCCGACTTCAGACTGGGTCTCGGGCCGGCAAGCGGGCAGCGCTCCAACTGGGGCCGCGGCGAGCGCGGCGAGCGCGGCGAGCTCTGCTCCTGCTTTCTTTGGAGGCGAGCCGAGCACCTGATCCAATAGATTTCTTTGTGGCCCTTTTTCTCTGCTTTGAGGAAGCCTCACGCAGCCCCGCAAAGAAGGCAGAGCAGAGCGCGGCATCCTGAGCATGCTTTCAGAGCATCGTGTCGAGAGGGCTACTGTAGCCGGGCTGGCAGTGCCCTTGTGAGGCAAGAGTGTGCAGCCCGTGGCGCACGCACAGCCTCCTTCCTCGGCAGAGGCAAGTGTGGCATCTTCTCTTCGACCCTAATGCGTGTTGTGATCTGCAGGTGAGGCATGTCAGGGAGACTGTCCCGAAGGAATCGCCGGCGCGGCCAGCACGGCTAGGTGGGGGAGCACGGGACAACTGGGGCACATAGGACGGGAAGAAAAAAGGAATGCAAGACGGTGCAGTCACCCGCAAGGTCGATCCATGGAAGAACCGCCACGGCCTCTTCCCATGGCAGGCAGTGTCCAATCTTCACTAGGAATTTGAGCCAGATCGGTTTTGTCCTGGGCAGAATCGGCGTCGGCACCCTCGCTGCACGCAACGGCGAAGCAAACGCAGGAAGCTCCTGCATGCATCAGCATCAGCATGCAAATCAGCCCCATCACCATCCCATCACCCATCACCTGGCGCTCATCAGCTTCGACGGAGATTTTCCATCAGGTGCGTGCCAGGAAGCCGGAGGTCGCAGATGTGAACATGGACATCGAAGCGGTGCTGGAGGACTGCACACATTGACAGCACTTTTCCAAGACTGTTAAGTTGGTGGCTTGATGTTGATTCAGCTTTTCCCCTTGTTCCCCTTGTAAGTTCCGGCTTCTCAAGCCAACTCGAAAGGCACAGAAGCGGCGCATCGAGGGCTTGAAGAACAAGCTCAACATGACCATTGCCTGAACCTCCCATTCGTGGGAGACGTAGCGGACGCAGCGACCTTTTAGAAGATCTCCGCGAATTCACCCCCGAGAGAAAAGAGAAAGGCACTAGATCTGCATCGTGGTTCGGTCGCGGCAGGTCTTGTGTTGTTGCTCAGAGTGAGTATAGATCTTTTAGTTGCAATCGCTTGCGCGCGCCGCCTCGGAAAGTTATCCATCCAAGGGGGGGGGGGGGGGGGTGCGGTCTCAGCAGGGGTCCCAGCGGGTTCCTGGAGTCTAAAGTTCCAGAAATCTTTGATGTTTCATTGTGTTTCTACCCCTTCCCCAATCAGCTCCAAAACAAAAGTCTTGACACCAGAGCTGCTGATTCAGGGAAACTCTGACAGCAAAAGCTCGACGAAATTGCTTGGTCCAGCAGCTGCAAGCAGGTATCGGACCTCTTGTCGCAAAGCTTTCGGATTGTGTTGCCAAACATCACCAAACCTTTCGAATTTCCATACGCGATGCCAGAAAGATCAATCAAAAGCGCGTTCGTGTTACGGGCATCTTTCATTTGAACATTTCTCGTAGTTCTCCATCCTCAGCTGGGACTGCTTGCGGGTGAAGGCGGTTGGTAGTTCCGAAATTTTGCGGCATCTGTGGCCAAGCTTCCATGTACAGTTTGGCCAGTTGCATAGGGCATGGGCTTGTCCACGACGTGGCGGGACTCCACTGCATGAGCCGAATTCCTGTGCCGTTGAAGCTGAACTTGTAGAGCCTCGCGGGAGGGGTAGAACCGGGGCCGAGTTCCAGCCATGGCCTACGGCCCCTTGGCGCAATGCGCCTTCATGTCAGGGCCATCCCCTTTCAAGAAGAAGGCCTGATGGGCATGACATGGCACGAGCATGTAGTGCCTTTGGCCTCTGATGGCATGGGCAGCACGGTGCAATTTGCCATTTGCGCTTCTGTGCTTTGCTGATAGGCGCCGCCCAGCAATGAGAAGAAGACGTTCAAAGACATGCTGCCGCCGTGGAAAGCGCCAGATCGATGTGAAGCACCTCCACCAGGTTCTTTCATGTTGTACTGCTTCGATATGGAAGAGGCAAAGGCGGATCCCAATGCCGCAAGTCGGTCGCTGCCGTTGGACGAAATGTCTGCCGTCGTTTTTGGCTCTTCGCAGGATGTCGACGGCATGGTCTATGATGGCAACAAGGGCGTCAGGCCAGAGCATGCCGCCATCTACTACATGAAGAGTCGGTGGTTCCTCAAGGCAGTCAATGGGCCGGTGACAGTTGAGAGTATGACATTGCACCCCCACCTCAAAGACTCAGATGGCAAGCCGCCCAAGCGCTACTCCTCGGCGATAACCAAGAAGATGGAGACCATAGAGCCCATGGACGCAAAGAGAAAGCTGACCAGAGAGTTCTGTGTGTTTCGTCTTGGCGACTCAGACCGTCGGTTCTGGATTGGTGGGCCTTTGCCAGTGGGCGATGGAGAAACAGAAGAGGCCGGCAGTGGTGCAGGGGCTGCGCCCGAAGGCCGTGCCGAGCGGAAGAAAGACCGCAAAGAGCGAGAGAAGGAGCGCGACCGCAAGGAGGATCGCGACCGGGATCGCTCACGCTCCCCTCGCAGTCGCAGCCGCAAGAGAAGGCGCTAAGACGCTGAGCCTACCAGCTCCCAATACTGCGGACATGCGGATGTGGAATCTAAGGGAAATGGCTCATTGCTGCTTCAGCCGTGACAGATGCACAGTGTCTTCGGTCTTGTGCCGTGGGTGGTGGGACTTGCTCACATGTGTCGTAGTCTCTGTTGAACTGCAGCACCATGTAATGATGGAGTATAGTTTCGACACCTGCCCAGCTTACCGAAATTTGTCCTGTTCATTCACGCTGCCGCTGCTGTGAAGGTACTAGCCTGCGATTTCCCAGGTGTGGGGCCTCGCGGGAGGGGTAGAACCGGGGCCGAGTTCCAGCCATGGCCTACGGCCCCTTGGCGCAATGCGCCTTCATGTCAGGGCCATCCCCTTTCAAGAAGAAGGCCTGATGGGCATGACATGGCACGAGCATGTAGTGCCTTTGGCCTCTGATGGCATGGGCAGCACGGTGCAATTTGCCATTTGCGCTTCTGTGCTTTGCTGATAGGCGCCGCCCAGCAATGAGAAGAAGACGTTCAAAGACATGCTGCCGCCGTGGAAACCGCCAGATCGATGTGAAGCACCTCCACCAGGTTCTTTCATGTTGTACTGCTTCGATATGGAAGAGGCAAAGGCGGATCCCAATGCCGCAAGTCGGTCGCTGCCGTTGGACGAAATGTCTGCCGTCGTTTTTGGCTCTTCGCAGGATGTCGACGGCATGGTCTATGATGGCAACAAGGGCGTCAGGCCAGAGCATGCCGCCATCTACTACATGAAGAGTCGGTGGTTCCTCAAGGCAGTCAATGGGCCGGTGACAGTTGAGAGTATGACATTGCACCCCCACCTCAAAGACTCAGATGGCAAGCCGCCCAAGCGCTACTCCTCGGCGATAACCAAGAAGATGGAGACCATAGAGCCCATGGACGCAAAGAGAAAGCTGACCAGAGAGTTCTGTGTGTTTCGTCTTGGCGACTCAGACCGTCGGTTCTGGATTGGTGGGCCTTTGCCAGTGGGCGATGGAGAAACAGAAGAGGCCGGCAGTGGTGCAGGGGCTGCGCCCGAAGGCCGTGCCGAGCGGAAGAAAGACCGCAAAGAGCGAGAGAAGGAGCGCGACCGCAAGGAGGATCGCGACCGGGATCGCTCACGCTCCCCTCGCAGTCGCAGCCGCAAGAGAAGGCGCTAAGACGCTATGCCTATCAAGTTATGTTCGATGCAATTCTGACGGTCGACTGTGCAGCCGGAAAATGTCCTGAGTTTACTTGGCCTGTTGATGCACATGCTTGTGCATTCAGATGCCTTGAAGGGCGTGGCCCCCTGCGATATCCATGATCTGTCCGCTGGCTTCGCACCTGCAGACACTGCAAAATCACACACAAGGCAACAATAAGTGACGCAGTGACGTAGTGACGTGGTGACGTAGTGACGTAGTGACGTAGTGACGTAGTGACGTAGTGATCCAGAGCTCGGAGCCACCCCGGAGCCATCCCGTGCCTTGCCATGGTGGGCAGCGGCTACTGTTGTGTCAGATATTGGATCTTGCTTGTCTTGCTTGTTGCTTTCAACCTGTGTCTGTCCTTGCCTGGGAGCTTGGTAAGGGTGAGCTTCGTCCAGGCTGCACATAGTCACAAGAGGCTCAAGACGCACAAGAGATGCCCACGCAGAAGCAGGGACTTTGAATCAGACTTGTCCGTGCAGGAGATGTTGCGTTTGCACAGCCAACGCTCCAGCCCTGCGCAAAAGCAGGATAAGAGCAAGACACCCGGCTCCAAATCACTGAGCCCACCTCCCAGCATTCTCACACCAGAGGTCCTGCAAGCAAAGCCAAGCTGGCTACGCTCAAAGCCGGCAGCGGAGCTCCCCTGCGTCTTCACGCCTCGGGAGGAGGGTGAGCGGCAGCTTGGGGAGCCCGTTGAACTGAAGTTTTGGCAGAATGCGTACGTCCGGTTGTGGGACTACGCCCGAGCGAACACTGCCGGGGCAGTTGCTGTTCGGTATCGCCGCGGCTCCCTGGCGAGAAGTCCCCACGTCTTCGCCCTATGGCCTGCAGCGCTGCGGGAGCGCCGCGCCCCAAGAGAGATCCAAAAGATCAAGAGAGAGGTGGCTGGTACCTTGGGGCCTTGGGGCCTTGGGGGGGGGGAACCCCAACTTATTTCGCGGCCACACGTGGGTGACTTTATCAGAGTCTCTGAGGCAGCATGCAGGGGCTGATCCTTGGCATGTTCAACCTCACTGCAGGAAGCCGAGTCTTTGACTTTTGAGCAGCTGCAATCACTGCATTCACTGCATAGAGAAATCGCCCAAATGGCCCAATGGCCAAAGAGGAGCCCCCCGAAAAAATGCCACGTAGACTGGCACGTGAGGTCAAGACGGTCAACCCTTTTCCAATTCTGCGCCTCATGCGGCCTCCAGATGAGACAGATGAGGAACATCCGACGCTGTGTGCAGTGTCAGTGAGTGCCAGTGAGTGCCAGTGTGTCACAGGGCCCAATCAAGGGCAAAGACCATCCAAAAGGCACACTGTTGCACATCACATGGCAGTTGCTCTTGAGTCAGGAGCTTGAGGCGAACGAGCCGGCGGAGCTGAACGCCTTCTTAAGAAGCTTGGGGGCAGCTGTAGGATGCCATACCGCGCCGGTGTGAAGATGCTGCCAAAGACAACGCAGAAAGAACAGCAAGGGAGACGAAAAGACCTAAGTAGGGGGAGGGGGGGGGGGGGTGCATTTTCGGACGTGCCACGAGCTAGGAAGCTTGCGGGACCCGACCAAGCAGGGCGCTGCCATTCGAGTTGGACCCTCAGGGCTCTGCGCTAGCCTATGGAGTAGGACACTGCAGGACTTTATGGCGCAGCTCTTTGCGCAACATAAGCGACTCGGTTCATGTGCCCAATCTTGCAAAGACAAGGACATGCCAACCGCTGACCGGCGCGCTTTGCTTGCATGGCTGGCTGCGGGTGGCGGGGGGCCCGTGAACATTTCTTGAGCAGAAAAAGTGCTTTCAGTGCGGTTTTGGGATGCAGTTGATCACTTTGCTTGGCTTGCAAAGCCTTCTGGGAAGTGGTGGTCTGTCTTGCATCCAGAGTAGTGCCGCTCGATGGGAGAATCCTGCATGTAATGGCTCATCGAAGGAGATTCTACTCATTCTACTCTTGCAATGGAGCATCGACCCAAATCTCGTGGCGGCTTGTGAAATGAGAGACGGGGCCAGAAAACTTGGAAAGCAGGAGGCCGAGGAGGCCAAGGAGGCCGAGGAGGCCCAGGAGGCCAAAGAGGAGGCCAAAGAGGAGGCCAAAGGAGGCCGCGCCAACCAGAAGGTCCTTTGTGGCCTGCTGGCAACAAATGCTGCAACATTCTCGCTGTGGATGTTGGCCCCGCATCTTGGGAAGTCCAGTCGTGCGGGCCGCTTGCTAGCAGGTCACTTTCTGTGCAGCCGCTGGCACCTGCGCCATGGGAGGTTTCATACGCTGGTGACAAGCTGCATGTCGCACCAGCGCCCTCTGCATTTTCTTCTAAATTCCTGTGCATTGTGGACAATCGGACGAGTCGCTGCAGAAGAGTTAACAGTCCAGGAGCAGCTATCTCTTGTTTCTGTTTGTTCAGTTGGCTCGAGTCTCGGACACATTGTTTTTCACCAGCGCCCAGTGTTGGGCGCAAGTGGTTTGCTTATGGGCCTTCTATCATCGTCCAGCCTCATCCAACCAGAGCGACGATTTCATGTGCTCTTTGTGGGTACCTTCTCAATGGCGCAGCTGTGCGATGTCGCTCTTGCTTCGAATCTGATTGGCTTTTTTCTGCGCGCTCAACTGTCCTCAGTCGCCTGGGCAGCTCATCTAGGTGGAAGCGCAGCGGGATTTGGCTTTGGCATTGCAGCGCGTCTTTTCGGCGACGCTCGCTTCGCAGACCCGGTTTCGCTCAGGAAAGGCGGGGATCACTGGCGTTTTTAAAACACGGCCAAGAAAAGAATGCCATGGCCTGAAGAGGCAAAGAGGCACTCAGCCGCCCATGCTGTCTTGTAATGTTCTGCAGCTCGGCTCGAGGGAAGAGGGAGCGGAAAGCAACGGCATGGCTGTGGGTTCGGGGCTGAGGTTGTTTGCATGCTTAAGTCACTGCCCCTCGCTTACATCCCGTTTGAAATTCACCCTTTTGACGCTTTTACTCGTGAGGCTCGGGACGACCAAGGCGCTTGCTCTTGGCAGGAAAGCTCTCGCCAGCTGCGTAGAGGGCACATGGGCAGGGGTCGAGCATGGTAGAGCCATGTAGAGCCAAGAGACGCCAAAGGGGCTTTCGGCTTGTTTCTCTCAGTTTTCTCGCCAGGAGCTGCAGGCGGCCTGGCAGTGTGGTTTCTTAGCAATGGCGGCCAGCTAGAAGGCGGGGGCGGCTAGTGGGCTAACCACAGCCTCGGCCATGTCGGCCCCCTTGGCAGGCTTCCTGGGCCCTTCATCTCAAAGCGCCACAACTTTGCAGACTTTCCGAAGGCATCTCTTGACAGGCAAGGCAAGTTGCCAGGCCCCTTGCCAGTACTTATCTGAGACGGCAAAGCCCATCGTACAGGTGCTTGGTTCGGGTCCATGTCGCTTGCTGCCGCCACTGTTGATCCTGACCCAGCGGCTGCCCGATTTGTGCGCCCTGGAGTTGGGTCCAGTTGGAATCATGTTTCCAGTTCAGTTAGCCTCGGACATGTAAGCCTATTTCATACCCGCTATTTGGCAGAAAGTCGTTGGGCTGCCGTGCGAGTGCTGCGAGCGGGATTGGTGTGCGACCAGCTGCATCGATCAAAAACAAGGCAACTCGGCGCAGGGGCAGCGCTGCAAAAGTAATCTTTGCAAAGGTGAGAGTGTTTGTGTCGCCCTGCAAGGACTGACAACGAAGTGCAACTGCCATGATTTCTTGAGTGACAAGCAGTCCTCCGAGCAGTACCTGGTGTCGGGTGCAGGAAGCACGCCAGAAAGTAGTTGTTAAGGATTTCTTCTTTTTTTCGTCTTTGTACCACCACTCCCTCTCCGTCTAGTGTACAATGCAAGCTTCAGTCTCACAGAATAAGCAAAAGGACATTAAGAGTAGTTGTATTTCAAGATCACCGGAGCTCCCACTTATGCTACACCTCCTAAGTAATTTCACAAAGTCGGACTAGAGTCAAGCTCAACAGAACAGGGTCTTCTTTCCCGGCTGATTATCACAAGCCCGCAGCTACTACCACGCAGTTCATAAAATAGGGTTTCCACAACTTGAAAGCACAGTGTCAACTACGTGACCTAGCAGTAGCAGTAGCAGTAGCAGTAGCAGTAGCAGTAGCAGTAGCAGTAGAAGTAGAGCAGTAGTAGCAGTAGTAGCAGTAGTAGCAGTAGTAGCAGTAGTAGCAGTAGTAGCAGTAGTAGCAGTAGTAGCAGTAGTAGCAGTAGTAGCAGTAGTAGCAGTAGTAGCAGTAGTAGCAGTAGTAGCAGTAGTAGCAGTAGTAGCAGTAGTAGCAGTAGTAGCAGTAGTAGTAGTAGTAGTAGTAGTAGCAGTAGCAGTCGTCGTCGTCGTCGTCCTCGTAGAAGCATTTCTTGGTGCCTGGTACGTTGCCGCATGTTCTTTATAGTGTCCATGCTGCTTGGCCCAGAGCATCCATGCCCTCACGATGATTACATCCATGCTACAAGCGCGTGCGAATGGCCAGCGCGTCCATGCCAGCACGATGACTACTTCCATGATACCATTGCTTGCAAATACCTATATGAGTATGATTATGTCTGCCCAGAGCATTTTCTCACGGTTCTGAACCCCTGTAGTGAGGAAACTTTTGACTTTCAAGCTTCTTACCTCAACCCTAGATCTTAAGCTTTATACCCTGCAGTGTGGCTGGTCTGCTTGGCGGGTTGTAAAATTTAAGCCCCTTTGGTCAAGTTACTTGAGGTTTTTCGAGCCAAGAGCGAAAACGAAACCTTTCTGTGCATCCAACTCACAATGCTCACAATGCGGAGGACTGATCAAGCTTCCTGCAGATGCTGCCAGAGCTCGGCTCGACAGCATGGAAGCGGGACAGGGTGAGGAGGGCTGGGCAGGCAAGGCTGGGCAGATTGAAGCAATCTTACTTGATCTCGAGTCATTGGAAGTGTTGCTCTCCGTTGGTGTATTGGTGTTTTGGTCAGTGGAGACGTGGCCGTGCCAGACCATTTGAATTGGAAAGATGCCAATCTGCTTAAGTGGAGAGCAGAGGACTGGCAAGCGGCTCGCAGGCTGGCTCGCATTGCATGTACAGCCGTGCTGCGGAAGTTCAGGATGGAAAAAATCTCCAGATCAAGCCTTCCACGCTGGGCGGCGAAGCGGGCGATGGCCTGTTTGTCACGACAGCGATGCCGAAGTACACCGTGTCCAGTGCCTAAATTTTAAATTAGGTATTGCCGTAGATATTGCAGATCCAACTAAACCCAGCCGCAAGTTCTCCATGCAACAGCGAGAAGGTTTCCGCCATATCAAGGAAAGCCCCTGAGCTGTCGCCTCAGTTCACAGGTTTCGGAGTGGAAATTCGCAGCAGTGGCCGTGCTGCAGTATTCTCAGATATTCTCAGGTCTTGCCGAGTTCCGCAAGATGAGGGGTACCCGTGAAATGGACTATGTCTACTGCCCGCTCCGCGAAGAGGCGCGCGAGAAGTTTCAAAGCGGCTGTTTTGTCCCTTAATGCTTTCCAATGCTTCCAATGCTTTTTAGTGAGGCCCTCTTCAATTTCACGGACGACCAGCTTCAGACCGTGCCCGGGATTGCCCGTCTTGTCGACAACAAACGACTCCAATGTCCTACGTCTCGCACACACACATGCGTACACATGCGCACACGCGCATACGCGCGCACACTTTCTCAGGCTGAGGAGGCTGGGGCCGCCACGACCTTCTGCGTGGATGGCCGCGTCGCGGTGGAGAAGAACCCAGTGCGCTTCATCAATGCCGCGAGAAGCAAAGAGTTGCTTGCCGGACACGTAAACATCGCTGAGTTAGCGACAAGACATCTGAAATAGAAAAGGAGGCCATCTTAAAGTTTCTGAATTCCCGAGATCGCCGAGATGTCCTGTGATGTCCTGAGGCAGTGCAAGAAGGTGAACGTGCAGATCTGCGAGTTCGGCGATGTGGCATATTTCAGGCATCCGACACTGGGGCTCATGGGCGTGGAGTGTCATGAGCATCATGCTTTCAGGACAACGGCGGATGTGAAGAAAGGTGCTGAGCTCATCACTGACTATGGGAAAGAGTATTGGGAGGAGCCCGCAATTGCAACTCAGCAACTCGAAGCACGTATTGACATAAACTGCAGGACTTCGAAGGTTGCTGAGAATGCCACGCCGCCATACCCCCATGCTTTCCAAAATGGAAAAACAGAGGAGCTTCGCGCACGTTCGGCCCACGGGGCCCGAAAGTCTTTGGCGTAAGGATCAGGATGATAATCAAAGGGAAGGGAGTTGGGTTTGTAAGAAGCTAGGATCAGAGGGCCCCCGTCTCCCCAGCCCAATCCTGACCGGTCATGGCTTGATACACGGGCACGCCAAGTGCTGTTGCAAGCTGCGCTCATCACTAACGTGTCGCCGATCACGCTGTCGGTTCTAGTTCTTGGCTGCTCAAGACGGGGGCAAGAGGCAGCGAACCAAGACTTCAGAGAATCATGATTGTGTTGATTGCATTGCTTGCATTGATTGCGTGGATTGCATTGGTTGCATTGATTGCATTGAGCGCATTGATCGCATTGATTGTATTGATCGTCCCGTAATTGTACCGAGTTCAAGAGGTTCAGGCGCACGTCCGCCCCTCTCAGGTTGCCCCAATCATGGCACCAAAGCGCCTGAAAGCCCTCCTTGACGACCAAGAATCAGTGGGCCTCAACGTCGCTTGGGCTCGTTTGTCAGCGAAACAGGCTTTTGGTCAGCTGTCGCAGAGCCAGGAAGTCGTTTGTGGGTGTTGTTCGCCTCTTCAACGGGTAGCTGGCGGTTGCGCAGCCCGGATCCCGGATCCCGGATCTCATGAGTCCTTCTGAATCCTTCAGCCTTCAGCCTTGCGGGCCTCAGTTTCAAGATTTTTTCTCCATTGTCCTAGTTCAGGCAGCCCCGAACTATCGGTGCGAAGCTGCAGGGCGCGGCTTCGCGGCTCGATTCGAGGCCCCCAGCTCGGACTTGGATGCTGTTGTGAAATGCGCAGAGAGCATGAGCAGAGAGCGTGAGTGCGTCGAAGAAGCTCTCTAATTGACGAGAGCTCCCTTTCGAATGTTGAGAAGAAAGGGGCTCTCTTGCAAAAGTGAACGTTGAGCGCGCTTGAACGCGCTTGAACGCGCGGGCAGGCGTGGGGCACTCCGTCCTCCCCGTCCTCCCCGTCCTCTGGGAGCGACAGCGAGGCAGAGGCCGAGGCCTATGCCAAGGATGCCAAGGGCAAGAGCCAGGACTCTCAGCAGCAATAGGAGGGCAAGATTAGTAAGAGTAACAAAAAACCCAAACTTAAACCTAACACAAAAAGAAACCGAAACACGAGAAAACACGAGAAAACACGAGAGGACGAAGAGGGAGACATGGGGAGACGTATGGGGAGGCTCAGAGAGGACTCAGAGATAGGGCGCTCAGAACTCCGCTCTTCAAGAGCACTTTTCAAAATAGCTTTGAGAGAGAGAAGCTGCACAATCGAGGAGCAGGCGCACAGAGGACAGAGGCAAGAGTGGGCCACTTTTTTGTTTTAATGGTTTTCTTTGCAAAAGAGCGCCCCCCCCCCCCCCCCCGGAAATGCAATTGAGTTATTCCCCGCAAGAACTTCTTCTCAGGCCAAATCGCAGGAACACGTCGCGCGACACGAAACAACGCAAAGCCTCAAACGTTAACACTTGAAGCCTCGGAGCCCGTAGTGACCAGCGTTACGAGTTTTGGGCACACTGTGGATTGCAAGGACAAGTCGTCAGGTGGGTACTTGAGAATCAGAGACTCGCCAGCAGTTTTGTGATCTCCTGCTCTCGGCTGCTCGTCGAGTGTGCGAGTTGTTCTTATTGTTCTGAATGATGCCGCATGCCTGCCTCGAAGCAAGGCGAGCTGCTGAAAGGAGTCAACCTGTACAACCTGATGGGCATTTCTGAAGGTGCCTCCCAGGCCGGGAATTAGAGCAAGAGAACGGGAATGGAGAGCAAATGTTTCTCCTTGATTATGCCGTCCTTATCCCGCTCTTTCTCCTCTCTCTCTTTTGAATTAGACCGTTAGCTCTTTTATTTTTTCTTCGCTTGGCTCTCAGGATGAGATCAAGAAGGCCTACCGAGGCCTGGCCTTGACCGCGCACCCGGACAAGCAGGCGGCCATGGAGCCGGAGGAAGCCAAGAAGGCAACGAAAGAGAGGAGAGATGCGGAGATGCGGAGATGCGGAGATGCGCTCTCCACCCCTCTCCCGCACTCCTGCTGCGCTCTCCTGCTGTGCTCTCCCGGGCTCTCCCTTCTCGAAGAATTGAGAGAAAGAGGAGCTGGGCATTTAAACGCGACAGACTCCTCTCGAAAGCAGGTGCAAGAGAACTTCGTGAAGATCCAGGAAGCATACGAGCTTCTGTCCGACCCTTCCAAGCGGAAGCAGTACGACTCCAGCCTTGACTTCGACGAGAGCCTTGGATGCCCGAGAAAAATGCCCGTGCGCGAAGATAGCTAAGCAGCTAAGCCAAGGCAGCCAAGTTTCACAATCTGAAGAAAGTCTAAAGCAAACTTGAACGACAGATAAAGACAGCACCTGAGGAGCTTGCCGAAGTTTCGCCCGGACAGCGGCCAGGACTTTTTCAAGGTCTTTGGCGAGGCTATAGACTCCTGAAAGGTTTAGCCGGCTTGGCCTGTGTGTGGCATGCGTGTCGGCAAGGCCTTCCGGCGGAACGCGCGCTTTTCCGTGAGGCGCCCGGTGCCCGATTTGGGCAGCCTGGAGGACTGGATGCGGGATGCTGCAGGTACGATCCAAAAGTACATGCTGCCTTAAGACAGGTCTTGCGGACGCTGCCACGCAGTTTCCCCGGGGGGGGTGCAGGATGAGCCTCGAGTGTGGAAGCGCTTCTACGACTTCTGGTGGGCCCCGCCAAGTGTTCAAAAGGTAATGGCTCAGCCTACGTGTTTGATGCGACCCTCGGATTTTCGCACTGCGCCGATAGGTCTGGCTTTCAGTCATGGAGAGATCCAGCCGACGCCTTGCAGTTCTCACACACTATGAACCTATGAAGCACCACATGCAGCGCCACATGCGCAAAGCAGTTGGGGCCTGGCGACATTGAGGTGATGCTTGCGCAGAAAGCTGGGGAAGAGATCTGCGACCTCGACGAAGCAGAGTGCCGGGAAGAGAGGCCCCACCTGCCGACTTCATTGGGGTCTTTGCTACATGTTAAAACTTTGCCATATTCCGCATGATGTTTGAAGCTTCGAGGCGCTGGATGATCAGGGAAAACCAGCGGGTTGCACGACAGTACAAGCAGCAGGAGCGCGACAGGATCGCCAAGCTCGTCAGTGCCATCGCTTGGACTGAAGTACACTTAAATACACTTCAGGTTTTTGAAAAACTTCCAAGTTGCACTGAGGGGACGCCGAGACATTCGATCCCCGTATCCAGGCGGAAGCTGTTTCGACTTCGATAGTAGTTTGCATTTTGCCGACTCGCCGGAAACTGCAAGCTGCAAGATTGCCTGTGCAGGCGGAGAAGGAGGTTGGCGCCCTGGATGCCCGGGATTTTGGACGCGACACCTCATTCTAAGCCCTAAACCCTAAACCCCTCAACCCTAAGCCCTAAGCTAAAGGCCTAAACCCTGAAGCGCTAAACACCGTTGGCCCCCAAACCCTCAAACCTACAAGCCCTGGAAGGCCCACTTTAAACCTTCAGAGCCCTTTGAAACCCTCAGGGCCTTTTTGTGTGAAGGCCAAACGACTCGCTCGCGAAGCAGAGGCCGCCAGACGAGAGGAGGACCCCTCTTGCCGACCACGCCCCCTCTATGTTTTGTCAGGGGCCCCCGAGCACCCCTTTGGCTTGGTGTGGACCCTCGGGCTGGCCGGGCCACCAGCCTCACAGATCGTATTGACCGACGGGCACCAAAAAGAAAGGAAGACGGAACATTTCCAAATACATCAACAAAGAGAACTAACCCAGCGAGAGTTTGGAATCTGCCAGCTCCTGGTCTCGTCATGACAAGGCAAAGTGACATGTGCGTAGGACCGAAAAGAAGAAGCTGTGACTTTTCCCAGCTTTGTCTTCTCGAGTTGCCCCCAAGATACTCCCAAGTAAGAACTCCAGGGCTACAGCTTGGTACGCTTTGAGCTTGGGGGGCTTCCGGGACCGAGCATCAGAAGCGGGGCAAACAATGTCATTCTTTTTTTTGGTCATTAAGGCGTCCAGTAGGTTTCATGGCTTTTATCTTTTATCTGTGCTTTTGGTTTCTTTCACTTTTTTTCTTGTATTAGGTGGTCAGTTTCCTGTAGACAAGTTTCTGTCTTATGGTCGTATCTTGACACTACATTTTACCTTCTTATTTTCTGGTGTCTAGTTTACTTAGACCCCTCAATCCCAGCAGAAGAAAAAGAGATAGGGTTTAGGGAGTCCACCCACGTTTGGCCGCCTGCTCTCGCCCCGGTGAACAGCACCCCGGGGCGTGCACTGCTATCGGGAGGGGAGACCTCCCCGAAGGCCTTTGAAGGAACGAACTGAGAAAGGAAGGAAGTAAAGAACATGAAAGAAATAAGATGAAATACAAGAACTGAAAGAATGCCGGAAAGAAAAAGGAGAGAGCGAGAGACAGAGAGACAGAGAGAAAGAGAGGCAAGAGAGGAAGTAGAGGAAAGAGAGGAAAGAGAGGAAGGAGAGGAAGGAGAGGAAGGAGAGGAAGGAGAGGAAGGAGAGGAAGGAGAGGAAGGAGAGGAAGGAGAGGAAGGAGAGGAGGAGAGGAAGGAGAGGAAGGAGAGGAAAGAGAGAAAGAGAGAAAACGCCCTTCAAGCTCCGTGGAAGAAGAAGAAGAATAAGAAAGAGAGAAAGTGTAGAAAAATCGTGTACTGGTGGCTGTAGCCGTAGGCAGTAGAATAACGTCACCCGGAAGAAAATCGGAGAACTCATATTCTACTTGTACCCAGCCACATGGCTCCATATGGTAAAGCACGGTTGACACTCCACATGTAGCCAGATCTTCCGATGGGGAGGGAGAAAGAGAGCCCACAATCGAAGAGGAGTAGAGACAACAAAAGCAGAACGATAGAAGGCCAGCCGAACACGGGGAGATGCGGTCTTGACCTACGGGGGATCTTAGGGGTGGTAAGAAAGTGAAATTGTTGCGCATCGCCCAATGTGTCCTGGCCTGTTCGGCCGATGGTGTCACTTGGACTGGACGTGTGCCTGGGCGCGCCTAGTGCGCGAGGGGCGGTGACGCCCCCCATGCCCCGTAGAAGAAGAAGAAGTAGAGGAAGAAGGAGAGAAAGAGAGAAAGAGAGAAAGAGCGAAAGAGCGAAAGAGAGAGAAAGAGCGAAAGAGAGAAAGAGAGAAAGAGAGAAAGAGAGAAAGAGAGAAAGAGAGAAAGAGAGAAAGAGAGAAAGAGAGAAAGAGAGAAAGAGAGAAAGAGAGAAAGAGAGAAAGAGAGAAAGAGAGAAAGAGAGAAAGAGAGAAAGCGAGAAAGAGAGAAAGAGAGAAAGAGAGAAAGCGAGAAAGAGAGAAAGAGAGAAAGAGAGAAAGAGAGAAAGAGAGAAAGAGAGAAAGAGAGAAAGAGAGAAAGAGAGAAAGAGAGAAAGAGAGAAAGAGAGAAAGAGAGAAAGAGAGAAAGAGAGAAAGAGAGAAAGAGAGAACGAGAGAAAGAGAGAGGGAGAGAGAGAAAGAGAGAAAGAGAGAAAGAGAGAAAGAGAGAAAGAGAGAAAGAGAGAAAGAGAGAAAGAGAGAAAGAGAGAAAGAGAGAAAGAGAGAAAGAGAGAAAGAGAGAAAGAGAGAAAGAGAGAAAGAGAGAAAGAGAGAAAGAGAGCAAGAGAGAAAGAGAGAAAGAGAGAAAGAGAGAAAGAGAGAAAGAGAGAAAGAGAGAAAGAGAGAAAGAGAGAAAGAGAGAAAGAGAGAAAGAGAGAAAGGTCCGCAGTCTCCTTCGCCTCAGTGTCACAAGGAACCTGAACGCAATCTGGGCGCGCTTCGTGCGCGGGGGGGGTCACTCCCCTCAAGCCCCGTAGAAGAAGAAGGAGGAAGAACAAGAAGAAGAAGAAGAAGAAGAAGAAAAAGAAAGAGAGAAGTAGAAGAAGAAGAAGAAGAAGAAGAAGAAGAAGAAGAAGAAGAAGAAGGAGAGAAAGCCGCCAACTGACCTCCGGGTCCCTTAGTCGCGCCACTCACTAGCACAGTGGCACGTGAACTGCGTGAGGGAGAGAGAGAAGGGAAGGAGGGAGGAGAGAGGGTGGGAGGGGGCGGATTGCCTGTATGCGTTGCTAGTTCTAGAATGCCTTGCATAGTTAATTTCCCGGTCATTTCCGTGACATCTTTTGCCAGAACCCGAGGAGCGAACAGCTGCCAAACGGGCAAAGGAAGAGGCCCCCAACGCAGCCACCCCTGCTTGCACACCCCCTTTGCACTGCGCTGAGCCCGAACCCGTCTGTCCTGATCGCCTGCCCACTTGTCGCTTTAGACTCGTGACTCGCAGCCTTCCTTCCAGTGACAAAGTGCGGTAGATGATGGTCGAGTGCCAAGCATGCAGTGTGGAAAGCCTCCCGTGGACCTCTCGAAGCGGCTCATGGCTATCGAGAACCGTGCCTGGGAGGATGAGAGAGTTTTTCAGAACTTCTCAGAACTTCTCAGAACTTCTCACTTAAAAGCAGAGGGTCGAAGTGAGACGCAGCACTGCCGAGGCATCGAGGATGTGCTGCAAACTCTGCACCAGGACACGCGGTCAGATGTAGTAATGGGCACACCCGTGTTAGCGGGAATGTAAGTGTGTGCGGACTAGGCCCTGACTGGGCCCAGCCAACTCGTGTCACGAGCCCCTTGCCGCAGACGCATTGCTGCTCAGAAGTATCTGCTGCCTCCAAGCTGGCCAGGTCTCTGATCAGTTTTGAACTAGCTCGATCTTGCTCGATCTTGCTCGATCTTGCTCGATCTTGCTTGATCTTGCTTAGATTGGTTTGCCAGGACCAAAATGCGACAGAGGCAATATTGAGGCAGATGGAGGCGACTTTGGGTCAAGTCTACGATGGTCAGAGGGACCTCAGGGCCCAACTCTCCCTGTCGGCTTTCTCGCCGCGGCCCAAGTTCGGGCTCCTCCAGAGCTCGAGCGCCCTGGGCCGCGCCGAGGAGCGCGGCAGCGCCCGGCAAGGGCGGCCCGAGCGGCCCGAGCGGTTTGAGGAGGGAGCCAAGAGCCCGAAGGCCGTGTTCCGGTCGGATCGCTTGGAGTCCGAGGCAATGGAGAGCACGCCGCTCCTGAGAGTCGAGGACGATCGTGATCGTGATCGTGATCGCAAGCGGGGCAAGCACAACTCCAGGTACAGCACTTTGAATCTCGAAGGCATAGGCATCCCCTTCCAGGAGAGGCTGGCTCGTGCCCAGATCCTTTTGGAGATGGACAGCAAGCAGTCATGGCTCTCCCGGAAGATCACGGAATTTCTCGAAGATCCAGACTCCAGCATGTTCGCCCTGTATTACTTCTATGGCATTTCCGTCTTCACTTTGCTTGGGATGTTCTTCGCTTTTCTGCAGACATTGAGCATAGAGCTGGAGCCAGCATACAAGGATCTGATTGACATTGTAATCGATTCCATCTTGCTTACCGAGACCATCATTCGTTTTGCTTGCTATCCACACTTCGGAGCAATTTTCACTGGAGAGCAACGCTGGGAGAATTTGATAGACTGCACAAGTGCGCTTCCTGTGATCCTCCTCGCCGGTTGGATGCATCCGGCAGGATGCTTTCGGGCTTCATTGTTGTTTAGGGGTTGCTTGGGTTAGGACCTCTTCTTCGTCTTTCTGTTAAGCTAGTGCCCCTTGATCAAACAAATATGCCGGAATCAGGCTGCAAGAAGCACCCTGAGACAAGCTAGAAAGGTGCTCAAGGACAAGTTCGGGGAAGATTTTGGGTCCTTCGGGGACGCCCTCCTGCTGGCATCTATGCCCATGATCCGCTTGTTGCGCTTGGTGCGGCGCTTCACCTACATGCAACTTCTGAAAGCTGCCACATGCCGGCAAGTCGACGACTCTTTTGAACGATTCGGCCCTCATTGGATGGTTGGTCATGGGCTGATGGGGTTGGCTGCTTTTTGCAAGGTGTCGTGGTTCCTTGGTGGGTGTGACGGTTGCTGCTGTTTCTAGTTCCGTCGCGAATTGAGGGCACGCGTGGGCGCTGTTCAACATCTGCGCAGATCATTTCCTTTGATCTTCTTCTGGGGCTTTCGTGCTTTCAACCTCTTCTGCACCTACGGGAGAGCACGGGGCTGCGGGGAGCATGTTACTAATTATTTGTTACGAGCTATTACTAGCCAATTCCTTTGTTTCTGCTAACTCGGCTGTGTACCTTTCTTGTGCTTCCATTTGCTGTAATACGAGGTTCTACTGTGTTGTGTCACTGCCATGCTTTGCCCGCAGCGTTCGAAACGCGCGTGCGCGTTCTTGACATGTGCTCGACTGCAGCATGGCATGGAAAGCTATACTGAGGCATTCCGTGACTGCTTGGAGGCTTTGCCAGTGCTCTTGTACATTATGATCGTAATGGCATATGGTTTCACCTCGCTGCTTTACATCGTTGAGCCGCGTGAGAACATGCCCACTGTGGCTCATGCAGCTTGGCTTGTGATTTCAACTATTACGACCGTTGGTTTTGGTGACGTGGTTCCCTCGACCCAAAGTGGATTGGTCCTGACATCGCTCCTGATGATCGTGTCTTCCCTCTACATGGCCATGCCCTTCGGGATCATTGGCCACTCCTTCACCCAAATCTGGGGAAGTCGAAAGCGGATTCTTCTCTTGCAGAAGACGCGCACTCGTTTGCACAAGTGGGTGCCCGGGCTGCATGAGGCGTTGTTAGTAGCTGCACGGAATTGAGAGCTGTGAAAGATGTAACCGATATGGGCATAAGTTAAAGCATTATGATGGGAAAAAGCAACGATTGAAGAACTCGTTTCGAAGCTCTTGGAGACCTAGGGCTTCGGACCCTATGAGCTCCCACGGCTTTTCGGGCTTTTTGACCTTGACGATAGTGCCGAGGTGCCGTGGGCTGCACTTTGTTCACAAGCTCTTTTTGTCTTGAATCCTAATTTGAATCCTTTGCAAGGGTTCTTCGGGGCACATGTGTTGAGACACAGCCCGTCGCATCTGTGCTCCTGGCACCCTTGCAGATCGACCTGCCTGAGTTTCACGTTCTGCCGCACAGCTGCAGAAATTTGTGAGGAGTCGTGGGCTTGAGGTTGAACTACTGGCCATCTGAGGCTCAAAGAGATGGACATCGGGTTCAGAGACAAAGAGATCACTGAGCTCTTCAAGTTGATAGACAAGGATCCTGAGCATGACTTGCCTGTTAAGTCACGGCACTCCGCAAATGACCCTGCAGGACTCCGGTGGAACTATCGACGAGAGAGAGTTTGTTAAGACGCTGTATCCAGACGAGTATCGTGAGTTGCGCCTTGGAGGCACAGCATGCCGGCCTTCGACCACCCTTGTGCCTGGTGTAGGTGATAAGAGCACACACTCGAGTTGCTCGAGTCACTTGAGTCACTTGAGCCACTTGAATCACTTGAACTTGCTGCAGCATGTTTGGAGTTGCCAGCGATTGTCGATGGGCAAAGGTACCCAAAAAAGAGGCATGACTCAATGGTGGCAGACGAATAGTGCTTGAGATGCTTGAGAGTGGCGGCTGCTGCGAGCATGCCAGAAGTCTCAAGCTTTTGTTTTACCCAACGAATTATAGCACTCTCAAAGTGAGAGTTGTCTGGTTTCACCCCACCTGCCACTGTAATTACAAGGCGTGCTCCAAAAACCGCGACGGGTTCCGGTGTGCCGCAATCCAGCTTCCTGATGCCCCTGCACGTCTGCTCGGTTCGTTTCAGGTCTGGGTCGGTTTTTTGGCTTTGCGCTCGCAGACGCGGCTTGCCCAGACAAGGCCCAAAACTTTTCTTCTCCAGGCTGAGCGACAGCGGCGTGAAGCTGAAGAAGCTCTCCGACTGGCCGGGTTCCAGGTCCGAATGCCAACAGAACCAACTCTGGAGCTCGCAGGCAGAGGAGCAGAAACGCCGAGAGGAGAAGGCCAAGCGGGTCCCCAGCTCAAGCCGCTGTTGCAAAACAAGTTTGGTGAGGCAAGTGGCAGACAGGGGAGAACCGAGAGAGTCGAGTCGGCCGACAGAGAGAGCCGAACTGGACCGCTTGGCCGTCGTGGCCGGGGATCCCCACCAGGGGGTCCTCTCAAGCGTGGAGAGAGAGAGAGAGAGAGAGAGAGAGAGAGAGAGAGAGAGAGAGCCGAGAGAGCGGGTTGTCCCGAGGACGCCGTGAAAGTCCGGGCCTCGAAAGAGATTTTTGTAAACTTCAAAAAACAGCTCAGAAAAGACTTCCAACGACTGATTCTTGGGAAGCGGGGCCTCAACTCGGCTCAGGAGCGCGTGAAGAAGTGTCGGCAACGACTTCGGAGCTTCCACCCGGCCCGGAACAGCAATCATGTCTAACTTTCTGCAAGTCTCCAAAGCATCTTCACCTGGGGACAATCGCTCAGTTTGTTTGAGCCAGGCCGTGAAGGAATATGTGGTCCTGGAGCAGCTCAACGAGGTCTGCTTGCAGTTCGACGATTCTTGGATCGCACAGGGCGAGAGGGGACCGACGAGGGGCGACATGGGGCGAGAGGAGAGGGGTGAGGGACTGCCAAGCCAAGACCTGACACGACATGCCGTGATATTCCATGATGCAACAGTGAAGAGGGCGAGGGCCAGTGCGACACGAGGAAGAACAATTGAGGGATCTGGGCAACCAGATCGAGCAGACGTTGAAGGGAAGTGCGCTGGAAGCAGCCAGCCTGTTCCACAAGGCCCTCAGCCCAGGAGAACTGTTATGTAAGCAATGTGGGCCACCTGGGTCATCGCAGTCATGTGAGTTATATGAGCCACGGACCAATTCGTATCCCGCCCAACTTGTGGAAGATATCTTTGTGCCCCAGGCCATCGAGTCCATCGGCCTCACTCCCATGAAGGTTCGGGAGGACGAGGCTTCGCCGCCTTCACCCTCAGCCACCGAGTCGCCCCGAGAGGTGAGTGAAGACGCGGCCAGCACCACCAGCGGCCCAACCGACTCGCAGGAGGCGCACCAGCCAAAAGAGGTGATGATGGGAAAGATGATGAGAGAAGAAAGAGAGCCGGAGCACAGAAAGAGAGTGGATAAGAGAGCAGAGAGCGGGAGACCCCTCACTGCCTGGAGAAGATGGTCTCTCGCAAGCCCCCAGTAATTGCTCTTTTGCTTCCTGGTTGGTTCCTTCTGTTCCTTGCTGTTCGCTGTCGCCTGTCTGTCACCTGGCTGCCCGCATGACTTCTTCCAGGAGGCCCCGCGCCAAGTAGAGCGCGAGACGAGCCAGGAGCGCAAGGAGCGCGAGCGGCGAGCAAGGAACTTGGAGTAGTTGGGTCACCTGCCCGCCTGGAACAAGCAAACTCCTTGCATCTGCTCAAGCTCATCCCTATTTCACCCCAAGTTTTAGCTACCCAAGACTTGGCGACGTCAATACATAGCATGCTGCCGGTTGCACCAAGTCCCCAAGCCGTTTTCTCGGAACAAAAGATGCGCAGTGGAACTGAGGCCGCCGAGGAACAGGCAGTGGGTGGTGAATGCATGGACCGGTGTTTTTCAGTACAAATGACTGATCCGTTGACATCCAGGCCAAAAGACGCATAGTCGAGGAGCAGCAGGCCGCAGAAAAGGCGAGGCTGGCCGCCGAAAAAGCCGAGGAGAAGAAGAAAAAAGAGGCACTGGTGCAACACACTCCCGAAACATTCAATTCGGATTGATGGCATATGATGGCATGCCAAGTGCAGGAGCAGCGAAAGAAAGACGCTGAGCCTCGTCTGAAGAATAACGACTCAGCACCGGGAGTGGGAAGCTAGAGTGCAGCAGTGAGTGTATACGCTTGTGTGAATACACCCCTGCACAGAGAGGGGGGGGCTAAGCGTGGAGAGAGAGAGAGAGAGAGAGAGAGAGTCGGTTACATATCTACACGACAGCCAGTCGTGCCTATGGGCCTTACATTTTCTATGCGTGCTTTGGTTTGTCATTAAATCACTACGTTGCACAGCGCTTGGTTCACCTCTACGGCAAAATCCCCCTGCAGCTCCAAACATGTGTCTCGAATCATGGCGGAGTGTACAAGTAGACAAAGGCTTGAATGTTTTCGGTTTCTGAAGCGACTTGCCAGTGACACTATTTCTTCCAAGAGTCTTGATCCTTGAAGTTCATTCCCTGCAAGGGTTTAGACCATATCCCTGAGAACCGATTGCCAAAAAGGGGTGCTCCCACCAATGTGTGCCATGCTTGCAGGCAGCTGCCGAGGTGGGCAACTTGCGGTCTTGGGTGGCACCTGGGCACCTGGGTGCTTCATTTGTTATCCCCTGAGTTATCCCTTGCGCTTTGGCAGAAACGCAGGCCGCCAGGCGGGCGCAGGAAAAGAAGGATGAACTGCAGCTTGAACGCATGTGAGACAAGCGTTTGAAGTCCATTTGCTCCATTTGCTTTTGGTGCTTGGGCCCCTTGGGCCGTTCGGTCCAGAAGGGCTCTCGAATCCTGAACCTTTCAGCTCCCACGTAGCTAGTCGTCGGCGGACGTAGCCATTGACGGCTTGCCTTTGCCGGATGTTAAGGGTTGCGTTCCTCACGCTCCTCTCCAGGAAAGCCAAGAAGGCCGAGGAGAAGCAGAAGAAACAGGCGGGCCTTTAAGATGTGTCTAAGATGTTTGTACAACTGTATAAGTGTCGGGGTGAAGAGGAGGAGGAGGAGAAGCTCCGAAAGGAGCAGCAGCGCGAGGTGGCAAAGCAGAAGGCGCAGGAACAGGCAGAGCATGTGCCAGAGTATGTGCATTGAGCTGTGTACTTGTGTGAACGTGTCGCACGGAAGATGGCCCGAGGGCGTTTGCTGTGAGGCACAAAGAGACCGCCAGGCAGCTCAAGAAGAGAAGGAGGCGACATCGCCATCATTACCACTCTCTCAACCACAGTACTCATTACACACGACTCTTGAGAGAATCGCTGGAATTATTGGCGCTCGTACTGTTGTGAATTATGGGTGCTATCTTGGTCAGCGACGTATTCTGTGATGCCCAGTAGGCCAGTGTGTAGTTCTTTCGTTTGGCCAGAAGCTTGAGCTGGAGCGGCTGATCAATCTTTTCGCAAAGGACCGCCTAGAGAGGCCCCGGTGCTTGCATAAAATGTAGACTTTGCGAGCTCGCATAAAAAAGGCAATGCCAAGAAAAGCCCGCTTAGGCTGGGCAAGCTGGATCCGCTCTCCGACGAGAAGCTGGCATCCTCCTTACAAGCAGCAGTGGACGAGGACAAGGCTCTCGCAGGTGCGCACGCGGCTCAGAGTCTATGCATTCCAAACAGTACACTGAGTACTGTGTTCTACTGTGTACTGGTGCGCTGGATCGCCAGATCGCAGATTGCAGATTGCTTTGTGCAGCTCTCGCCTGCCCAGGCTGCAGTTGCTGAAGGGCAAGCTGGGATCTTGTGAGGAGAATGCATGCTTGGATCCATTGGATCGAGCCATTGCCCTTGTCCCGGGCCTATGGCAGAGTTCCATATGTTGAGCAGCCTGACATTGCGTAAGTCATGGCATCTGTTTGGCGAGTGAAGATCTGCCGCCTCTGAGGTCAGCGACGGCGCCGGGGCTGGGAGCGTTTGGCCGCTGGCCGTGGCAGCGCCCAGCCACCTCCGCCTGGAGAACGCGCTGCGGAACCGCGCCCGTGACCTTGCGATCGGTGATCTCTCAATGTGTCACTGGCTGTGAGAGAGACTCAGAAAAACTCCAAGATGAGGGGAGAGAGGGCAAGCACAAACACACACAAATCAGACAAACAAGCGCCCCTCCTCTCAGGTCAAGAAGGCCCGGAACCGGCTGAGGGATGCCGTGGGATCCTTCCTGAAGTCGCCACGCCCTCACTTGTGACACAGCGTGAATATGTTCATGCGCTTCATTCAGAAAAGGAGAGCTTGGAGACACAATTGGTGGTGTTTTGGCGTGCGCACGGCGCTTTGAGGGCGCTCAGAGCTCAGGTGCAAGCTGCCAAATGCTGACGAGGGTGCAGTCACAGAGTGGCAGCAGGGCATCGTAAATGGCTTGCTGGAGCTGCCACCATGGTCCCCACAGGACCTTCATGAAAAATCGGAGATCGGGGTCCAGGGGAGATCTTTGTGCGTGTTCTCGCAGGAGCCGGAGCTGCCAAAGGCTGCACCAGGCAAGAGTTGCTGGGTTGGGTGGGGGGTGCCAGTAGCTCCAGTGTGCTGCCTGGGTTCTTGGTGGCCGGAGGCCCTGACAAGAAGAAGAAGAAGGACAAAGCCGTGGAGGTGGGCAGAGCAGCAAGACGTGCGATATCTTGCTGCTTATGTCGGCGCACCCCTGCAGGAGGACTTGGATCAGATCCTTGCGGAGTTCGACGATTCGTCGCCGGCCGAGTCCAAGTCCAAGAAGTCCGGCAAAAAGAAGAAGTGACGACTGCGCAAATTGAACAACATCTAATTTGGTGTGGCTCACAAGTTACAAGTTGTGACACGTTGTGAATTTCAAGTCTCACACCTCTCGCCAGCTGAGTGCCTGCTGATGTGTCAGCCCCCCAATGCGAAGTGAGCTTGTCAAGACTGGGTTCGTTCCATATTCACGAAGCGGCAACTCTAGCGACCGGCTGCCACAGGGCTGCCAAGGTGCCACAAAGGTGGCAGCGACTGGAGGTAATTATCAGATGGTATCCGCCAGTGCGACAAATTTTATGCGAGCTCAGTACTATGCACAGACCAAGAGCGTGTGCGAACGTGAAGGGCTGGAAGAGCGATTCAGTACGCCGCGCCGTGGCATGGGTGACAGCGCCTGCTTCATAAGCCGGGCCTTGTAACTCCCACGGCAGAGGATGCGTCTGAGAAAGAAGCCTACTCTTGCTTTTTCCGCTCCGAATTGGAGCCGCTTCCCAAAGCCCCCTTTTGCACACCGTGGTTTGAGATTCTACTATCTCGTAGTGCGATTGCTGACAATCGCCTCTTTGTGTGGGCAGCTGTGAGAAAATGGGAGGGGTGCCTGTCAATGCTGAACATGTGACTGTTTACGAAGACAGCTCCGTGTGGGGAGGTGGGGGGGGGGGGCGGGACGGCCCGGAAATGCGCAGGGGCGCCATCTGTTTTCAGCAGCTGCTGAAACCCAAATTGCCCTAAACTCCAACCTTACATCCGAACTGTCCTAACCCCTTACGCCATCTAACGCCGAGCATCCTTGCCAAACCCAACAGGTTGTGTGCCCAAAGCCCTAACCGCTTGAGTGGCAAGTTTTTGTCTCGAATTTCCGCCGCCCTTTGAAGAGCTGGTCCCAAAACGGGCTGCTCCTGTGCGTGCCACGGGCTTAGAACAGTGGAAAGATGCGAGTCTTTCATGAATGCGCTTTGTGGTGGAGGCTCCAGGTGATCATGCCCTATGAGATATGCGTCAAGAGCCGGCAGCAAAACATTTTGCTGTTGACAGTAGAGGACCAGCTGCTGCATGATAGTGGGCGATTTTGCTCGTCAAGCTTGTTGATTTGAGTCGATTCTGTTGGTGGATCCACAACGAGGAGACCGATACAATCCGTGACCTGAAACAGGACGTGAAGGCATGTGCTCCTTGTCACACTTGTGGAATCGAAAGCAACAGGTGTTCGTTTGGACAATGTCAATTTCTTTAGGACTCTAGCCTATATGGGCAAGTTTCGACCTGCAAATGCCCGGGGAACGTCCAGATTCAAAAGTATAAGAGGGTGCCTTCGACTTTCTTAGCTTTCAATTCTTCATGTGAGGTTTTCCACGATCGATCTGCCGAAATTCGACTGTTTGTCTGGAAAGTCAACCTATCTACATCCCTTAGCCTCAACCTATCTAAGACTAAGGCAATTTGATGTGCACAGGGAACTTCCGGAATTCATCCACAGCATGCTCTGCAGCATTTTCTGCGGGTTCTTTGGGGACACTCCACAGGGTTGTCTAGGGGATTCTCTCGGGCTTTTGGTGCAAGATTTTCGACCAAACCAATCTCTCACCACCACCGAAGCTTGCAGATCCCTCACGACGCGAGGTGGACATTTCACACGCGAGGGATCTGCTCTGCAGCTTCTAACTCCAAAGCCCTTTGCGCCCTTTGCCCTTTGTGTTCCGTGGATGTGCAGGCGAGGGTGGAAGCTACTTGCCAGCATTCACAAGTGAACACGAGTTACGGGCAACGATGCCAGACAAGGCCGACGAGCCTCTGTACTTCAACGGAATCGAGCTTGCAGACGAGGAGCTGATCAGATAGCCCGCTCTGTTCAGCTGTTCCGAGTGAGAAGTGCTCGGGATGCTGAGGAGGCAACCCTGTTGGAGTACAACATCGCGGGCGGCTTAGATGCGTTGCACAACAAGAAGCGGCTTTCATGCTTGAGAAGCACTCTTTCGTTGTGTGAGACTCCTCGGAGGTCCCGGACGATTGCCCAGGAGGCCCGATCGTGCACCTGGGAGGCTGCAGCACCTTCGACCTTGAGTGCCTTGGACATATTGCTAGCGCGAACTGATCCCTCAGCCTTGGCTTCCACCGAAGTGAGGTGCGAGTTGCCTTCGGGACGACAGCTCAGGGAGCGAACGCAGAATGCCTGCAGAATGCAGAGTAGTCATGTTCACAGAGTTAGGGGGCACCCGGCAGCTTGACAGGAGCACGTCACGGGCGACACCACGGTGGCCCAGCTCAAGGGCCGGATCACATCCGAGGCGCAACGACACATCCAACTCAGCCAGCTCCAAGCCAGCTCCAAGCCTGCGCTATGCCCATTGCCCCATTTCCCCAGCCCAAGGCTGGCATTCCATACCTGTGCATGAAGCTCCTGGCGGGTGATGTTGAGCTGCGGGAGCCCAGTTCAACGCGTAACGTTTTATCACTCGGATTGAATGGCAAGTCACGGCAAGTCACGGCAAGTCACACCATCACAGCTTCAAGCTGGCAGGATCCAGTGAACCTGCGACACTATGATCTGGCGGGGAAAGGCGTGCGAGTTGTCACGACCCGCCGACTCTATGCCGGGCCAGCGGCGTAGCGAGGTCATAGCGATCCTAGCGAGAGCGTTAGAGCCAATGTGGCTCCAGAATGGTGCCGTGTGCCCTCGGTGGCACCCCGATGCTCGGCTGTACAAAGGTTACTGTCCTCTGATCCTCGGCCGGTCCTAGGGGGGGCGATGCCCTAGGGTGCCCTAGAGTGTCTAGAGCCGGGTCGAAGTCTTCCTCGCGGAAACAGCTGACACGTGATACCACTCCAGGCACTCTGGATTTTCTGTGTTGCGTGAAGCTCCAGGCATGTCCCAACAGCGTTTGCTCAAGGTTTAGTTTCCCATCGGCGTTCTGGCGTTCTTGAGCTTTTTTGCCTTCGGAGTACTGTGAGCACGAATTTTCTTGCCGCTTTCATAGAGGACGGTAGCCATCTGTAGCCCACCAACGTACCACGGAAGGCTTCCAAACCCCTTGCAAGGGCATAGGCGGAGGACCACTCGGAGGATAATGGACGCGGGGCTGCCTGCCGCGAGCGTCGGACATGGCCAGCGAAGGCTGGCATGGAGTGTATAAGTTTTTCATTCCAAGTTCGAAGACTTAGACTTTGAAGCTTTGGTTGTTTGGGTATTGTTGCCCGCCAATGTAGGAGTCGTAGACCATAGCTCTCCTAATGCATCGACGCCCGCACTGGAGGCTTGCCCTACATCGAGTTCCATCCGCAGCTTCAGCCTCAGCAGCGCGCCCAGATCCCCAATTCTCGTCCGCCCCCCCGGCACCCCCCGCCCCCCCACACCAGTATTTCTGCCACCGCGCTGGCCTTTTCCGCTGCATCCCCATGTTACACACACACACACACAACCTTGGCAACTTTGCAAGTCCACTTGCGGTTCTGTGAGGCTTCTCTTTCCAAGCATTTCTTAGGTTTGTCTGTTTGCGCCGCCCTCAGAAGTAGGAGCTGGCCTGATTACAACTCTATGTGTGTTGACCAAGCCTCTGATAGAGCCAGTACGAATCCCAGTTATCCACAAACGAGGGAGACAAATCCTCAATCAGGACAGGCGATGCGGACCTTTCTTTCGCGGAGTTGCAGTTGCCTTGGAGCGAGCAGGTCAGGGAATGATGACCTTGTGCTGTTCCATGTGGGCATGGAGGCTTAGTGGCTAATGTTGTACTCGCTTTATTATCCACAAATCCCCCCCCCCCCCCGCCCCCACAATTTTGGGGTTTTGGCGTCTTCTCCATAAACCGAGACGCGGTCTGGGGGGCAGGGCAGGTAGGGGTCGAGGGTTGAGGGGAATCCTTGAAGTTTCCAGGCTTTTTGGCTCCCTGGCCAGGGTGGCTGCGGATTAATGCGGGTAAGAGAAACAATTGTTTGAGGGCCTGTTTCGTAATGAAAATTTACACGAAATTAAAAAACAGACAGGACTCCACAAAATTTATTTTCAAAACTATTTTGTCTGAATTCCCCCCCCCCCGCCCCTTCATCCCCGGGCCGCGAACTTCGCATAATTGCGGCCTTGGCAATAGGGATGCCCTCTATTGTTCCGGAAAAACGCATAATAGCGGGTAACCATCATAAAATAGTCATGCAGTTTGTGCCAGGCTGAGTGCATAGAGCATCCCGCAGCATTCCGCAGGATGGCGGAGATTTCCCTGATTTGAGGGAGCTCGTTGCAGCAGTCCTTGTGCTGCTCTACAAGTACAGCCAGCAGGAAGATCTCGCCGTTGGTGTCAGCCAGGCCCGCACCCGGACGCAATTTCGCAAACACGCCCCATGCATTCCTGTGCATTCGCTGTGCATTTTCTGTGCATTCCCTGCTTGTTCCCGAATGTCCTTCAACGCCCTTGCCATGAAGCAATGAGGCAGAGGAATCCCCGGGCCACGTGCGTGTCAGCGAGGCCGGGGGCATGAGTTAAAGTGATGAGCGGAGCACGCACTCTGAGCTTCCTCTGCCAATAGCTGGGGGGCAACTGCGTATGCAGCAGCTGTGTTGCGTAGTGTTGCTGTGGATGAAGTAAATTGTGGAGGGAAAGCCCCGGGGGGAGGAGACCCAGTTCTTCATCGAGAGAATCGCTCTCCCCCCAAAAATGGCGCCTTGCTGTCGCTTGTGCCTCTCGTCCCTTGCCAGATCTCGTCCTGCTCTTTCGTCGACTTGAAGGCCCGGGCCTTGCGCTGCGTCGTATGTCTTACACTCCTTACACTGTTACAATATGTTGCGATGTGTTATACAACATCGTTCATGCGGTTGCGTCTTGGTGACGTCTCTTTGCACGATGTAACTAACCGCAGTGCGCAGCCTCGCCTCTTGCGGACACTCCGAATTCCGAAAAGGCTGCTTTTCAGCAAGGCGTCCCGGCGGAAGGGCTGCAGGCGCCCCCCGACCTCTGCCTACTCTTGAACCTTAAGATTTAATGAAATTTGATGTCGCATCTCTTCCTGTTCAGGTGATGGTTGGGGATGGCACCGGCCTCCCAAGCAATTCGCCGCCAGGTCCGGACCTGCAAACTGCCCCAATCTTTCGCAGTTCTTTGGACTTTGGACTGTACGGCATTCAGGCTTGGAGCTTCTCGTGTGCAGACAAGAAGGGCCGGAGGGCAATGCAGGGAACGCCGTGAAGTCACTTGGCAGGATCTCGTTTCGAGAAGCGTGATTTTTGACATATCTCTTGGCTCGTTTGGCTTAGGTGGATTTGGCGGAGGTCCTGCTTCTCGGAGACGTTTGTTCGGCGAGCGCAGGAAAGCATTCGTCAAACGTGGAAGGGGCACAAGCTGGACACGTGATTGCAGCACATTGCAGCACATTGCAGCAAGACCACCCGCAAGGAACACCTTTATCGATTCCTCCGACTGGGGCGTGGCTCGGCCACTTGTGTCCGCGAGTGGACTTGGACTTCACCAGAGGAGGACGCTCCGGAGCCTCCAGCATACCATGCAAATGGAAAAAATCTCAGCAGTTGAAAAAACGAGTATTTTCAATGTGCCATTCTGTGCAGTGTCCCTCGGGAGGAGCGACAGGTTTTGGGGAGCTTCAACATGACCACCACCACGAGCACCACGAGCACCACAGCGCGGAGCCCTTCGAGCAACTCTGCTGGTCGCTCCGTTCGCTCTGTTCTGGACCTCGTCGCCGGTGCGGTGGCGGCCTCGCCTTCGCACGACGCGGTGGCGCGGTGCCCAGCTGCCCAGCTCTGTCCCGGCTCCAAGAATGGGCACCAAAAGCCTGTCGAGACTCCCGAATCAAGAGCTGCTCCGCAGCGCGCCGTGCTTCCGAGGTCCAGGATGGCGACAGGCTTTCGCCACTGAGCTATGCACGGTTCTGGGCTCAGCCTCTTCCGCGAGACCCGAGACATCAATCCCAAGTTTTCATCAGCCACCTTCGGAGGCAGATGCTGGGCGCTGAGAGACCCTAAACTTTCGGTAGCCGGGGTAACCAGGTATGCTAGCCGCTAGCACCGTTGAAGATTCAGGATCTGGGATCCAGGTGTTTGGGGTGGACACCTCCTCTGGTTGCTCGGTTCTCCATCCAACCCTTGAGTCTCGAAGCTCTCAACCCAAGCTAGCCAAACCCCAAACATTGAAGGCGCGGAGCACTATTGAAAAACAAAACGTATTGCCGAGTACGAGTGATCAAAACAAAAAGTGCACGCCCACAGTCCCCCGGACTCTTAAAAGAAGGGGTCGTTGCGATTTGTTTCTCAGCCTGCATCAGCCCCCCACAGGTTGTGGGCTTTAGCCGGCCATTTGGCGGCAAAAGCCAAGCAGGCCAAGGGCGCAGTCCAACATATCCATACCGTCCATGCCATATCCCTGGCCATGCCTTGTGCCTCGCGAGTGCATGTCGCAGTGTCGCAGGCCTGTGGCGAAGATCTGGGCTCAGTTGCCATTCTTCTTGGCCGTGGCATCTCTATGGTGCGCCCCGCAAGTCCGCGCGCGACGCGCGAAGCGCCTGCGAGGGTTTGCTTTGAGGTACCTCTCTTTGTTTCCTTTGCACCTTGAAAAGGTGCTGGCGCTGCTTGGGGTCTGGCGCTGGTAGCTCAGTTAAGGGAAGAAGGGAAGCCCTGTGAGAATTCGTTTTGAGGTTTGGAACCTTTGGAATCTTGGAATGGTTTGAGGAGTTGAGCTGAGAGAAGCAGAGGTGCTGGTGGTGTCTGTGTACCATTGGACCTCCGCGCTCCCAGGGCCCGGCTGGCAGGGATCTCAGAGAGCTGAGAAATCTGAGCCACAAGGGGAGAGCTGTTCAGCAACTGGGGGTCAGTGATGTGCCGCTAACTTTGGGTTTTGCCTCCTCTCGTAATTGCTGGCTTTCTGTTGGTGAAGAATTGGCCCCTGGACCCAACCACTGGATTGCAACATAGACGCCTACACTTTGTTTGGAGCAGGGTACTACCAGTACGCGGGCAAACTTCTCCATAACGGAAATCTAGACGCTACCACTATTTGCAAGGGCCGACGAAAACATACGTTCACCATGCAATGCGCAGACGCTCACGCGTCCCACATGGCGGATGTTCTCGCCGGATCGTTCCGGTTCAAACCATTGAGGCCTCAAAAAAGCTTAGCTGGTCCCACACGCAGGTGCTGACTAAATCTGTATTAAGCTCTAACCATGTAAAGAACAGAGAGACAAGAAGAGCAAGAACATAAGTTGCAATTTCAACGCAAGTACGTTTTCTGCTCGACTCCCGGGGCCTTTTTCATTGTGGGTAGAGAGACCCGAAGGCCAAGCAAAGGGGGACATGAAACAACAATTTCCCGTATTCACCTTTTGGAAGTAACCCCGCGCCCAACGCTTCACGGGCGAAGCGCAAAGAATGTGAGCCATCGAGTGTTTCGATCATCTCTGACATTATGGAAGATCCATTGATGTGGTGATTGTATGTGTGTGTGTCACGCGATCGCAACTGAAGCCCCGACTTCAGGAACACATGCTCAAGGACGCCGAGGCGACATGTGGTGGGTAGCAAATCTGAATGTGAAGTCTCAGAGACCAGGTGCGGCTGGCGATCACCAGCCATGAGCTGCAACTGAAATGGCTGCAAAGCCCAGCAGTTCTCTACATGGAGGATGTTCAGGAGACAGCGGGTCTCAGCGAAGGTGCGCAGTGTGCAGTGGTTACTTGCTGCTTCCTGCAACTGTAGCTGCGATGAGCTGCGTCAGGCACGTTTGAAGAGCCGGCCTATTCTGCAAATGATGTAGCGATGGCCCGAGGACCCTAGGAACCGGGACTGCAGTGCACGATCACTTGCTACAAGCTGCAGGCAAGCACCCAGAGCACCGACGAAGAATATCATAGCTCGTACAGCCTTCGTACAGCCTTTGTTCCGCAGCGAGGCCTACATCCTCTTCACCAGCGGCTCGACTGGGGTTCCAAAGGAGCGGGGGGGGGGGGGAAAACTCGAAGAAGCTTATGTGAGGTTCTGCTGAAGGTCTCCGCAAGTGCTTCGGAGTGTCGCGTGTGTTTTTGTTGGCAGGGGGTTCTCCTCACGCACCAGAATGTCTTGGCTTACACTCGGTGGCATGTGCCGTACTACCAGCTGACGCACGAGGAGATACCAAGGGGGGGGTACTCCAAACTCACGGGGTGCGATGTGCCCCGCCCTCCGCCTTTGCCTCGTCTGAAGGACCGTGTCCCTCACGCAGCAGGGCTCTCCTTTGATGCTTCCCTGGCGGAGCGAAATGCTTCTTGAAGACTGGAAGACTTTGCTTCAAGGGGGCGAGTTTGAGCAGGAGATCTGGCCAACGCTCTCTGTTGGGGGCCTCGACCCCTAGATCTGGCACAGTGAGGATGAATCTGAGGTTGTTCATGTGGTGGTCTCCTCTCTGGAGTTGGGTATGGTTCCCCAGGCTGTGTGCTGCCAGTTCCTGACGACAACCTGCGCTTGCTCCCAGAGGTCAGTTGGAAGATTTTCTCCGGTTGTTGCGATGACCTCAACACGGCTTCTGGTAGGCGTTGTGCCAATGGTACGCGAAGGCTCCGCAGCCTGAGTTGGCCACTTCTGACTCAACCGAGTGTGGGGTTATGAGGGCATGAGTGCACGAGGCAGGGGCAACCGTGGCATTTTTGACGACACAGCTGGCCGAGGCTCAAGAATGCAAAGAGCATCAAAGAGCCCATTCTGCCCCCCCTTGGCCGCTGGCAATCTGAAGAGCCATTATTGGCCCCAGGCGGTGCTGGCAGAACCTCAGTTTCCCTCAATGAGGCCCTGCATTGCACTGCATTGCGCTGCATTGCACTGCACATCGCACTGAGCAATGTCGTGTTCGGCCAACGGGAGTAATGATGCCCTGCCAGGTTGCGCGTCCTGGTCGGCTACTTGGAGTGCTTTGTGGTGGCGGGGGGGAGGTGCTGCTGATTCCCTGCTGAGTTTACGGGCGGCGACAAGCTACACGTGCGCCCTCCGGCACACGCCCCATTTCAGCTCGTCAACATCTACGGCTTGCGGCCCAGAGAACAGATCGGGAACTTTGGGCTCCGTTCCGAGAATGAACCATGGTAACCATAGTGACATAGTGAGCCCTTGAAGGTCCAACGGAGTGCTGCGTGAACGTTACGATGCCACAACCCCAGGGCTGCACTGGAGATGCTGCTGCTGCTGCTGCTGCTGCTGCTCTGCGTGGCTTGCGCCACTGCGTGGCTTGCGCTCATCGCAGAGAGGTGCCTGGTCCCGCCTGGCCAAGGGATGCCCAACATTGTCCTTCCCTCGGAGTGGGTGTGGGTGCACGCTTGCGATTGCAAGTGCGGAATGCTGTAGATCGTTGATCCGTGGATCCTGCCCAGCAGCGCTGCTCCATGACAGATGTCAATAAGCGTCATTGCGTCATGCAGCAGCATGGAAAAACTCGCAAAAGACTCCTGGGAAGGGAGAGCCGGTTCCAAACATCCAGCTCTACGTACTCGCGAGCGCCTCAGAGCATTGCTGAGTCTTGAACTCGCCATGATCTTGTGGTATGTCTTGTGTACATATACGCCCACACTACTATAGATGTGTACTGCTTAAATCTGGTCAATTGACGTGGGCTTCTTGGTTCGATTCTTCCCTGAGTTGGCCGAAGCCAGGATCCGCAGATGAGGCCCCAGGCGCACCGGCACCCGGAGTGTGTCAGTTTGTGCGTATCGCAGCGTGCAATGCAGCGTGTAACGCAGCGTGTAATGCAGCGTGTACGGAGAATTTTTGCTGCCCTTTGACTTTCATGAAGAGGGCTGATGTCGAAGCCGTGGAAGCTGAGGTGCGGGATGGTTGGGGAGCTTTGTGTGGGAGGCCTTCAGGCTGGTGAATGCGGCAACAGCAGCACCTCTGTCGCACTCACTGTCGGGCCTTGATGCGAGATGCGAGGTGGCTGCCGGATATCTCAACCGATCCGAGCTCACAGCTGCAAAGTTTGTGTGCTGCCGGCTGAAGTTTGGACTAAAGCGCCCCGAAAGAATGCGTTCTGCGCAAGCATACATCGCCTAAAACATGGTTTTGGGCATCCCAACTCCCCAAAACCATGTCGTTGAAGTTGGGTGCCATGTCCAAACTCATTGAGACTTCAGGTCAACAGAGAGAACCAAGTTGATGACATTCGAGTCATTTTCAGAAACTGTTTTTCGAGATACACTTTGATCAGGTACATCCCCTGTTGGACTTAGTTCATACACTTCTTTAGAACATGTTTTACCTTCACGAAGACAGCAACTCAAGATGGGCCAGAAATGGGAGGTAACGTTGGGGCTCATGCAAAAGAAAAGGCTTCGTTTAACCCTCCGGGGGTTCGTCAAAGGATTCGGGGAAGGCGGCCTGGTTGTCTGTGGTGCACCTGTCCAAGTACTCGGTACTAACTAGAGATGGTGTTCGCGTTGTCCTGGCTTTGGAGTGACTAAAGCACTGTTCCGCGTGATAATCAGGTGCCTACGGTCGGGGGTGTGAGCCCTAACCCCTACACTCCTAGCAACGCTGGTCTAGATTCTTCTTCATCCTAAGCTCGAATTTGATTTTAAGAGCATCTTTGCGGAACTCTTTTGTGTTGACAGGGTCAAGGATGCCAAGGCACGAGAGCCCGGAAGATTTCAGTTGTCAAGGCGACATCTCCGCGTTTTCCGACTCGTTGTTTCTGACTCGGGCCCCACCCTGAAAATTTCTTGTTTTGTCTGCTATGCCTGCTACGTTTCCTGAAAAAGGCGCTCAAAGGAACATGGTTTCTGGATCCTCTTCTTTTGGTCCAATCCGCAATGGAGCGAAGCCCTCAAGGCCCCACGTCGGCTATTCGTTGCGCCCTTCAACATGTAGGGTTGATCAGGGGATCCCCAATGCCAAGCAACCCCGCATCTTCAGTGAACGTTGCGCGAGCCTTTCAACGACTCCCCGGGCAACAGCCAGGCCCAACCCTTTCGAGGGCCGAATAGATGACAAGGCGCGTTGCAATGGCCCTCTCCCTTTACTTTTCCTCTCTTCTCGCTCGGTATATCTATATATATGAATATATATATATATTTTTTTTTTATACATACATATATATGTATCTGGTCAGCCCTCCCCCCATCAGAAAAAACACAAACGCCAAATTTTCCTTTCCCCCCGGACACGCACCCGTGCTGAAAACCTTGGCAAGCGCGGTAAAAATCGACTTTTCCCGATAAAGGATTCTCGATGCTTCTCCAAGGAGGCTTTGCGTAGTCAACCTCCCCCCAAGCCGCGTTAAAACTAACAGTGTCTATATGTGTTGCTCATGATTGGTTCTGAAATGTATGTCGTATATAAGCATTCTGAAAAATGGTCGACCAGTCTTCTTGCCTGTCTCAACGAGAACTGTTTGATGGATCAGGTCCAACATCGAATGATTAGAATATCGTGAGGCTTCTTTTTATGACTACTGCATCGATAATCAGAATACGAATAATCTCCTTAAAGCTTTCATAATGTACGGACAGAAACAACAAATTTCACATATTTCAACAAATCTTATCATAATGTAGTGTTCATAACTACTTAACATATGGCTATATGACTTATACAAATACTTGATTTTTATTTAGTATAGTCAGTACCACGGATACGATTCATCTACAATTTTAACTGTTGCATCTGATGTACTTAATTATTCTAAGATAGACAATCTTCTTGATGAATAAATGCGATAATATAGCTATCGTAACCATTGGCATTCACACAAGGCAAGAAGCTGATCAAGTTCCGTTCCGTTCCGGCCTTCCGTTCCGGCCTCCGGGGTGGCAAATGGCCCCCCGCCCCTAGTGATCGAAACCCAACCCTTCGGCAGTCGGGAATTACAATGTTGATTATATGCCGTATAGGCTTCAGAATCAGGATTCATTTGATCCTTATGACCTTATTATATCAGTATATAGTGAAAGTAGTTAAGAGAACGAGCATAGTGTTGATAAGTAATGTAAGAGGTACATCTGATACACACGATCCTACTGATGCAATTAGTATACTAATACCTAAGATTTGATCGTCGAATTATACTGTGACATACCCTTCGGAATTAATACAAGGCATTGAGCTTACTTTTATTATGTTCGTTATATTCAGAGCAGTCATTATTCTCAGTATGCATTTTATCCTTATGACCCGAGTCATCATAAGTTTCAGTGTATCGGTTTGTGTTCACTCGCTGCATTCATTCTAGTGATGAGTATACTTCATCTTTCTGCATGTTCATTATACTCAATTTATTCTGTGTATTCGTTATACATTTTGTTCATTGTATTTGTTCGGTTCGATGGATTCAATGTACACACTGTGCAACTTGTATTGCTTTTTCGACAGAGTTTAACTAACGGGGGTAGTTACACTAGTCATAGTCAGTTCAGTAATTATGTTTTCTTAATCTTTGCATCACCCGGAAACCCCAAACAACATGTCAGGCTCTGCAGGGATTCCGAGGACAATATACTGGAGAAAATACACCTCAAACAACTCATGTTTTCAAGCTTGATTCTCAAGGGCATCAGGGCCACTGTGTTGTGCTAGTTATATGCAGTACAGCAGAACCACCATGATAATTGTAAACGCTTGCGCGCGTCGCCTCGGCAGCCGGGCCGGCCCACGGACAGGAAAGGAAAGAGGGTTTCTGGTCAGGAAGCGGGGAGGGTTTTCTGGCAGGTGCCAGATCGGTTTCAGGGGCAGGAGTCTCGGGCAGGTCCCAGGGGGGGTTTCAAGGGGGGGTCCCAGGTTTGCAGCTCCTCCAAGCGATTGGGGGGCGTCCCACAGGCCGGGGGGTGGGGTCAGCCACAAAATTTTGTGCGGGGGAAGGGTTCGCTTCTCGGCAGGAAGCCGAGGCGAATCAGTATTCAATGTTTTCTTGTCCAGTTCTAGGCTGCTTATGTGGGGTGTGGTGGGGGGGGTACCCGGATCCAAGATAATCTTCTTGAGAACGCGTGACCGAAATAATTCATGTTTTAAGTTTCGCTTATCGGGGGGGGGAGGTGCATGTGATCGCTTGAGAGAAGATGTTTCGTACGAAACACAACATACGTAAAACATATGACACGTCGGGAAGCCTAGCTTGAGATGAGGTGTTGTGGCTTCAGTCCAAGATCCACAGGCCTGTTTGTCCAAAAGTCCATGTTTTTTGTGCTTTTGGACATATAGACCTGACAATCTTGGACTGTTGGACTTTTGGACTCATGCGCCTGAGAATCTTGGATTGTTGGACTTGTGGACCTTCAGACTTGAGACTTCTGGAGTCTTCGACTATTGACCCACCCCAGCCACGACAGGCACGCGTCATGGGAGGGGGGGGGGGGGGTGGAGCAAAAATACCAGTATATGTGTGTGTGCATATAAATACATATATGTATATTTATTTATTATTGGTTTTTTAGTCTCTCGCGCTCTCGCTCTCTCGCTCTCTCGCTCTCTCGCTCTCTCGCTCTCTCGCTCTCTCGCTCTCTCGCTCTCTCGCTCTCTCGCTCTCTCGCTCTCTCGCTCTCTCGCTCTCTCGCTCTACCTCTTTCTCTCGTGGTCCCCCACTTTTCAATGTGTGGCCGCCCTCTCCATTCGCAGGGCCCCACGCAATGGCCCTGTGGGCCCGGCTGGGAGGGACGCCGTGGGCCCCATCCTTCCTGGGAGGCGCGAGAGAAGGGCTCTAAAATCAATGACCCTTCTTGTGTTTTAGGGATCTCTCTGAGCTGAGAAAATAATTGCTTCGCGATATATGTTTATAGAAATATATACATCAATTTGAGTCGCTCTCTTTTTTGGACTCAAAAGAGTGCTTGCTTGAAGCCCCACTTGTGTTTGTTTCTTCTTTCCTCAGAGGGGCCTGGCTGGGCTGCCCGCTCGGTGGAGTCCGCCCCGGTGCACGGCCAAGGCCTTAGAACGAGAGCTCAGCCCGAGCTCAGCCCGAGAGAGCCTCTCCCCCCCGTCCCCTCTCTTTAAGAGAGAGACAGAGAGAGAGAGAGAGAGAGAGAGAGAGAGAGAGAGAGAGAGAGAGGGAGAGGAGAGCTCCCCACTCTCTTACAGCTTATTCCACTTATATCCACTTACATCCACTTGTATTCACCTTGACACTCTCAGACTAAAAAAAGCACTTCACTTGTACACTTTTTGTCAGCAGAGCGCCGTCTTCTCAGCAGATACTTCACTCTCAGAGGCCGTTGTCCCTTCTGGAGCCCAAAAGAACCCCCCTTCCTTTAGAGGTCATCGCCTCTACAAGACGGGCGATCTCGTGCGTTGGACGGAGGATGGATCCCTGAACTACTTCGGTCGAATCGACGGCCAGGTGAGAAGCTGATGCTGTAACATGCTGATGATGGCTGACATGCGCTGCTGACGGCGGACTCTCGTTTGTTTTCAGTTTGGAGGTCAAGATCAGGGGTCAGCGGATCGAAGTTGGCGAGATCGAGGCGAGACTGCTCCAACACCAGGCCAGGCTTCAAAGGGCTTCAAAGTGTTTGGACACTGGCCGGAGTGCATTGACATGACACGAGCCGCTGCACTTGGATGATTTCCTGGTGCGACACGCTGAGCTAGCGAGTCCAAGACCAAGCCTGGCGGCGCGTCAACGTGAGATAGAAAGCCAGTGATTGCACATCGGCACTTCGGTCAAAGTCTCCACTGGGTCATACGGGCATCATGAAACCCAAAGGCCGCTCGCTAAGAACCACGACTCGAATCCATAGAATCCATAGAAGTCCCGTTCGTGAATCTTCAGCTCACCAGACCCAATTTCATGATGGGATGTTCCTCTTATGCTGCAGCGTCGTGCTTCAGGGGAGCATTTCTGCGGAGATCGTCGCTTTGCGTTTTTCTGCATGTTCATGTGAGCGTGAGCAGAGGCTGTCCGCGAATGTGTGGTCCATTGCCACTCACTACCTGACCACGACAAAGTCCTCGTGGGATACTGGACTCCCAAAGCAGGACGACTGGGACCGTCACAGTTTTTTTTTGCATCTGCACTGAGTCACTGAGCCATCACTGAGCCATCATTCTCCAACTTGATCAGGAGTTGAATCTGCTGAATCTGCTGATCTGGAGCAGCATTTGCAAGCCACACTGCCAGAGTACATGGTTCCAAAGGCCAGGCCATGCCACGTTGCCAGCCACATTGAGCCACATTGAACTCCACATTGAGCCACATTGCTTTTGTGGGATCCACTCTGCTTTCCTCTCAAGTCTTTGGTTTGTGTATGTTTGTGTCCTCAGAGAGCAATATGCCTAATGCGCGGTGCCGATAAGTGTTGAAACCTGGCCTTGATATTTTGTTCGAGCAGGGCTTGGCTGCTTGTGAGAAGTAGTTTCGAGATGCCAAGGCAATATTTGGACAGGGGTAGGTTCCGTATGAGACGAGAAAGGGTGGATTCCGCATACGGGGTTTGAGGCAATGAAAGGAAGCATGTATGTCAGAGAAGGTGGCTTCCGGATAAGGCAGTTTATGCAAGAGAAGGGGGGGTCGGGGGTTCCGGATCAGGCTGTTCTTGACGAAAAGGTGGGCCTGGCATGAGATGCGTGCGACCCTTTTAACACTTCGCGGCAGCAGGAAAGGAAAAGCTTGTTTGGGCACCCCAACCTTCCTAAACTTTGAGAAAGTGTCAAGTAGGAGCCAGAAAGACGCATGCTTCTAGGCCCCACAGGGTCGTGAGGCGGTCCCTGAAGACGGCCTTCGTTTTGCGTGTTTTCTTAGGGTGAGGCTCTCAGTTCCTCCAAACACAAAAATCATGTGTAAAATGCGTCGAGAGGTCCGAGCCTTTTTGGTCTTGTGCAGTCCTGTCGAGGGGATTCTACATTCTACCTGCCCTTTGCGGGGCCTCCTCGCAGGGCCCCAGGGCCGTCGGAGCAATGCAGGAACCTCCTCAACACATCTCGGGAGGTACTTTTTTTCGTCACATGATCGTAAATTGCACGTTCTTGTACCTGAGTAGAAACAACTGCAGTGGGTTCGGAGTAGGTTTTCATCAAGATGGACCAGCTGGCCCTGACGGCCAATGGTAAAGTTGACCGACGAGCTCTACCTCCACCCACATTTACGCCAGCCCACGATGAGGCCATTCTTGCGATTGCAAAAGCAGAGCACACCATGGCAAATCGCATTTGCAGTTTTGTTTGCACAGCAACGATACTATCGCAATTCAGACAAGGGGGTGTCCGCGTTAAGGTGCCGGGGCGCACAGATTGCTCGGGTCAGCTTGAGGCCAGCGAAGGGTCTCCGTGCTTTGTTTTTTTGTGCCTCTTTGATGTTGCTCCCTGTTTTTTTCCACTTCTTGCAAGCACCAGAAGGACGTAGATTTTGACGTGAAAGCGATATGTGGGACCGAGAAGAGGCCGCGCTGCAGTCGGCCTTCGCCGCGGTCCTGGGCAGAAAGGCATCCGAGGCCAGAGCAGGGTGCGGCGTAGAATCGCTTCTTGAGCGGAACCCATGGGCAGGGATGACACGCTCTTGGGAGTTTTTGTGAAAGTGCTCTTGAGCCCTTCGAGGTGCCTGTTGCGGCATCCTTCTTCGCGCTGGGTGGGCACTCCCTCTCCGTGGGACAGCTTGTCAACAGGATCCGCCGAGAGCTAAGGCTCAACGCTGCCATTGCGGATGTCTACAGCGCGCCGAGCGTTCAGCAGCTTGCCGTCCGACTGCTTCCTGCACACACTGCCTCCACCAGAGATGTGACGGACGCGGGCACACCACCTGCGCCACCTGCGCCATCTGGCCAGAGCCGCTATCCTGCCTCCTTCCAGCAGCTGTCGCTCCAACGAATGTCCAGTGTGAGCACAGCGGCCTCGGCGGCCCTGAACTTGGCATTTTGCTGCCATGCCCGAGCCTCAGTTTCGCATGTGTTCGCGTGCCTTTGCCTCGGTGCTCACAGAGCCCATATGGATTGCGGAGAGTGCCATTTAACCTGCCAGTACCTGCCAATCCGAGTGAGGGATAGTCGGATATATTCGGATCTTCATCTCGTGGACGGGTACTCGAATACTCGCTCTCCAAGGTGCGGGGATCACTGGATGTCTCGGTGCTGCAGGAGGCCTTCCGCGCGCTGTGCGCTCGCCACGACGCCCTCCGCAGCGTCTTCGCTCCTTCGGAGCCTCTTTCAGAGTCCACTGCAGAGTGCACTGCAGAGAAGGAGGCTCAAAACGAAGAGCCGGGTCCGGAGGCTCAGTCTCAGGCAGTTTCTGTCCGTCTCATTTCGGCGGAGGATTGCCTGGACTTCCGTCACATTCCTCACATCGAAAGCTCGGAGTTTGAGTTGGATTGGCTCTTGGATGAGCAGTACAAGGTCTTCGATCTGGAGGCTGGGCCTCTTTGCAGGGTCCGCATCTTGCAGGAGAAAGCGGAGGCAGACGCGTGGATTCTTCACTGGACGCTCCATCACGTGAGCGCGGACTTGTGGAGCTACACCGTCCTCTTGAAGGACTTGGAATGGGCCTACGAGTCCTACAAGCTGTCCGGTGCGGTCACTTGGCCGAGCCCGGCCCCACAGTACAGGTCCCTCGCTCGCACCGCAGCACCTTTCACATCCTCTTTACCTTCTGTAGGACGCTGCGGGAGTGTTGTGGGCTTGAGTAGGCCTTTCAAATCCGGCCCAGGGACTACGCACTGCAGGAGGCGCAGTGGCTGCGCTCCGAGGAAGGGGAGAGGGGCCGAAGCTACTGGCAACAGAAGCTCCAACGGCCCCCGCCAGTGCTGGATCTGCCTGGAGCGATGCCAAGTGGGCCAAGTGAGCGAAAGGCGACCTTCAAGGGTAGCAAACTGGACACTTGGCAGAGGGCGAAGCTGCTGCCTTTCCTGTTTTTGCGTCTGTCATGCAACCCTCTTGCATCTGTCTTGCATCTTCCAGTGAGACACGTCAGAAAGGCAACTGAGATCAACATGGTCAACTCAGGGTCGAAGATATGATGGATGATAAAGGGGATAAAAGGCCTCAAGGTCACTCACAGTGAACCAACCAGATTGTATTCGCTGTGTTTGGCATGCTTAGGTTTTGGAGTGATCAACTGTCGGGGTGTCGTTGCAGGCCCTGTCCTTGTCCTTGTGGCGGTTGTGGCGGTGTTGGCACTGTTGTGGCAATGTGTGCCTTGCTGTTGAGGATTTCGAAGTGTCCGCAGAGCTCTCGGAAGCCCTTCGCGGCCTTGGACAACGTTGCCAAGCCTCACTACACTCTACGCTCCTGACTGCATGGATGGTGCTCCTGAGCCGATATGGCCAGGACACGGGCTCTTACCGATAATCGTGGTGTTCAATGTGTTCATTCGTACCGGTTGCTATGGAACCGACCGATGCAATCGATCTCTTGCAAGATCGAAGACGCCTAGCGGCGAATCAGCGGCCGCTCCCCAAGATTGTCGGCAAGGGTAGCCGGGTCCAGGGCGTGTCCGAGGAAGGGTCCGAGATGCTCCTGATGCGCGCCCGCCGCTAGGACTCCTGATCACACACTGGGCTAGGCCATGGGGCCGCTGATGCTGATGATGTGCGCCTCGTGCCGCTGATGCTGCTGATGCGCGCCCTCTTTGGGGCACGGGAAAGGCTTGCGTGGGGTGCTGGAAAAAAAAGACATGGACGCAGCCCTGGACACCCTTCAAATCGGTTGGGGGGCGCGAAGGACCCCAGCTGATGCTGATGATGCGCCCCCAGGCCCGCCAAGGACCCCCAGCTGATGCTCATGATGCACCATGGCGCATCCAGATGCTCAGCTTGCAGCGGGCCAAGCAGCGGACCCAGTAGCATGGATCAAATCTAAAGCAGTGAAGAATAAAAGCTTTTAGTTCTTTGTCATCCAGCTCGAGAAAAAAGCCTCATGTGTGCAGTGGAGCCAACACACGAGCGAGCAGCATGGCTCCTCCCCCGAGTCTGGAGAGTGGAGCGGCCTTTCACGGACGCACGGGGTCGGCAGTGTGATCACTGTTGAACCCACTTGGAGGTAGCAACCACAGGCATGTACGATAAAGTTCCATAGGACCTGCACAGATGACCCATGACACCGACTGGCACCTGATTTTGTGTACTTACGGTAGAAGTCGGCCTTTTGCGACCAGGAGGAGGACATCTGCGTTGGTACCCCCATGGCCTGCCGCACCACTGCGGAGTCTGAAGCGACCGCGGGCTACTTTGCGAACCCTCTTTGCATCCGCGCCACCGTGACGGGCAGTTATGAGAAGCTGCTGAGAGATGTGGCCAAGGACGTGGCAGAGGCCCTGCAGCATCAGCGGGTGCCGCTCAGCTTTGTTTGCGACGACTTGGGTTTGGATCTGCGCGGGCTGCTCCAGCCTCTTTTTGTACCTCGGCTGCAACTTGCTAGAGGGACCAGTTGCTTGTTGCACGTCCCACGTTGGCAAGCCACGACGTTGAAAGCACTTCGAAGTTTTTCGATGAAGCCTGAAGGTGTTCCAGACTTGCCCGGACGAGCAGTATCAATCCTGCTTGCCGTCTTTCTTCATGGGCCACGAGGGGTCTGAGATGTCGTTGGGGTCCTTGCGCTTAGAGTCCATGGGGCTCGGACTGCGCTTTGCCCAATTCGACTTGGCGCTTGTGCTGGCGACGGCCATGGATGGCCACATCATCGGCAGCTTCCAGTACAGTACCGCATCGTACACGCGCGAGGCGACCCTCCGCCTGCAGGTCCAGTACTTGAAAATTCTGCAAGCCATGACGAAGGATCCTTTGAAGGATGTTGGCCAACTTCCACTCTTTGCGGAAGAGGACAGATCTCCGAATCACACGGGAGTGTAGTATCTTGCGTAGAATATAGAGGGTGTGCAGGACTTGAGCAAACTGAGTAAGCTGAGCAAGCGGAGCAAACCAACGAAACACGCTGAGATGCTGCAAAGGGCGCAAAACCGACTCGGCGGTGCCACAAATGGACCCCGCCAAAGACATTCGGACTCCGTTGGGCTCTGTTAGCCTACAATATTCCGACCTCATCCGGTGTGCTTTGACTTGTAAAGAGGTTTCTGGACTCTTAAGTCTTGTTGCAGACATCTACAGCATTGGAGACGAGCGCTACAAATGGAGGCATTCCTCTGGCAAATTCGGCTCATTGTATTGTAAAGCGATTCCGTCAAGATCCCAAAGAAAGGAAAGCGATACATCCTGTTTCTTTTGTTTGGGGTGTGTCTTGCTTTACGAAATGGGGGCTTATTCGGATGTTATCTTTTCGCCCAAGCCCTAATTATATACACCCCCAGATCCCCAGAAAGTTACAGGGACTGCCGGGAAAAACCTCGGTTTTTGGGATTTGCTGATGGCTCATTCTTCATGAGTAAGTTTGTCCAATGGCTGCACATGTAGTGTTCCACCAAACATACAGACCCCATCAAAGAACGTATGAATGCTACGTGTATTTCTATCGACATTTTAATATTCCCAGCGTCTACATAGCTCGATCGACTCGATCGAACCGTTTATTCATTTGTGAGTATCGACGGGAGTTCTTTTGAAAGTTGAGCCGCATGTGCTGCTGATGCAGTTCTTTCGTTCTAGAGAAAGAGCCCAAAGCCCCACCGATTGGGTGTTGCCATGCCCGCCCTGTCAACAAATGTCAAAAAAGCTTCGGCCGGGTGGCTCCAGGATCTGGCAGAGCTACGACGCCGCGTGACGAGCCCGTGGCTTCAGGCCTTGTCGGTGCTGGGGTTAGCTGTGACCCTGAGTGCGCGAGTGTTTGCGCGCCCGCCTGCGCCATGGTTGGTTCAGGGCTTCGTTTAACGCCTAGACCAGCACCCTCAATCGACCGACCATCTATCAGATAGTCGTGAATCGCACATGCCAGTGCGGCGCCCTGAGCTTTTCCCAAAAATCCCTAGAGCGCTGCGTGCTATTCGGCGTGAACTTAATTTTGAAGGACCGCCCGCACAAGCGGCATGGCTATCTGCGGCCACACGCTTGCTACTAGCAGTACCAGCAGTCTTGAGGTGCCCGCAATGCAACAACCACAATGCGAATAAACGGCAGCACAGTGCGGCGAAATCTGCATATTTCGTCACATGCCCCCATTCTTTAGAGCGCTCTTCAGCCACAGCTGTTGTAGGACCTCCCCAACGAGTCCCTGCCGAGACTCGTGGAGTCACGCGCCGAAGAGAACCCCAGCGCCTTCGCGGTGGTGAGCCCACAGGGGACCTACACCTTCGGCGAGGTGCTCCGGCGCGCGCAGCTCCTGGCCATGGCCCTGCTCGAGGCACCGACGGGACCCTCAAGGCACGGCTCCAGGCACGGCAGCTTCCAGGCCTGGCCAAACCGAAGTGGTAGCCAAGAGCTCAAGGCCCCCCTGGTGGACCTGGTGGAGTCGGAGTCTGACGACGTGGAATCCCCCAACTTGCTGGTTGGGCTCATGGTGAGTCCCGGGCCTTGGATGGTCTCGGGCCCCTTGGGCGCCTGGATTGCGGGACGGGGCTACTTTGCCCTGGACTCCTCGCATCCAACAGAGCGCATACAGCAGATGGTCCAGGATGCCCGGGCCCCAGTGGAGACATAATCGTTGAAGTTGGCAAAAACTCCCGAATTCAGATTTCATGCTAGTTTCCCACAGCTCCGCGGCAAGGCACAGCCGCAGTGCCTCGTTTGTGAGCGGCGGGTGCAGTCCGTCGCCAACTCCTTGGGCTGGCCAACCCTCGTGGTGGAGGAGTGTGGATTCATACTGACACAGTAGGACCAGCAGCGCTTCATTGGCTTCTGTTAATTTAGGTGTTAGGACCGTTAGGAACTAGCAAGGCGGAGGAGGAGGAGGAGGAGGAGGAGGAGGAGGAGGAGGAGGAGGAGGAGGAGGAGGAGGAGGAGGAGGAGGAGGAGGAGGAGGAGGAGGAGGTGAGCAGGGAAAACAGGACTTTCGTACTTGTGGGGTAGGCCAGACCAAGGATCCCGATTCCCGGCAGGTGTCCAAACAGCAACAAAATAAACGACTGGGACCTCTAGCGCCCACTTAAGTGGACTGGGATCTCTCCTACTCCCCTGCAGTCTCAGAATGCCCTCCCCATCGTTGAAGGAGTTGCAAAGCAGGCGCCAAGTCTGCTCGCAAGGGTGCTCTTGCAGATCTATTCGCTGTTGGGATGTGAAGCTTGGCACTGTGCACAGGCGCCCAGCATCACCTTGGCCTTATCTTGAGGGGGAGGCACATGCAGTCCTTGTCTTCACAAGTGCCGCCCTCACACTTCAGATCATGCGGCCTTGCAGCACACTTGCACTCCGCTTCTTGTGGTCGTTTGCGGTATGCGGGTGCACTACCGCTTTCCATCCCGCAACTCAAGTCTCAGGTGGCTCTACTGGACGCCCGAAAGGCCTGAGACTCTCCCCCTCTCCCCCTCTCCCCCTCTCCACCTCTCCCCCTCTCTCCCCCTCTCTCCCCCTCTCTTCCCCTCTCTCCCCCTCTCTCCCCCTCTCTCCCCCTCTCTCTCCCCCTCTCTCCCCCCTCTCTCCCTCTCTCTCCTTCTGTCTCCCCTCTCTCTCCCCCTCTCTCCCTCTCTCTCCCCTCCCTCTCTCTCTCGCTCTTCTCCTCTCTCCCTCTCTCTCCCTCTCTCTCCCTTCTCTCTCTCGCCCTCTCTCCCCTCTCTCTCCCCTCTTCCTCCTCTCTCCCTCTCTCTCCTCTCCGCTCTCCCTCTCTCTCCCTCTCTCTCCCTCTCTCTTCCCTCTCTCTCCCTCCCTCTCTCCCTTTCTCTCTCTCTCCTCTCTCTCTCTCCCTCTCTCTCCCTCTCTCTCCCTTTCTCTCTCTCCCTCTCTCTCCCTCTCTCGCTCTCTCACTCTGGCGGACTCGTTCAGGCGTTCTGCTTTCGATGCGGGCGGTGCTGACGCACATCTTGTTCAGCAGCCGACACTTCGGCTTCAAACCTGGGCAGGCTCTTTACTTGCCAATGGCTTGAGCATGCTATCCACGCGGTGCAGCAGCAACAACACTTCTTTTCTGCATGCTCGGCTTATCCAGGCAGCGCTGCAGCACACGTCATGGACATTCGATGCGTGCTGCCCTCGTCAGATTGCAGTTGGTTTAACCTTATGTCACCGAGCCAGTCGCAGGCCCATATGTGAAATTTGGCCGGCGTTGCTGTCTGGGGCAACAGTTGTTATCAGCAAGCGGGACGGCTCGAAGGCACTCGGCTGTCTTTTGCATGTTTCGTGCTCAGATCTGCTCAGATGTGCTCAGACTCCAGGATTTTCAGTACCTCGCCTCGTTGATTGACGAACAGCGGGTCAGCAAGCCACTCAGAGAAATTCAACGAAGTGACGGAATGATGAGCTTCACACGGACCTTTGAGGCCACGCTCTCTTCGTGCCCTCCTTGCTTGCCGACACTTTGAGTAAAGAATTGAATGTGCAGAGCGCGTCTTCGGCTCACTTCAGATCTTATTGCGGACATCTCATGCAGCTAAGGAGATCCTGGAGCACCAAGCCCTACCTCGGAGTCTGCGGTCCTTGGTTGTGGTGGGTGAGGCACAGCTCGAGTTAAACACTCAGTGATACGCTCCGCGTGGTACTGCGCTCTGTTACAATGAGTTGGCAGCACCAATTGGCAGGCCTGCTCCCTCAGCCTAGCCAGGCGCATTTTGGAGGTGGGAAGTTAGGGCGAAGTCATAATGAGACGCGAGATGTCACCGTTTGATTTTACGAAGTTTGCACTTTTTCGTCGCTTGAGGCCCCGCTGTCCTTGAACAACTTCTATGGGCCCTCTGAAGCAGGCATTGGCGCCACCATTTACGAGGTGGGGGACAGCCTGATGCAAATGCTGAAGGCTCTGCCACACCAATGGCACTGTGTTCTAGGTAGACAAGATCGGTGCTGTCCCTCGACATGTCCGTACCCCGGGCTATCTAAAGGTCATGCGCCTGTTGTGGTCAGAAGAAAGGAGGGATAAAGAGGGCAAAGATTGACTCGAATTACGAGAGCAAAGGAGCAAAGTGTCAAAACCTCAGTGAGGTGCAGAGCCTGCCCATCGGGCGACCCGTCACCTGGCACGAGGTCGGCAGAGATGTGCAAGCACAGGTAGCCAGCAGCGAAGCAGCTTGTGAAGCTTTGCCTTTAAAGGCAGCTACTGAGACTCAGCGCACAACTCTCAGAGGCGTTACTCCCAAGCGGGGCATACTTTGTAGGGGAGGGAAGAGGGTTCCTGCTTGGGACTCCCGTGATTGGATTCCTGATCCTTTCGACGCTTTCATGGAGCCCGGCAAAGGCGTAGACGTGTGGTCGCAGGAGACGTACAAGTCCAACTATCGCTTGGCGTATTGCCATGCAATCGAGGATTTTCCCGACCGTGTCCAAAAAGCCAATTCAGCACGCTTGCTGCTGAAAAGCGCTGGAGACCCTGGACACAAACTGCACTTTGGGAACTGGCCCGCTAAAGGCGGTGAGAGCCCATGCGAGAGCCCTTTGAGCCCTGGAAGCCCGCAGAGCCGCAGCACAAGCCTACCCTACTCAGCGAAGAGCTTGGTCAAGGAGTCGATCTACCGGACAGATTATCGTCATGGCCAGTCCGCCGAGCTGGACCCTCACCTCGAAAGCTTCAGGCCAGCGACTGGGCATGCAAGTAGCAACAAAACTAACGATGGCGTTGGTGGTTTTTGTTTGGCTCTTCTTTAGGGGGAAGGCAGCGCCAGCGACTTGAAGGGCGAGTTTGAGGGGGCATCTCGCCGTTCAACATAAGGTTTGCACGAACGTGCTTGCAAATCTAGGCGCATCTTGGTGAGGATGTCGAAGATGTAGCTTGCCACGAGCCACAGCCTTCAAGGCATCTTTGTAAACCGCAGAAATTGGACGCCACAGGAACACATAGACGAACGAGAAGAATTAACAACTTTGCATTGCCAACTGCGCCAAGAGCATCCGGCAAGAATGCGGATCATTGGACGGAGAGGACTTAACCAGCAGCCCCCTTGACCGCCTTTGCTGCCCCAAATAGCACATGTTCGGGTACAGCATTCGCCACCAGCACCCGGCCCCCCTGAACCCTCCGACAACGGTCACCCAAGCCATCCGATCATCCAGCCACTAAGGTCGCCTTGCCGGGCAAGACGTGGAATACCGAGCTTTGGATGGCGAGCCTGCCCAAAAAGACCTCAGCCTAAGCCCCAATCGCCGGAGGCGCCCCCGCCCTGGCTTCCGCAGGACTGGACAATGCTTCCAAAGTTCCCCCCCGCTAAAGCGGGCAGTAGAACATCCTGCGCTCCGAAGACTCCGAAGGAGCATGGCGAAGCCCCTGTGGAGCCCCTGTGGAGCCCTGTGAAGTGTGAAGTCGGAATTCAGTTTCACGCAGTTTCACCAGGTGTGTTTGCCCACCTCCAGCGACATTCGAGTCACCTGAGAGGCATCAATAAGATTGCCAATTAAGGTTTCTTGGTGGTTTGCACGTCATGAGAGAGTTCTTGCTGGACATAAAGCCTCGAAACACTGCTGAAGTGCCCCAGATGATTCACATGTGAAGCCCGACTGAACAGTATATTATCTAGCCATCCAGAGAACTGTCGAAGAGGCTGGCAATGACTCAGGTGATCTTGCTGGACCCACAGCTGCGTCTTGAGCTGAGCTTCTGTGTTTGAGCAACCCTGCTGAGCATGCGAAGGTTGTGCTCTGAACATGTCATCGCGGCCACGCTTGTGAAGCTTGCGCATGTCTGCATGAAGAACCCAAACTGTTAACCCAAACTTTGCACGCTGCCATACGCCGCCAAAGCTCTGCATGTCAGTTGCTGTGGCTTGTTCCCCACCCTCCACCCTACGTGCGGGGCTGTTAGATTTTAAAACGAAACCTCTTCTCCTCGCCCATAGTCTGCTCCTTGCCCATCACCCGCATCCACACTACAGTATCCCCTCAGAGTCCCTGGAGTGCCACCTGTTCTCAGAGCCCCAGAGTATCCCCAGAGTGCCCAACCCCAAAGTATCCCCAGAGTCCCTGCTTGCGCCCAACCCAAGACCAGATCCACAAGATTTCGTGGAGTTTATTTCTAAGTGTTCAGAGAGAGTTGCTGGAGTGCCACCTTTGGAATGCCCGACCCAGAGTACTTCAGGAGTGCCCAACCCCAGAATGAGCATCCCTTGCCTGCAATGTGGGGATGTTGGAAGTAAAAGACTTGCATTTTTTGCTGAAATCGATGTGGACGCACATCGACGTACCTGCCAGTTTTCTTAGTAGTGAGATTGCACAGCGAAATTTGCATAAGGGGGCATTTGACTTCATCCTTGATGACTCTCTGCCAGACAAGACTTTGCAAATTGTGCCCGGCACGGGTTGCCGTCACGTCCTGCCACAGCAACTGAAAAGCCAAGCGGATGAAGTGTCCGAGTGTTTGAAAAAGCATGAAAAGGCATCTTTCAGCGGGTATGCGAGGCCCTGCCCTGGGCGACGCGGGGCAGATCGGCATCCTGGGCGAGGCCCTACGTTTTGTCGCCGCGCTAGCCGACGAAGTTCTTGTGCACAGTTTCCAAGCTTTTTGTTCCTAGGCTCTTTCCTGCGCATCCCAATAAGAGTGTTGCGTAGCAGCTAAGACTCTCAGACGGTGGATCGTCGTCTCGACGCCCCTCATGCCATCGTTGCCTCATTTTGTGTCAAGCTTTGTGAGGGCCTCGCCAGCGGATACCTCCACTTGCCACACGAGACGAAGACGCGGTTCATCAAGACCCCAGAGGTGGCAACCGCTGACTCGTCTATTTGAAGGATGCGTCATCTAAAGGCTTGATTCTGTGGATTTGTGGGTTTGGCGTGTCGTGACCGTGTCGTGTCACCTCGGGACAAAACACTGTGAGAGGCTATCCGCGAGGTTCTCCCTCACTGTGGTCCCACGACCTACTTGACGGGGGATGTGGGCCGCTACTGCCAGGAGAACCCCCCCCCGCTAATGAGCCGCTAATGGGTGCCTTGCTGCTGCTGCTGTTCATGCATGGAGGTGGTCTGGAGTCGTGTAAGTGCTGTCACTCCAGGATGGTATTCTCGAGTTTGTGGGCCGGCTGGACAGTCAGGCAACGTGGCAGTCTCTTGCAATCTCTTGCAATCTGTTGCAGTAAGCTGTGCGATCTGTTGCATGGAGAGCAGCCGTTTTTCGCCAACGCGGGCACAAAGTCAAGAAAAAATCAGCAAACACCGCACAAGGTGGGCACCCCCCCCCGGCCCAATTTGCAAACCTCATGCTCGCATGATGAGTTTCACAAAGACTCATCTTTAAAGCCACGGCGAAAAAAGCAGGTCGGTTTGGGGAGGGGCACACCGGCCCCCCCCCCCCGCCCCACACCATGCTCGTGGTTTGAAGCAAGCTTGCACCACCGCCTCACCGCCCAACCCACTGCCCCACTGCCCCACTGCCCCACTGCCCCACCGCCCAACCACCCAACCACCCAACCACTCACCACCTGGTGTCTGCCTATGTGTAGCCGTTTGCTTTGCTGAATCTAGCTTTTTCTTTCCGTGACTTCTCCATTCTCGCACTTGCCAGATTCTTTCGAGGCGTTTTCCACATGAGCACACCTCAATGTGCCTCAGTGGAGCTTCGAAGGTGAAGCTGCGCGGTCAGCGGGTGGAACTTGGGGAGATCGAGGCGGCGCTCCTCTCGGCGCCTGCCGTGACAGAGGCTTCCCACGGGGGTCAACCAAGTTAGTCAGCATCCCCGAAGCATCCTCCAACTCGCTAACCACCTCGGAGGCGGTTGCCCTTGTGCACGCGGACCGGCTCATCGGATACTTCTCCACCTTGCAGGCTCCGCCTTGGCTTCGCGCGAGTTGCTTCCTTAGCTCCCCTCTGCCCTCTTTGCCCGCTCAGGGTGTGGAGGAGGGCGAAGCCGTCTCGCAGTGCGTGGACAAAACGCGGCAGCGGCTGCCCAGGCCGAAGGGAACGAGAGCGGATGAGAGCGGCCCGGTACCTCCTTTCCGCCCAGTTTGTGAATCAGTTTATGTCATCATATGTCATCATGCAGTCGCAACTTCTCATCTGGCAGCTCGCGCCATCTCCTTTTGAAGGTACATGTGGCCGGAGCTCGTCCACATCAAGGAGTGGCCAAGAGGTCGCACGGGCAAGGCGGGCGCCACCATTCTACGATTTGGGAAGAGATTTTGAGTGGAAGAGAACGATCCTGGAGGTTGTTTTGACACAAAGAGTTCGCGCGCCTGAGGTCGATCGGAAAGCCTTGCCAGTGCCGACGATTTGTGTGCAGGACACCGTGGCCCCAAGGTTCGGGTCATGGCCCTCCCAATGTCGAGTCGAATATGGCGCCGTTTTGGCTATGCCAGGTCGTCCTTAGAGAAGAAGATCCTGGACATCTTCTGCCAGGCAAAAAAAGTCAGCTGGCGCTCATCGCATTTGTTGTCTCTCTCTCTCTCTCTTTCTTTCTCTCTCTCTCGCTTTCATAGTTTCTGTTCGTAACGGTGCAGGTGTTAAGGCGAGATCCCGCACTGACATCCGTCCACTCGGACTTCTTCACGTGATCTCCTCACATGTTCCACACTCTTTGGAAAGGGCGACTATACGCACCCTATTTTCAGAATGGCACTTGCAATGTGCGTTGTGTATGCCGACGTGGCTTGTTTTGCCTTCCCTGAGGCTAGGGGGCACATCCCTCAAAGCTGCAGCGCTGCTGTCAGCTCTGAGGGCTCAGGTGCCAGAGGCCAGCGCGAGATTCTGCCAGTGATGTTTGACCGTGTAACCTGAAGCCGTTCACAACTCAATGCGACGATCTGCGACGTTAGTTAAGCCACGAGAGAGCAAGTGAGCGTCTTGAATGTGCGGCTGTTTGAGTGGTCCGTAAGCAGGCAGTTTCATTGAAACGAGTAACATGAGTCCTCGAGTCTTCGGAGGGTGCTGGCTTTGAGGCCCTTGCGCTGCAGTTCGATGAGCTCTACGCCCACCCGGACGTGGCCGGCCTCGCCCAGGTGCTGTCTGGCAGCCGCCAGGCGCAGTGAGAACGCTTCAACGAAGGGCGCTCGCATCAACTCAACTCAACCTTCGCAAACGGGCGCAAGCGGGTCATCTGCGAGTCTGCGAGCCCCTTCCTCCTCGGATTCTCGCTTTGGAGAGGTGCTGGTCCTGGGTTGTGCTCCTGTGGAGGGGCTGCTGCCAGCCTCCTTGGGACAAGAGCACATGCCACCTGGCATCATATCGCAACAAAAATTGCAATTGCACATCTGACAGAGCATACTATCGCCATGGCCAGAGGGCAAACAGTCTCGGCACCGATTCTTTCCCCTCGTTTGCCTTCGTGGACCTCTGGGCTTGAGTACTCTCTTTGGAAAGCGCTTTTGTGTTTTTCTCTCTACTTGGCCTTTAGAACAAGTTGCGGAGTTGTAAAAAGAAGCGTCACACAGTCCACACGATTCGCCCAAGGCTCGTCCTCCAGGAGCTCCACGAGGGCAGCTCGGCCTACAACTCCCCGCTGATTCTGAAGCCCTGGCACCTGGTTACTGTCGTGAAATGCGCTCTCTCTCTGATGTGTTGTTTTTTCACCTTTCGCTTTTCACGAGCAGCCTCGCCTTGGCGTATTGAGGTTGGAGGGGAGCTTGAATAGATCCGCGCTGTCTGCCGCTCTGGACCGCGCCACTGGCCACCGAAGCTTTCTGAAGATCTCACGTGTTGCCGTGAGATGGTTTGAGAACTCTTGAGAATGTCTGGTAGATCCATTAAGGTCATCGCCAGGCCTCGCGAAGGCTGCCCGCATAGAATCATTTGCCACGCTCCCTCTTCCGCAGGCACGATGTGCTACGGAGCAACCTTCTGCGAGACAGCATCGATGGTGAGCCTGCCGTGGTCCAGGCAAGTCACGATAAGTCACGCGGGCTACGCAAACTGAGCCAACGCGAGCCAAGAGATGGGCAGGTCACGACTCCGGCAGCCGAGTTTTCGTGTGACATGGAGTTCTGGGATATCCCGGCGCATGCCTTACTGCCCCTCCCAGTCCCCTCCCCCCTTTCTTCTCCCTTACCCCTTGCTGCAGGGAGCGATTAGCGATTGACTCGTTGGACCCAGGATGACACGGCACAGCGACCGCAGCGACGCCGGCTTCGCCCACAGAGAAGCCCAAGTGCGGAAGACGCACATCTCGCAATCTCTCGCAATCGCATACACGTTCTTTGCACTGAGCATGTTCCTTCGGTCTCTGAGGCTGGGCAGCGGGCAGCGCGTGGTAGATGACGGAGGCTTGACATATAGCTCGCGGGACTTCGCTTTCATTGCCAGCTGACCTTGGCCCGGGCTGAGTGCTGGGCATGCACAGAGTCAAAGGTCAGGCCACAGCAAGTCTGTAGGTCTCTCACTGCGTCACGAAGTCTCTCAAAAAGAGTCGCAATGCCAAAGCGTCACAAAGACAAGTTAAGAGATGTCCCGGGGTTGGGCTTGTGGGGCACCTGACTCTACCTGGAGAATTCTTTCGCTATTGCTTCAACAACAGATCTGTCATCCTTCCAGAAGAAGTGGGTTTGAGTCCACACCTGGCGTGATTTGAGTCTGTGAAGAGCTCCAGGGTTGCCATGCTCTGTCTGTCAGGGTGAGCCGTGAGACTATCATGGCCTAGATCGACTACCTATCGACATCTTGTGACTCTTGGGCTTGTCTCGTGTGCTCTTCCTTGTGCAGGAGGAGCCGAGGGTGTGCAGCGAATGACCTCGTTCCAGCGCATGGGCTCATGGCCCGCTCACCGCCGTGTCCTAAAGCATCCAGAGCTACACCAGCTTTGCCAGGTTGGGCATCAGTGGTGAGTTCCGTTCGGGTCCCGGAGGCCCAGCGCAGCCTGCACTGCCCTATGCCAGTGCAACGCAGTGCAGCGCAGTGCAGCGCAGTGCAGCGCAGTGCAACGCAGTGCAACGCAGTGCAACGCCAGAATGCGACGGCTGGTAGGCACCGGCAACGTGGAGAGGCCGACGGGCACAGAACTAAAGCGCTTCACTGGCTCAACTCGAATAACTTCAGCAGCTGCTCATGTAAAGAGCTCCGAAACAATAGGGCGGCGAGTTGGCGGGGCCTCTTCGAGCGTGTGGGCTGCCCGGATCCAGATGCTGAGAGTCAGCCGTTTGTTCTCCCTTTGTCAGACAACTTGAGTCTGAGAGCCCTTCAGGCCCAAAGCCCCCAAGGCCCCAAGGCCCCAAGGCCCCAAGGCCCCAAGGCCCCAAGGCCCCAAGTCCCCAAGGCAAACGTAGCCACGCCCTCTCTATGCCTCAGGGCAGGCCACGGCGTCCCAGCTGGTCGCCAGTCTTGTACCAGGTGGCTCGGGGTTTGGCAAGCCTCGGGATTGAGACATCTTGGGACATGAACTTTATAGCTTTCACCAGCGCTCTGCCTCTATTTGCCAGGGCTACAACTCTCCTCCGTTGCGATCGCCCAACGAAGATCGGGAAGCTGCTAGCCTAGTTTCTTGCCAGGTGCAGAAATCAGGCCACTCAAGGCCACGCCATCAGCAGAGCGCAAAGCCCCGAGGACAGGATGCCCCTTACAGAAATGCTGGTGTCCTACTGCTTTGGCATTCAGCGCGCAACCATGTGCAACATCCAACATGGGTCAGATATGGGCTATGGGCTGAAGGTGCAGCACCAGCAGCCTGAGTCTTGGTGATTTCAGCCGAGCGCAGCAATGGTCCTGGACTCAGTCGGGGCACTGCCGCAAGTGTTTGTGCAGTGGATAGACCTCAGGTCACCCGGGTGTAGCGAGCTGGTGCTATCCTGGTTGGTGGAGGAGGTTCAACGATATGCCGCAGCTCCGTGAGACATTCTTGAACTCTGTGAGATGTACAACAGGCCAAGAAGCCCTTTGACCTCCGGGACGAGCCCTTGCTCCGCGTCGTTCTGGCCAAGGAGCCCCGCGCACAAACAGAAGCAGGAGAGGGAACCGGAGTAGAACCAGACGAGAGGCGTTGCCGGGGATTGTCGGGAACATCCGGCAGCCGTCTTTTGAGCACTGTCCACCTTGCAGAGGCGAGCCCAGATTGCCACTTCCTGCTGATCAACATGCATCATGCTGCCAGGGCCACGGTTTCGGGTGTAGCACGAGTTCACGAATTCAGGACGTGCACTGGTCACTTAGCCATCTGTCGTATGTGACTATGTCAGTCACTATGTCATACTATGTTGTCAACGAACGAACCCATAATTGCAAACGCAGCGCAGTTGATAAAGACGGGCTCCGAACAAGAGTTCACGACCTCATCAGTCGTCTGCCACGCAGAGGCGAAAACAAGTCTTGAATGCTCTTTGCAGCAACGACAGCTGTCGGTGATGTCCACTTTGTCCCATCCCAGGCCCGAAGCCCTGAACTCGAGACTCTTAAGCGGGCATGGATGGGGCCCAGATTGAAGCTTAGCGCACCCTTGGCGAACGACAAGCTTGCTGAATCCCACGTCAGTTCTTAAGTCTCCAGCAAGCTTGATCACAACTGCAACTTCCAACTGGAAGTCCTTCTTCCTGCTGTGGCCTTCCCTAAAATGACACCCCGAGCGTCCAGTACGCTCAGCGCAAGTCTCTCGTCCGTGACCTGTGTATTGATCGAATTTTCATGCAATTATCAAAGCAATCACTTCGCAATCGCGATTTGTCTCAGGTCACGGACGGACGATCGCTGTCGATTCTCAGGCCCCATGTCAGCTCAGAAAAGAAAAAAAACAGGGCGCTGCAGCCGCTACTGAGCCGCCATTGCTTCCGGCAGGCAAGAGCTGACCGCCTTCTACAACCAGGCTGTGCTGAAGCTGGAGGCCTCGGACTGAGAGATCTCCGGAGCTCAATTGAGCGGCGCTTTTGAGCGGCGCTTTTGAGCGGAGAGTTAATGAAAGCTTGCCAGTGATCCCGAAAGAGCCCGAGCCTTGCGAGTCCTTGCATGTCCTTTGCATGTCCTTTGCATGCGAGTTGCGGGCACTTTGCCGAGCACTTGTGAAATCTGTGAGGCTCCCAAGCTGCCGGCCTTGTCGATGCAATACGCCGCTGCTTGGAGCGGAAGAAAGCGGCTTTTCAAAGCGGAGGGCAAAGCGAAAGGCAAGCTTCTTGATGGATTCTGTGCCAATTGTACAAGTCGCGCAGCCAAGGACTTTGCATACTGTCAAAGACAATGGATGGCCCAGGCGTTCGGTCACTGCTCTCACCCTTCTCTGGCCAATCGCTGCACGATGCTGAGCAACAGTTCTGCAACTTCGCGATTGATCTCAGGGTCGTCTTGAGAGGGAGCTGGCCTTCTGGCGATCCCAACTTCAGCAGCTACCGGCTCTTCAGGCCCTAAAAAACAGACAGAGCTGCAACACTCAGAGCACTCAAAAGAAACAGAAGAAGAACCGAAGAACCCTTCTCTCTCTCGCTTCTGTGCTTCTTGGCTTCTCTGCTTCTCTCTGCTTCTCCTTCCGCGCAGCTCCTCACGGACTTCTCCCGGCCTCCACACCTGGCGCTGGATGGGGGCCAGGCAGTCGAGAGAATTATCAGAGTCAGGAGGAGTTAAATTCAAGTCACTACTGTACTGTACTCGCTGCTTCACTGGCTTCTGACATCTTCTGACTCTCTTGCGGGCTCCCGCGGGGCGTGGCCTGTTTTTTTCGGGAGTGTTTGCGGAGGTCGCGTTTCAGTTGCAGCCGGCGCTTGCAAACCGGCTTCGCAGCCTGGCGCGGGCCAAGAGCGTCACGCTCTTCACGCTCCTCCTGGGCCTGCTGCTTACAGTGGCTTACAGGAGATCGGGAGACACAATCTTTGTTCTTCTGTTAACACTACGTCTCTGAATCTCTGAGGTGCTGAGTATCTGTTAAAGTCTATGTTCCCTCCTTCGATCTGCTTGGTTGAGGCCTCTTCAGCATGGCGCTGGGCCGCTGGGCTGCGGCACAGGACCTCGCCGTCGCGTCGCCCGTGGGCCATCGCCAGGGGCCGCACCCTCAAAAACCCCCAAAAGCGCTTAAGTGGCAAGCCCTTGAAGCCGCCGTTGAGTCTCAGCCTCCGGCACTTCTTTCTTCCCTTCCACAAAAGCACAGAAAGTCTGCACCCTCCATGGGGTCCCCAGTTGCTCTGCAACCCGCCCACAAGGAACGCTGTGGAGCCGCTGATTGGGTACTTTGTGTTGCTGCCTTTGTCGTCCTCTATCATGCTGCATGTGAGTGCAGCTGGCTAGTTTGGCTTGAGCCATCTGTTTTATAGGCATGTGGCTCTTGCAAAGGAACACCGTGCTCTTCCGCGTGAACCTGAAGCCTCCATGCACATTCGAGGTACGCCCATCGGAACGCCTGCATACTGTACGGCCTGTAGAAGGGTCACACAGGGTTTCCAATGTCAGTGAACGCTTGCCAGGACCTTCTGCAAAGACTCCGTGACACAGTGGTCGGTTCTTTCAAGAACTCTTCAGCTCCTTATGCAAAGGTGCTGGAGGTCTGCAGGGAAAGTGATGAAAAATCTGATGGAAGTCCACGAGCAGCCTCAAACCCAGCTCCGGAGGCAGCTGAACTTGATCCTGCTGCTGTACCAGCAATGTTTGTGCTCCAGGACCCGTCTCGTTGTTTTATGGCACGTGTCGGCGTGAGATGTGAGATGGCGTGTGCAAGGACAGGGACGAGACAGTATGGAGCATGGAGGCTCGGCACGGAGCTTTGCGAAGGGACATCACAAGGATGCAACATGTGTGGCTGACCCACATGCACATACTCGTGTGCACACGTTAGCACTTTGTTGGCCCTGGAAGGGCCTGCGGGTTGAGAAGATGGACATCAAGAGGACAGCGGCCCTCTTCGATGTCACTTGTGAGATGCAGGCCGGGATTCATCGCAGGCTTGCGGCTCGCCGTGACTCGCCGTGGCTTGCCGTGACTAGCCGTGTGCGCTTGCGTTCTTTGTTGGGGGGAGTGGGAGGAGATGCCTGGATCAGCTGGAGGCACAGTCAAGTAGGAGGGCAGGGCCGCCGATGTCGAATGTGATTCCCTGTTGTCCATCATTCAGGACTCCAGGGGCTCCTGGATCCTTGGATGTGCAATTGAGTCTTGAAGGATGAACAAAGTCAGGGTATAAGTAGAGAAGTGACGAAGTTTGTGGTGCGTAATTCGGCAGCCTTCTGAGTTCTCTTCTTCTTTTTAGGTCTACAACAAGCATCTCTGGACAGAAGCGCGTGCTGCGACCTGAGCTACTGTTTACTGTTTACTGGTACGGGGAAAATCTGGGAAGTCCTCGGCACCACCGGCGCTTCAGCAAAGCTTCGTTCAAGCGGGGGCACGCTGCTTGTTGCATGTTGTAACAGTAACAATTGTACTTCTCTTTGCAACGCTTCGAGGCCGTGCGCTTTGCCGAAAGCCTGCAGGCCGGGTCTGAGACAAAGTTTTGACAGCTCGCTCTCACCTCGCTCTAACTGTTTGTTGGAACCCCGCAGCGCCTTGGAATTGCTTTGCAGACGATGGCCTTGGCTGTGGCAGAACAGCCCGGGGTGGACCTGCTCCATCTTGCAGTCCGGTTGCTGAGCAATGCTGAGCATTGATATTGCACTTGTCTCCGTTTGCTAAATCAGTCATAGGAATGAGGATGTACAATCGAACAGATCGGGTCCACACAGCGCAAAGAGAGCTCCGCATGAAGGAACGGAACATGTGCCTCCACCAAGTCAGCCCAGTCCCGTCCCTGCACAGTGCGCGCTTTTGAGTGGTTGTTGGCACCTTCCAGCCAATCCGCTTCAATCCCCGAACTTTCACCCTGCGCATTGTGCGTTTGCCTCCCGGTCCTTCCCACTTTGGGCGCTTGGCCCATGGTCGCTGGGGGTATCCGGGAAATTCTTGGATTGGGCCCCTCTTCTTGTTTTGCGGCCGTACTGGCCTTGATCGGACTTTTTTTATTTGTGGGGCGTGGATTTCTTCCGCGCAGGAGACAGACAAGAGAGAGAGAGAGAGAGAGAGAGAGAGTGAAAAAAAAAGAGAGAGCTCCCTGCGTCTCTCTGCTCGAGGTCGTCTCCAACAATGACCGGGCCAGGGTCCTGGAGTGGGGCGGCCACAACCGGCCGCTGCCGTCGCCCGCTCCCCTCGTCAAGGCAAGCAAGCGCAGCTCTCTCGCAAAAATCGCTCTTTTTGTCATTGTGAATCACTTGCGCTGGGCCAGGCTTTCAAGGTGCAGCTCCTCCAGTGCCCGCAGGACGTCGCCATCCTCTCCGGTGTGCGGTCCCCAGTGTAGTCTCTACGTTGCTTGGACTAGAGTTGACGAGGGAGAGCGATTTTGTGAGCGAGGACCAGGAAGTGACTTATAGCGAGTTCGGTGGCCGGGTGGCTGCCTTGGCCTCGGTCCTGGCCTGAGCTGAAGTTGACCCGTCCAAATGTCCACCGATCCTGCTGAGCTTCCGAACTTCCCCCAAAAGAGGCGTTGCGGTCGGAGCTGCATTCGGAGGACCCTTCCGAGGAGCTTCTCGTGGCTTTGGTGCTGCCCCGGTCAGTGGACTTGGCCCCTGGGCAGCAAGCAAAGGCTCTGGCACTCTCCGGCGTTTTTTTTTTTATATTCTCCGAGTTCTCTGTGGTCTCTGAAGGCAGTGGCAATCTGGGCAACCCTCAGCATTGCAGCCGCGTATGTGCCCATCGATCCGGAGTATCCGGTGGAGCGCATCGCCCACATCTTGTCGAACGCCGGGCCGCGCCTGGTCCTAGTTCAAGAGAAGCACGCGCACCTTGCAGGTAGCTTACGTGTCTTCGGGACCTGGCAGTGGCCGAAGACGCCGGCAGGGAACACACAGGATGGGGTGGAGCTGCTTCAGCAGGCGCCGTCACACCACCTGGCCTATGTGATCTACACTTCTGGCTCCACGGGTAGACCCAAGGGAGTTGCAATCGAGCACCGTTCGGCTGCGAACATGGTGCAGGACAGTTCTGTGCAAATTCTTGCTGCGCGGGCCCATGTCTCAGCGGGGGCGACTTTGCGCTTGCCAGGAACAGCTGTCGCTCATGCGCATTGTCCGGAACGATCGCGTCCTCCAGTTCTTCAAGCCTGCTTTTGACGGAGCTGTGCAGGACTTCCTTCAGAGGTATAAGTAGCACTGTGCTCTAAAGTGCACTAAATTCAGTACTTCGCGGCATGTTGTCTGTATCGTTTGTATCGTGTGTGCCGTTTTTTTTTCAAGTGAAGAAAGGAGTACTTGAGCACCTTTCTGGCTGGCGCCGCGCTGGTACTCTGGGGTGAGGGGAGTGAGGAGACCTTTGCGGATGCCTTGTTGCAGCACCGCTGCACGGCCTGCACCCTGACGCCGTCCGCACTGGCGGTCCTGGACCCCAAGAGGCTGCCACTTCTGTCGAAGCTGGCGGTGGCTGCCGAGGCTTGCCCGCCGAGCTTGGTGGAACTTTGGGCAGAGCGGCCCAAGCGTCGCCTCCTGAACGCATATGGCCCCTCGGAGAACACGGTCGTGGCAACCTTTGCCGAGCTGAGCTCCGACAGCAATGAGAGCTCCAATGACTTCGTCTTCGGTTCCTTCGACAGTCCGACGGGAACGTCAGGGCCCTCACGGCAGCAGCAAGTGCCCATCGGAAGCCCCCTCCCCGGGGTCCAGTGCTACGTTTTCGAAGCAGCGTCTGCGAAGTCACTTCAGGAGTGCCCGGGGTTTCTTTACCGACACCCACGCACACACCCTAAAAGATGATTTTGGAACCAGAGTTGTGCGAGTCAGGCTCCGCATCTGAGAGCCACACGGAAGTTCTAGCTGAGTCTCTTCAAGTCCAAGAGAGGCAATCGGCACTCCGGGCGAACTTTGCCTCGGCGGCCCACTCAATTGAAATCGCGGACTCCCTGTGTTGCCACTGTGCTTTCGACAGATCTTCTAAGTCTCCAGAGCTCAATTCGCTGCTTTCTGCCTAGGCGGCGTCCAGTTGGCTCGCGGCTATTTCGGAGATGCGGCCAAGACAACAGAGAAGTTTGTGGCCAACCCTCTCTTCGGCCAAAAGATGCAACGGATGTACAAGACAGGCCATGTGCTCCCGCTCGTGTGTAGCATCAGGATGAGTTGAAGTTGAGTTTCCCGGTCTTATCCTGCAAAGTATACCCATGTCATCATAGCACGGCGCAGCCCGTGAAAGCCGACCACGACGACGTCTTACTAAGTCCTTTCAAAACACACCTCAGTGACACCTCTCTCTTCCGGTTTCTGGGCCTCTGTGAGTCTCGGCGCTGCTTGGGACAGATTTTTTCTACCCGCAGATACGACTCCTCAGAAAACACCTTAGGTATTGGTGCTGTGCTGCGTACGCCGGGAAGACAGTTACACAGTTATACAAGTTGCGAAGGGAAAACTCTTTCAACGTGAGTTTCCCTGCTTGCGGGACGGACCCAAGTACCGACCTCTAAATTGTGGTCCTTGGGGGGCTCTGGATTTAGTAGGCGGGTTGTGCTTTGGCGGGAGATGGAACCCGACCCCCCCCGCTTCTTTAAGCCGTGCAAGCTTTTTTCAAAGCATATGACAGATTGAAACCCATCATGCCTTTTTTCAAAGTATGTGAACGATTGAAGCTTGTGTAACCCGCGCAAAGCCCCTCCCAAAGCACATGAACGATAAAAGCCCATCAGGCCATTTTTTTCAAGGCATGTGAACGACTGATGCGAGCATTGTGTTGCAAATGGGGGGTGGCTGCCGCCCCCGCTTCTTTAAGCTGTGCAGGCTTTCTTCAAAGCATAAGACAGATTGACACCCATTATTCCATTTTTTATATCATCTGAACGATGCGGACATTGTGTTTGCAAATGGCGGGGGCTAACCCCCCGCTTCTTTAAGCCGTGCAAGCCTTTTTCAAAGTATACGAACGATTAAAGCCCATCAGGCTACTTTTTGCAAAGCATATGAACGATTGAAACCCATGATGCGAGCATCGTGTTTGTAAATGCCCCCCCCCCCCCCAACCTCCCCGCTTCTTTAAGCCGTGCAGGCTTTTTTCATAGCATATGACAGATTGAAACCCATCATGCTAATTTTTTCAAAGTATGTGAACGATTGAAGCCCATGATGCGAGCATTGTGTTTGCAAATGGGGGGGGGGGTGTTGCGCCCCGCCTTCGCCCCAACCCCCTCGTTTTATAAGCCATGAAAGCTTCATTCAAAGCATATGCGTCTTTTGAAACCTATCATGCAAGCAGGGCTGCGCCACCCCCCACCCCGCCAAACTCCCCGCTTTTTAAAGCCATGCAAGCTTGCGAGCAACATTGATAAGAATTCCTACGAAAAGCAGTACGAATCCTATGAAGATATGGAGGGAATGGAGGTTTTCGTAGGAAAAACAAAAAATGGAACGGTTCCTATGCAAATATTAAGGGAATGGAGTTTTTGTTGGAAAAACACAAATCGACCAGATCCCATGAAAATTGAAAAGGGCATGTAGCATTTTCCAAGGAAGACCGGGGGACCAGCACCAGGAGACCAGGGGACCAAGAAAAAAACACAAAACAGAAACAAAGTACCAACAAAATTCTCCGCCCGATTTTAGACGCGATCCGTATGAATTTAAACGGGATGAGTTTAAATGAATTGAAAAGGGATGAGTATATGAATTTGAAAAGGTCCATATGAAGTTAGAAGGGATGAGTTTGTATAAACATTAAAGAGGGCCCCGAAAACAACGCCTGTTATTCGAGGACGGGCTGGCCCGTGGACCACCCCTTTGCCGGATTGATCAAGACATTTTTTCTCCTTCTTGTTTATAAAGGAATTCTTGGGATTCCGGGTTCTGCCTGCAAGACTCAAAAGGCCTGCCTTTCAGCCGCCGGGCCCGGGGCCAGGACATTAAAGCGGGTCCTGAAACAATGCCCATAATTCGAGGTTAGTCTGTCTGGACCGCCCCTTTGCCGGATTGATCAAAGATAGTGTTTTTATTTTGTTTTTAACACGAGAATACTTGATCTCGTGTTAGTTGGGATGTTGGGATTTTGGAAAGAAGGTTTGCCTTTACGATTCACAGGCCCGGCCCTTACGCCGGGCCAGGACATCGGTGTAAAGCTGGCTTCAAAACACACCCAAGTTCTGACAACAAAATCCGGCTTCCGGGAACGATTCGACTTTAAAGAGCGTCCTGGGCAACCTTTGAAGAGGAATAGGTAGGAGCCTTGTGTAAGGGGCACAAAAGGGTTCAATTAAATACAGACAAAGCATCCGCACCCCCAAGCAGTCAAGGTGTTCTGAATAGCCCAGCCAATCTGATTTTATTCAGGGGGCCCCCATTAAACCGGGTGCAACATCAGCGGGCGTCGAGGGGGTTTCTAAGTTCCCCTGAAGTTCTTATCGGGTCGTGGCAGCCCACCGACATGGAAACTGGAGAAGCATTCGGTAGAAGCGCAGCCTAGTAAACTTGTCGGGCCTTGGCGTCCTCAAGGGGTCTGTCAGGGGTTGTGCGTGGCCCAAAACTTTTCCTGAGTCGATGCTGCAAGGTGATGTGGTGACGTGGCTTCCGCAGGGACAGCTCCTCTACTTGGGCCGGAACGATGAGATGGTAAAGGTCCGAGGATTCCGTATTGCCCAGCCGCCTCGTCTTGGTGCATTCTCAGAGGGACGGAGGAAGGAGGAAGGAAGGGAGGGAGCGGAGGGAGGGAAGGGAGGAAGGGAGGAAGGGAGGGAAGGGAGGGAAGGGAGGAAGGGAGGAAGAGAGGAAGAGATGAAGACAGGGAGGGAGAGAGAGAGAGGGAGAGATTACTTTGAAAGAAAGAAAGACTAATTTATTGTGAGTGGTAGCTGCAGAGTGACGCGGGATCGGGGCTCGCAGCCGTGCGGGGGTTTCGCCCATGCCCCAAAGAAAGAAAGAAAGATTAGTTTATTTACCCGCTATATAAGGCTATTATGTGCTCTATCCGTATTTGGCACGGACGATGGCGCCGCCAGCGCATGACTTAGTTGCTTAAAGGTTTGGCATCTTTCTGCTTTTGCATTTTGTTGAAAATCTTTGGAAAAGTTATGTGCTCTATCCGTATTTGGCACGGACGATGGCGCCGCCAGCGCATGACTTAGTTGCTTAAAGGTTTGGCATCTTTCTGCTTTTGCATTTTGTTGAAAATCTTTGGAAAAGTCGGGGCGACTGACATTTTTCGTTTTACATCAAGGCTCGTGAAATCGTAAACATTTCAGAAATTAGTCTCGGGGTCGTTTCTCTTATGCATTCATAAACATGTCCAGGTCCTGTGACATTTCTGTTTCTATAACCAAGTCTCAGTGTTCCGTCGTTTGAAGCATCAGGGCCTCTTAAACTGTTGAAATGTTTAAAAATTAAGTCCGGCAGGGCCTCCCCGGTTCGGGAAGTCTGATTCTGGGTGAAAACCGTGCGTGATAGCAGTAAGAACACATGTGTTTTGAACATTCTACACGTCATCATTTAAAAACATCGAAAAAACGCACGAACATGCTGTTTATTGCTGTTTGGCGAGCACCGGGTGCCTGACAGCCATTTTGCCACAAATCCCAATACCTGAAAATCCCAAAACCGAAATCAAGAAGCCTACTTCTTTTTGGATAAATGTGCATTTTTGAACCTTTCTAGGCGAATCAAGCCTTCTATGCGCAATTCGTGCCTTTCGCTAAAATGGTGCTTCAAGCAGCCCATGGTCAAGTTACAGTAAGCTTTTCTGTGTACAAGGTAATGGTACGTGAAGTATATATCTTTGGCATTTGCTAAGAAATGAGAATGAGTAGAATGTTTGTATTTGCCTTTACCTCAATAATTTCGATATAAAGTGTTTGTTAAGTAGGGTGTGGCCTTGTGACTTAATCCAAATTGGATGTACTTGTGAATGAGACTTAGAAGAGGCTTTTTTGGGGTGTGGCATCTTAAGATAGAATTCCAGTGAAATCAAGTACTAGCGAAGCCCGAAGGAGGATTTCTCATGCTTTGTTTCTTAGGGTGTGGTCATGCAGTTTCAAGTTATGCTTAGACTTAATCATGAATGAGGCTCAGAAGAGGATGTCTCAGGGTGTGGACTCGAAATGATAAATATATTTGTATATGTATGTGTATATGTATATATACACATTTAACCACACACGAAATCCAAATCAGGATTTCTTAGGGTATGGCTTCGTAGTACAAGCTCCCAATTCAACTTCATCACGAATGGCCTTTCCAACCCGGGTCATGGGCGAGCTTTTGTATGTGTATATCTACCCAACACTCGCTTGGACTTGTGAGAAGGGCCATCCGTTCCTGTTTGCAGCTTCAACTGAGCCTCTCACTTCCACAAAACCAAGGCTTCAGATGTTTTGCACCAGTGAAGATACGAAGATCTGCCAGGAACTGACCGAGGTGGAGGCGGCCTTGGCAGCACTGGGCGCGCAGGACCGGGACAAGAGACTTTTCCCCGGGTCATTGGAGTTGAATTTTGTGTTCCTGGCGGCCGCGGGTTATACAAGTTCGGTGAGGGTCAGAGGCAGAGGCAGAGGCCGAAGATCCAGAAGATCCTCCAATAGTCAGGAGAGTGCGGAGGTTGTGACTTTTGCCATGTGCAGGCTGTGGCCGTGGCCGTCAATCCGGCCAAGGACGGAGCCACGCCGGGAGTGGTTAAGACACCTAAAGAGACCAACAACAATTAAGATTCTAAATCGACCATGCTTGACGTGGCCCAGGATGGTCTTTGGGCGTGGGTCACGCCCGAGAGCCTGTCCCCAACAACGTTGCGTTCTGAGCTGGCGAAGACCCTGCCAGTGCCTTATACGGGAGCTGCCAACAGCTGTCAAGTCTCTTCTTTTCGTCCTTTCCCACTTCCCCTGCCGTGGCACGGATCTGTATCCAAACGCAAGTCCGACAAGTTGCTCACTTGCAATCTTGCGTTAGTACTTCCCGGGGCCTCGACGGTGACGCCCAGGCCGCAGTACATGGTTCCGACCAGGCTGTGCTCGTTGGCATTAGTCGGAAGCGCAAGAATCTTTGTTTTCGGTGTCTGTGTGCAGTGTGCAAGACTACAAGATGGCACTCTCCAGGATTACAGCCCTGGAGAAGTTCCCCTTGAACCCAAATGGCAAGGCGCTAGAGGGAAGCGGAACAGATGCAGCTATAAGAAGGTCGTCGTATAGAGTAGGAACGGCATAATTCAATCTGGCACCTTAAACGCAAAAAAGAACATGTTGTGTTCCAGATCGACAAATCGCGGCTGCTCACCGACAACAGCTCCGAGGCCAGCGGTGTTGCCCTCGAAGGAGTCGGAGGTTTAAGTGAGGTTTTGGCCGGTTTTGGCTACAATGGTGGCCATGGCATGGGTTGGCTTGGTACCTGTGAGCTTATACTGCCCTGTGAACTCGTACGAACTGATTGTTGTCATCCACAAGGCATGCCATGACCGAATGGCCAGAGGGCATAGCTGCAGTGATAGTGCAGGATAGTGCAGGGGTGAGGCGATTTGCGGAGATTTTGGAGCAGACGCAGAGGGAGACGAGGGATGTCTGCAGGTGTAATAAGGGCACGGTGTTTGGTTCCGGAATAGCTTCTGAGGCTCGAAGTATGAACGCATGCAGGGTGCTTGTTGATAGCAGTTGCTTTGGGCACCAGTTTCTGTGCAAAAGTGCTCTTTATCGCAAGGTGTGCACGGAAGGCCCCGTCGTGGAGCCTCAGTCGCCGCTGGAGCATCGCCTCTGCGCAAGACGCACAGACCAGTTGAAACTGCGCTCCGTGATTCCGTGATTCCGTGCACTTTTGCAGCCTTTCAGCTCGCATATGAGGCCACAGCGGCCGCGGTGCTTGGACTGGAGAGCTTGGGGCATGGCCCTGAGCGATGGCAATATTGAGCTCATTCTGCTGCTATGTGCTGCAGTGTGCTGCTGCTGCTGTGTGCTGCAGCGGCTTTACGTTACACGCCAGAAGGCGGAAGGCGGAAGGCGGAAGGCGGAAGGCGGAAGGCGGAAGGCGGAAGGCGGAAGGCGGAAGGCGGAAGGCGGAAGGCGGAAGGCATTGCATGCGCTTAGACGCTGCAGGGTCACGGCAGACTTGCGCAGCGCCAGCAGCCAAGCGCTCGCCATGCAAGCCCCTGCGCTTCTTTGCAGCTTCTTTGCAGCCTTTTGAAGCTTGACCGCTCGGTGCGCATGGTGACACTGGAGGCGGGCATGACTTCACTGAAGGCAGTGCTGCTGTCACAACAGCTGCGGGACATAGGCATGGTCCGTTGTGGGGTCGCAATTCATGCCTTGGGGAAGTGCTTTCAATTGCTTTTGGCACGCTTTGTCGAGGTCTCACAGTACCACTCTCCAAGTTGTACGAGCTGCAAACTGTGAGGGCTCTGGCACAGCACCTGGCCATGCAGGAGGAGCTAGTTACGGGAGTTCCACAGCGGTAGCAGAAACACGCCGCACAGATCACACGTTGCTCAGAGTTTCCACATATAGACGTGTTAATGCAATGGCGCTGTTGCAGATTTTCGAAAGCGATGTTTAAAGCTTAAAGTGCAATCCGATGTCGGAGGAAGCAGTCCTCGGTGTGAGTGAGGCGAGATTGATGCTGGATGCTCCTTGTCAGATCCGTTGTCAGCCTGTCAGCTTGCGACAGCGTGAGGATGTGGAGCCTGGCCGGAGTGGTCAAAGGTGCGACCTTTGCCTCAGTGCTCAGAGAAGCTGCACAGGCCCGAGCAGTTCAGAGGAAGCCAATGAGCATCGATGAGCGTTTTGGATGCGTTTGCCGCACCAGGGCTCCTCCGTTCGGTTGCTATGTTTTGCTGGCGGCTTGGTGTGTGGGCCCGCAACCAAGCCGAAGGGCTTTGCCAGTAGCATTGATTAAACCCTTCTCAGCCCAAAGGAAGAGCCTGAAAAGCTGCGAATCAGCTGAACTGCCCAGGTTTGGATCAGCGGTGTGGTCATTTGGCCTGCCATGCTGCCCCTGAAACTCTCGAGCAATCTGGCCTCATGCTCAGTTCAGTTCAAAAGACAAGGTTATCCGCCCGACAGGAGTTTTTGTACTTCTGGCTGATATTGATTATACGCGACGAACTCCCAGGCGCGAGGACCAGGAGCAGCTTGGGCGCTCTGCTTTCTGGTGCCGGAGCCTTGCATGTCAGTGGCATGCATGGACGGATGGATGTTTGCTCGTGCCGTTCTTCGCACTCCGTGTTCTGTCTAATATGCAGTGTCCCTCTTGAGGCTTGTTGGATACCCGCTCTATCTCCTGCTGATGGTCCTCCTGGCCACTCAAGGGATAGAAAGCTTTGCGCTCGCCTCTTTCGCAACTGGATACTATTTTTTTAGATATGTCTTAAGAAAGTAGGACGGAACCTCGGCTGAACTTCGCTTGAACGGTGGCTCGGAGGTGATCTGCACAAAGTGGCTGCTCATTGGCAAGTACCGAGCAGGCCCTCTGCCACCCCCCCCCCCCCCGATTGCCTGCCAGCTCTTGCCTGTGTGATCCTGTGTGCGAACTCTGAGAGCTTTTGAGAGGAACGATTCCGGTGAACTCCTGGGCCTTCTTGAGGTCGTGGGCGGTGGCCCCTTGGACTTGGATTGCGATGTCCTGGTCATCTGCGTGAGAAGAGTGTCCAAGAGTGTGTGCACGACGAGACGCTGCAGAGGACCGGCTGTTGGTGTTTGTGAACGAGCTCTGCCTCGGAGCCTTTCGAGGGGGTCCGGTGTACTTCGCGTACCTGCGCGCGCCCGGGCCACAATGCACACGCTTTGAATCGTGGCCTTGCCGAGCCTTGTATCGACACAACGTCTTCAGCTCTCCGAACACCGGGTGGCAGCGAATTTCTGTGTGAACTATGTGCAGTTCTTGTGTTGTGCTATGCCGCCATGCGCAGTGCGCGCGGCCTCCTTCGCTGAAGCTTCTTGTGGTTTGAGCTTCAGGCTTGGTTTGAAGGCCACCGGCTACTGCCGCATTGACACGCGCTACGTCTCAGAGTCATGGCCCCAATGTAATGCGCAGGTCCTTGAGTTCCGAGAGCAGGTTATAATGCGCTTTTTAGATCACCAGGTTCGACCTGATCGCCTTGGGGCGCTGCTGCGTTGTGGCCGAGGGCGCCAAGCTACGCCCTGCTGCTGCCGAGGCCACACAAGACGCCCACTCAACAGTCTCGGACATCAGCACACAGCACTATCGGGGCCGAAGATCACACAATGCACATAACATCAACTCAGTTCACACATGGTAGGCTGGGGAGCTGCAGCTGCGGCCGCTGGCTTTCGGCGACCACTGCGCTGTGGGAGAGAACGCCGCTGCGAGCTCAGATGTCAGGGCACGTGCGCTGATGGATCTCCCGGCAAGAACCAAAGACTTCGCACTGCCGTCCAGCTGCAGTTCTTCAGACGCACAGCGGCCTGCACAGCAATTACCGTCGATTGCCAAATCGAGGTAAGAGTCCGAGGGGCACCTGATATAGCCGCTACAGTACAGCCGTTTTGCCACAGCCGCGCAGGATTCAGTGAAATTCAGGCACTCACGCAGTCGCTCGTGCGCCGATTCATTCTGTTTCATAGTTACTCACTGTTGTAGAGGCATGTGGAGTGTAGAGGCTGAAGGTGCTCATTGGCCCGAGGTTTGCACTGCTGGCTGCGCAGCTGGCGACAATGTGACCCTACAGCCTTTGCCCCTTGGTGCAGGACACGAGGTTCTCATCACATGCTATCACATGCTGCTATCATGTACTATCACGTGCTATCACACTGCTGTTGTGACCGTCGTGCCTCGTGATGTCGCTCCAAGCGCCTCATTCCTTAGGTCCATGTTGTCCGGCCGTACCGGTCGCACGTTGCCCGACGGCTCGGTGGGGGCCCTTGAGTATGCAGGGGATTGACAAGTGTTGCGGGGACCAGCCTTTGTGAGAGAGAGCGAGAGACACCCCACAAAAGGAATAAAGTCGAAAGAAGCCACGAGAGCGCACAAAGACGGCATAAGACATCTCTGCCTCACGCGCAAGTAGCCCTAGCCCCGTTCCCAAGCAACTGCAGCCCCCTGTACATATCAACGTCCTTCTTGGCACCTTAAGTGGCGTCTGCCATCTCCCCGAGGTGTGGAAGGGCGCTTTGTTGGTGCAGTCGAGGCAGCAGCCCATTCGCGTGCCCGTAGGGTTCCTTTGCCGGGATCTCGGAGGAACTCAGAGAGAGCACAGCTCTGAGGGTTTCCTCACGGTTTCCTCCATTTCCTCCTCCGGGCTCATGAGAGTCATACAGATCAGAACATCAGGTCATGATCTTCTCGGGGACGTCTTTGCTTTGCTCCTCACCCTCTTCCTGCAGCCGCTTGGGCGATCTGAAGATTTGCAGGGACTGTGAGAAACCTCGGATTCGCAGGCTATGCTTCCCACATCTTCTCACGTCTTCGCACAACTTCTTCTCACGCTTCTCACGCCTCTCACACCCCTCCTAGACAGTGTTGGCCGAGGACGGGCTGCAGCTTGGGCGCCTACTGCGTATTTGGCCTGCTAGCGGAGGCTCTGAGCGGCTAGGAAACGAAAGCCCCCAAAGGCTCGAAGGGACTTGAAGGGACCCCCGAAGCGGAAGCTGAGGGATGGGGAAGCGGATGGAAAAAACGGATGGGGAATCGGGAGAAGCAAAGTGAGGTCTTTGTGGGGAGTGTCAGTGTTCGGCGAATCCGCTGCATTCCGCATGTCCAATCTTCTGTCATCTTTATGTATAACATGCAGCTCCTCCAGATTCTGAAAGGCCCAAGGCTTCGGCATCAGCGACCCTTGGCGCTGGCAGGCGCTGAAGCTCGCGGAAGCAATCGCGTCTGCCCCTTCTGAGTCCCCCTTTGTGGTGTCCACAGGCCGAGCCGGAAGGCTTCCTCTTTGCAGCGACGTGGCTGCTGTTCGGTCCGCCAGTAATGGCCCGCCTCCAAGACGAGCCTGTTTAAGCACATGTAGAAGAAACGTCCCAAAGCAACCAAAGCATGAGGGCAAAGACGTAAAGAAGGCCGGTAGTCTTGTGTTCACACGTTCGCACGTTCGCTCACTCGGCGGACCCGGCCTCCTCATCTTTTGCTGACACCTCTCTCCACACCAAGATCCCTTCCAGGAATCCTCACTGTTCAGTGTTATCCGTGCCGTTCCCTGTACAGATACTCCAAGCTTTCTAGATTCCCTGCCTTCCCAAGTCCAAACCCGCGTCCGGCAGACCTCCAGATCCGACGTCGATCCTTGCAGACTTCATGGAGGGTTCCGACATGTACCCGTCCGTATATGACATCATCTTGCGCATCGACACATTCACACCGCAGGCCCGCATGTAAGATCCCTGGTTGGGTGTTCTTGTGATGCAAAAAATCTCAGCTCTCCGGAATGCGCTGCATGCGTTGAATGCTTTGCATGCTTTGCATGCCTTGCATGCCTTGTATGCTTGTGACTGTAGCACTACTAGCACCTGCAATGGTCTCCGAGGCCTCTGCCGATGTGCTCCTCGATATTGACCTGGCCGGACTGGCAGACCAGGCAAAGACGACAGATCGGTGCTAGTTTAAGGCTCCAACATTAAACGAAGGAGGTTTGGCATGGTTTGTGGCTGATGCTCAACTCTCTGAAGGGGCGCTGAGGGCCGTGCCGCTAGGGGGCTCCCAGGAGCACCTTGCGGCCTTGCGTTTTCCCCGCTCCCTTTAAAATCTTCTCAAAGTGTGGAGGTGATGGCATCGATGGGCCTCAGCCAGTGGGAGTTCGGTTTCCGCCTGGCAGGCGAATCAGCATGTTTTGGCTGAGGCTGTATGAGTACGTGTACGTGTATGTGAGCTTAAGTGCAGGTATGGTGGTTGTGAGTTTCGCAGTGTGGGCCACAGCACATTGGAATCAGCTGCACACACCTCCTCAAGGACCTTAAAGGGCTTAACGAAGGCTTACGAACTCCCGAATCAGGTGTACGGATGGTCGCTGACCCTGAGCTCAGCCTGTCTTTGCAGGCAAAAGACATCGGGGCCTTTGGGGCAGACGGGCAGACGGCCAGAGCACCAGTGAGACGTTAGCGGCTCGCGTGCGAGAGGTACATCCGTGGATCCCGGAACTTGAACTCTTGGTTCTTCCAGGCCCGGACGGTTGCCCGGAGGGGCCTGGATTGCTCCGATTGCTCCAATGGTATGTCCCTGGTGCCTGCTGTGCCCCGCTGTGCCCCGCTGTGCCCTGCGGTGCCCTGCTGTGCCCTGTGGGCCTCTCGCCAGGTGCGGCGTGTGGTGCTCAGGCCACTCCTGTGAGTCCATGCGAGTGGCCTATCGTAGAACCCCGTAGAACTCACGAGTTCGAGCTCACTTGAAGGGAGAAAAGCTCTGAGGTTAGTGATTTAGCCAGCACAACAGTAGAATCACAAGGTTGGAATAGCCGGCAGCGGCGTTGTCTTAGAGGATGCAGCCCTTGGAGTGATGGCGCTACTCTGGAGATGAACGGTGGGGTGGAATCGCCCGGAATCAAGAAGTTGAACGAGCAGCAGCCCCAAAAACCAGCAACATATGTCCCTACATGTCCGAGCGAGCAAGACACACCCAGGGAATAGGCTTCGTCTCCTGTCTCTGTGGAGAGTCCGTGAGAGGCTGACTTTCCCCCGATACCCGGCGCAACTGGCGGGCACGTGGGCTCGGCGCCGAGCACCCGAGCACCCGAGCACTTTTTCACTGCCACAGAAGAGGAAAGGCAGTTCTTCACATCCTTACCCAGTTTTTCTGCTCATTACTGCGGCAGGCCTTGTCCCTCTATTTACGACTTCTCGGTGGACATGTTTCGCTACATGCGACGGTGCCTGACATGCGTTCGGCATCGAATTCTGCGGACTCCAAGTTCTGTGTCTCTGCGTGCGCGTGACGTGTGAAACCGGGGTCAGGTGGCGGTGTCAGAACCACCGCTCGAGCCGAGGAAGCTACATGTCGCAGAGGCTCTCCCAGGGAGCTCCCTCAAGCGGCTTGCGCGATGCAGCGACCTTTGGCGCAGGGGGCCCTGCTGCTCACCCACCAAGCTCTTGGGGAGTGCGAGGCATGGAATCGATGGATGAAATCGGAGTGCCAAAGGTCGGATTTGATTCGTGAGGCCTTGTTGAAGCCAGGTTGGCAAAGGCTCCATCGTTGGCGCCGGGGCGGTGCTACTTCCCCATTCACAGGTGAGACTACATGAGACTACGAAGTTCTGCCCAGTTCCTCCTTTCCACATTCTCTCACTCTCTCTCTTTCTCTCTCTCTCTCCCCCTCCCTCTCTCACTCTCTACGTACATTCTACATGAATGCAGCTTTCTGCGTTGTGTCTTTTGAGCTGGAGGTGGAGGCTGGCGCGGTGGTTGGGGCCATGTCGGTCGCTGGCCGGCCTGTGCGATCAGGCTTGCAACTGGTTGGCCTGGGGCTCACCTCGGCTTTTGATGGCGGCTCAATGGAGTCCTATGAAGTCCTATGAAGTCCTATGCAAGTCGCTGTTGTGTGAAATTTAAGGGATTGGCCGATCACTTCTCGCCGCCAACGCTCTCAGGCAATCCTGGAGTCATCATGAGGATGGCGACCCTGGGCCAGGAGCCGGTCGCTGGCTGGGCACGCCACTGGGTGCGGAGGCCTTTGCCATCAGAAATTGATGGAAGGAAGCCCGCCCCAAGAGAATACCCCAAGAGAATCCCGCAGAAGTCCCCGCACATGCCTACGACGCAAAGATAGTCCCGCTGGGTATCCCTCGGGTGCCCACCCCACCATAATCCCGCAGACCACAGAGGAGAATCCCGCAGGCAGAGCATCCCTCCCCAAAATCACCTACAGTGCCCGTCAGCTTGCTTAAAGTTCGGGTGGAGAGGTTAGAAATATGACTTGGTTTGGTTCGCTGTGTAGTGTGCTGGGAGAAGGTTGTGAGTAGGATGACCAGGCGGGTTTAACCTTGCGATTGGCCGGTAGAGTCGGTAGAGGCTCCAAGTCAAAAGCTTGCCGTGGAAGGGTTGGCACTTTCACGCGGGTTGGGGGGGGGGGGGGGGTTTGTTTGCCTCCCTTGTGTTGCGTGCAGTCGGAAACGTCGGTATTCACAGCTTTTTTTTGCGTCTTGGGCTGGTAGTGGTGCTCAACATGTTCCCCAAACTCGTCGTTTTTTTTTTTTTTTTTGGGGGGGGGGTTTGTGTTTTGACGGAAAACGATGTTTTTTGCTTAAACTTTTTTTTTTTTTTTTTTTTGTGTTTTTCGCTTGGGGGTGGGGCAGGGGGTGCTTCCCGGTATTTTCAGTGTTTTTGGGCGCTTTTCCATGCTTCTTTTTCACGCCGAAAGCGATGTTTATGCAATTGTTCGCAGTTTCTGTTCGGAGGGCGGGTCGGGCTGCTTCAGAATCCTCGGAAATTACAGCATGTTCGGGCCTTTTACAGGGAAATACTCGGTATTTACAGTGCTTTCCAGACTCCTCCTCATTTTTGTTGTGATTTTGTTGTTGGCGGAAAAGACAAAGCGCAAATCACGAACTTTTCCCGGACATGCGTGTTGCCAAAACCCCACGTTTTTTTCCTAAATAATGCTAGCCTTCCACGGCGGCCAAAAAACAAGCCTGCCTTGTTAATGCCGAAGGTCTGTGAAGTTTGCATATCCGCTGCTGGCGCCGATGTTCCTGCAAATGCTGCTGCTGACCACTTAGCTGGTGGCGACTTGCTGCCTTGCTCCGAGAGAACGCCTTTTCTGCAGTGGCTCAGGTTGACCACTTTGCTGCCTGCTATGCCAGAAGCTCGATGTTGATGTGTGATATTCTTTGATGTTCCTGCTTTTCTGCAGCCATGTTGCAAGAACCGTGCAGCACTGATGTGTTCCCCGCTTCAGCCGCGGAGCTTCCTTCGGGAAGGTGCGAGATTGATGGAAAACTGACGGATCTCGGTGGGAGACCCCCAGAAGGAAGATGAATCGTGGCGAAACGAATCAAGCTGAGCTTCTCAATGAAACAAAAAGCGACTTTGCTCAGAGCAGCACACACCCTACTCCACATCATAACTGACTACTGACTTCAGTAGATCTCATCTCAGCATTCACCATCTAAAGGCAAATTACATCCGGTTTTTCGAGCGGGGCTCCAGGTATGTCCTCACCGTACTGCTCAACATGCTCATGAGATCAGAGAAGGGTTCAGGTGGGGGATGTGATGTGGCGAGTTCAGTTGGGGTCTGTGAAGAGCAACGGCTATGCCAGGACTGGTGCTGGTTTGCAGCTCAGAGTCAAGGAGGGCTGGTGCATGGTGCAGTGCAGATGTGATTTGGATTTGTCTATGAGGCTGCTTCGCTGCCGGCGGCGTACGTTGCGCTGGGATGGTGCTTGTGTCTGCTGGTGTTCCCGACTTGCTTACGCCAACGTTGCCTACTCCATCGTGGATGTCGCTTCATGTACCTCTGCTCATGCTGAATCATGAGCACTAAGCTCATGAAGGATCCAGGCCGCACCCTACCCAGACCCACCGCAGCAGAACCCCTGCAAGAGCAAAGCGAAGGCAAAGACAATCTTTTGCGAAGATTCGACAGCTGCATAAGTAAAAACCGGATCCAGGTTCACTGATTTTTCAAGTCCTCCGAAGACGAATCGTGCGGTCTCCAAAACTTGTACGGTGAATAGAGGATGTGGAGGTTGGATCAGAGACAGACAGAGAGTGAGTGAAACAGAGAGACTCCGGGCAGCCTCCTCTTCGGAGGGGGTTAAGGCTTGGAAGGGAGAAGGAGAGGGAGAGAGAGAGACAGAGAGAATGAAAGAGAGAGAGAAAGAAAAGAACAAAAACGAGAGAGAGAGAGAGAGAGAGAGAGAGATGGGCAGCACAGACCTGGGACATCGCGCGCCCCTGGGGGCGGCCTTCTCCTTCGGGAGGGGGCCACGCGTGCGGGAGAGAGAGAGAGAGAGAGAGAGAGAAGGTGAAGCATGCTCTCCGGGGTGGCCCCTGGAGGCAGCAAGCAAGCAAGCGAGAGTAGTAGGTGGGAGCCGGGGCGGCGGCTGGACGTGTGGCAGAAAAGGGTTGTGCACGCACAGGTAACCGCGCCGGCCATGTTGGCACATGGCATCAACATTCTTAGGGTGGGTGCTTTGTCTTCAGGTGGCCATAATGCCAAGTGCGTGTGTGCAATCAAGTTTGGCCCATTGCCAGTGAGCCGTAGTCAAGAGCAGACGAACCGGTGTTCCCCTCTTAAAAGGGAACACACGAGATGCGCAATGCGAGAGCTCCTTTTCAAATTCCTTTAGCAAAATTTTGTGACATTCCAAGAATCTCGAAGCCCCGACGCCGCCGAGGCCGAGAAGAGCCCTTTGATGCTTCTTGTTTGTGTGAGAGAGTGTGTGTGTGTGCGCGCGTGTTTTTCTCTCCTCTCTTCCTAGTAGTTTTGCCTTTTTGACCATCTGCTCTCTCAGTATTTTGGAGCCACTTAAGAGCTCCCCCCTGCTTAAATGCTTCTAAAGGCTCAGAGGAGATGGGGGGCCCGGGACAAGTGGCGCGCTTCCATTTTCGCTCGGTGGGAGGGTGCATTTAGGTGACGTGAAAGCGGTATATCCGCGTTTTGTTTCTCTCCTTTATTGTCCTTCTGACGGCAGAAAAGTATGTCCGCGTTCTCTTTCTCTCGCCTTCTTTTATTCGCTCAGTTTCTCTGATGATGTCGAAGCGTCATAGTCGGTTTGTGTTTCTCTCCCTCATTGTCTTTCTGACGAGACTTCCGGTCTCTGGTTCGGTCTCTCTCTCTCTCTGTGTCTCCCTCTCTCTCTCTCTCTGTTTTTCAATGTCTATACATTTTGTTCTTCTCAGTTTTGTCCCGCTGCTGGAAGCAGCGGGACTCCCCAAGCGCATAATGTCACCAGGCTGTGCTGGTGCAGCGCTTGGTTTCCGCGTCTGTGAGCAGCCGGTCCTGGCGTGCGCTGGGCCCTCGAGTCCATGGGGCATTTTTTCTTTGAGTCCAAGGTTAAGGGTTTAAGGGTATCCAGTTGTGTGGGGTATTAGGGTTTACTAAGAAGGGTTAGAGGCTTCAGGCTTTGGGGGGGGGGGGGGGGGGGGGGCTTGCAGCAGACAGGTTCGGGTCAGCGCGCCACTTCCTGACCACGCAGCGCGCCAAGCGATGCCACACGTATTGCATCGCCAAGCGTGTGCTCGTGACATCGGGAATCGGGAGAGCTAGGGTCGAGAGGTGAGTGGCCCAAGGTTTTCCGAGCAGCTGAGCGCAATGTCCATCGCGATTTTCATGGGCAACTCGGGGCACATCTCAGTAATGTAATGATCACAATTGTGAGAATCAACACTTAACAAGTCTGGCAGATGGGCAGCTGAGGCATGGCTTTCGGGTCACCCGTATACAACCTCTGGCTCAAGGCCTCTCTGCTCAAAAGGGTCTTAGAAGTCTTTGAACTGGAGGTTTTGAAGAGATGAGGGAGATCTGAGATCTGTCAGATCTGTGGGCTTGTGGGCGGTCTCCAGGCCATGGGTGGCCATGTGGCCTGCGATGCACTCTTGCTGCACGGTGCTCAGGTCTCGTTGAAGAATCTAGGAGATTCTCGGAGTCTCTCTGAGCCAGAGAGCGGTGTTGCGTGATTCAGAGGACTGCTGTAGTGGGCGACTACAACATGCTCACAGTCGGCCAGGGGGCTTCCGTCGACAAGGAGGCGGCGCCGGCGTTCGCGTTTCAAAAATCGGGTGCCGTTCTTCGGGACCCACTGCCAGGCCGTCCTGTCCGGCAGACGCCTGCTGCCGGGTGAAGGGCCCAAGCTGGCCCAAGCCAGCAGCACTTGCAGCTTTACACGTACTTTCAGCAGCGGTGCTGCGCGGTAGTTTCCCCTCCTTCATGTTCGTCCTTCTGGACTGTATCGGCTCTGACAAAAGGTGAAGCTTGTTTTTGCGTTTGTGGATATTTGCCTTAGGATGGATTTCCAAGTGCTTTCGGCTCTTGCATTCAAAGCATCTTGTGCGAGTGCACCGTTCCGTGTGTATTCTGGTCACGAGTGAGATGCCCTGTCTTCAAACTCCCTGGATCCGATTCACGGACTCACCAGGCAAAAGACTGGCAAACGCTGAACAACTGCGTTTTGATTCAACTTTGTTTTCAAAAGCAACGCTCGAACCTGCACGCCTTCGCAAAGCAGTCTCTGGAGTCTACTATGAGTCTACATGTGCAAATCGAGGCCCACAGGGCACTGGGTCGATGCCTTAGCAACTCACGGGGCGCACACTGGAGAGTGGGGACTTAGTTTGAGAACTCTCCTCAACGCTCGCATGGCGAAGGTTTTACACTTGTTCCGGTCGGGTGGTCATCGGACCTGGCAGCAGCGTGTCACATTCGGCTGCAGTGGTGGCAGGTGAGACAGGCGGCGTTCGACTGCTCTTTGCAGACCCCTTCAAGCCCAAATGAACGCCCTCTCTGTAAAGGCAATCTCAGCACTCTGGCACCTTTGTCTGCTGCCCAGCACCCAGATCACGTAAATTGCTTGTCACTTCGAGACTCGACTCAGAGAAGTCGCCAGAGAAATCCCAGAAACGGCACGCTTATTAGAAGCTCCAGGTGGCAGCTTCGACACGCCTTCCGGCGCAGACGCTGGCCGTCGGCTGCGCCCCCTGTTTGGGAAGCACACATCCACAGACATCTAGAATCTACAGACTATTAGGTTCACGCGATGAAGAGTTGCGCAGGACACTAGGTGCCATGATGCCGGGCAGAAGTCCGTCTCTTCTGCTCTCAGGTCTGCCGCCTCAGGCATTTCCATGGTCCAAAGCGAGCTTGGTGAAGCCCAGCGCCAGACCTCTGCCCCGAGAGCTGCCTGGATCCTAGCACCCCTGATCACATCCCGCACCACAACAGTTAAACAGTTAGACTTGGAGCCATTGGAGCACTCAAAAGCTCAAAGACAAGACAGGCGACCGCCGATCCTGCTGCCCATCTTCGTCAGTCGGGCAATCGGCCGCATGAAGGCTGAGAGCTTTGGGAGCTTTGGGCAAGTTGGCCAAATGGCGCGAGCCTCACGCGCACGTGTTGCACTCACAAGAAGGTGGAGAATTCGCACCAATGGTCACTGGGTCCACCGGGTTCTTGGGAAGGAGCGAGCAGCATCAATTTGCAGCACGCTGTGTCGACCGCCTCGGCCGGGCCCGATCAGGAAGGCCCATTAAAGGTTCGTCTACAGGGAGTTTCGGTGGTGAAGACAATAAAGAGGAGAGCCTCCTCGGAGGTGAAGATGTCGATTGTGGACTGTTCGTTTCGGGTCGAGAAAATGCCTGGATGGTCAGGTGGTCGTGTGATGTGACATGTGGGTCTCCAGTGACTGAGTGACCGAGGGCTCATGTTCACGCTTCTCTTGTCTGCGTTGGGAGTTGGGGGCTCCTCAGCCTCGGTATGCCTCGCGGTTTCGGACGTGCCGAGTGGTGGTTGGATAGGACTGCGCTCCTGGGAGTTTGATTTCATCTTTGCATAGAGTCCAGGCAGGCAAGTTGGTTAGCACACACATAAACAAACGCATGCGTTCATGCGTTCATCTGGGTCCAGAAACATTTTGAATACAACGAAGTTCACAAAGCAGGAGGCGCTTGCGCGCAAGTCTGCAAGGTCCGTCCGCTGCACCCACAGAGAGGAACAGAGAGTCCGCTTCGGCTGGGGAAGAGCCGCCCTCCGGAATTGAGCATGCTAAACCACCAGATCGGATGCTACTCTGCAAGCACCTCAAGACCAAACACCAGCGACCAGAGAACCAAATCTTACCAAGACCACACACGACTCCTGGAATCGTTTTGTGGTTTTGTTTTCGGGTTTGTGCTTCGTTTTTTGCTTCAGGTCCTTTCAGCCACAAGCGACTCGAGGACAAACCAAATATCCAAGAAGACTAAGGCGTATTCTGAGATTCTCCCTCCGGGTTTGGTTGTTGCTTTTGGGGCTTCCGGCCCGAAGGGACTGGCAGCCCCAAAGGATCTTCCTTGTTCGACTTGGACATTCTCTGAAAAATCGCGTTTTGGCCTCTAACTTATCGTGTTGTTGAAAGCAGTGCCGGTCGTCGGGGGGGAGGGGTGACCATATACTGTACAAGTGCACCGTCGATGCAAGTTCGAGGAGCATCGTGGCGGCCTTGCTGGAGACTCGGGCATGCAGCCGGATCTTTTGCCTGGTGCGGGCGGCGGACACAGCGGCCGCACGGCACCGCGTGCTGGAGGTGAGCTCAGTGAAAGTCCCGTGTGGATCCACACAGGCCCCCAAAACATCGTTGTTCCAAGTTTGGCCACAACGCTCTGTAGAATTGGTTGTAGAAGTAGCTTGGGGCCATATGTTGTATCTGTCACGTTCCACTCGACTCAGGTGGATCAGTGAGGAGCAGCCGAGAGCCCTTGCGATGGTGCTGGCATATATCGCATGTCGCCCAAAGATAATGCAATGAAGGGAAGGACGCAGCATCAAGGACACGGATTAGCAAACGTTGCAAGCGAAAGCTGGAACAAAGGCCCACCACGCATAGGCGCCCCGCCAAGGCAAAAGAATGACAAGTGAAAGATCCAAGCCTGCTAAGCCTGCGGGTCCGCCCGGTGCAGACTTAAACGAGATTTCTCTGCCCCCAGGCTTGTTTTTCGTACAGTTGCCAAAGCCGATTTAGCACTTAAAATCCTGGAATGTTGCAAGATGCCTTCAAAGTTTTCCTTCTTGAAAATTGGAGTTGGAAGTGGCCTTCGGTGTATCACAAATCTGTGCAGGCAGCCCGGAAGGCGGGCGCCGCTGCCGCCGACCTTGACATTCTCGAGGCGATTGGGCCCAGAGATTCGGCTCCTCTGAGACTGCCAGGATGGCCCAGGAATGCCCAGGAATTCACCCCAAAGCAAGGTTCGAGATGGGTTTTGAAAATACCAAGATCGTAATAGGGGCTGATGCTCCCCCAGCGCTTTTCCGCAGTTCTCATCCTGCGGAGGCCGTGCCAGGCGACCTCCAGCAGCGCAACTTCGGCCGGCCCTTTGCCGAGGTGCAGCGGCTGGCAGGCCCAAGAGAAGGGAGCAGAAAAAAAGAGGAAACAAGGGGCTGCAGAACTCCCTGGCATCCCAGGCCGTGTGACGCACGTGCTCCATGCAGCAGCGAAGGCGGCGAAAAAAAAGAGTTGCAAGCCTGTGAGCTTGTGGAGAATTTCGCCCAGACAGGTGAACTTGACCGAGCCCTTCGATCTCATGAAGAAGGTTCGGGGACTCGGCGAAAGTGGGGAAGAATCGGCTCCGTGGGCTGCCGCTCCACATCCTCTGCAGGACAACGTGGATGCCACAGCTCACCTTCTGGAATTCTGTTGCATTTCCAGACCCAAACCATTTCATCACATCTCAACCATGGGCATTCTGACGTGGGGGCCTCGCGTATCCTCATGCTCTCACTCCACCCGCTGTTTCGGCGTTTCGTGGCAACTGAGGCCAGATATGCTGGACCAGCACCTTGTGTGTGTGTGTGTGTGCACTGTGTACACGGCGAGCATCTCGTGGAAGCTTTGGAGCGCAAGCATGGCTCAAGAGGACCGGCATGGCACGGTGCGGGAGAATGCCGCGCTGGGTGACATCCGTGCCCTACCGCTCTACGGCACTGGAGATCAGGTGAGAGTGGGGGGGGATGGGGGGGTGGGAGGAATGCTGCATACGCTTGTCATTCTAATGTGCATTGTGCATGCTTGGGCCCGTGGCTGCTTTTTGGAGGCCAATGGCTACCCTCAGAGCAAATGGCTGGCAGAGGTGATGGTTCTGGAGGCAAGTTGGAGAAGCGAAGAGTTTTCTTCCACATGTAGGAGCCCTTGAATTTAAGTCATGTAAGTTTGATTTAACAGGGTTTGGTATGGCTTTGTATGGCATTTCGTGTCTCGGAGGCTGCTCGACAAGGCCTACCATGCTACATCCACCGGCCTGGTCTCATAGGCGCGATCATCGTTTGGGTCTGCGGTCAGTGCCAAGTTTGATGCGCAGCTGGCGAGCTGGCTTCAGGTGGCAATTCCATGACCGGTGCGGCAGCGGAGGATGTTTTCTTCCATTTCTTGGCGGATGTGCCTCGGTCTCGAACGTCTCAGCTCTTGAGTCTCAATTCTTAAAAGTCTAAGTTCAGATCATGATCGGGCTTGTCTTCCCGGCTCAAGGCTCACCCGAATCCGCGCATAATTCCCATCTTCGGGTGTGCGAGGTGCTGAAACTCCGGCGGCTGCCCGCAATGGAGGGTCGCAAGTTCAACGTGACGCCGGTGGACTGGGTGGCCAAGGCCAATGAAGAGTTCATATAAACCTCCTTGGCTCGTGCGGCTAGTGTGTTGCTGACATGCCGCAACAGGCAATTGCCCGGATTGCTCGGCCCGGCTGGCTTGAGGAAGGCTGCCTGTGCAAAGGGAACTCGGAGCGAGCAACTTCGAAGAGATGTTTCTTTTTTCTCGCAAAGTTGCCAAAGTTGCCAAAGTTGCACAGCAGGCAAGCTACCCAATGGCAGCATCTTCCACCCGGCCGCGCCACGGGCCCAGAGATGGGGTTTAACAACAAGCATAAAAAAGAAAGCAAGACACCAAGTCACCAAGTCCTAGGTGTACCGGACTCTTGGCATCTTGCAGAGGCTCAGGCAAAGCAGCGCACGCGCCCTTGAAAGGCCAAACAACGCAATCACCACCGACGTGTTGGCCGCTGTGCTGAAACGCTTCGGGTGCGCCGCTGGAATGACGCTGACAGTTGGGGGCACTTCAGGAGTTCGAGAGCTTTTTGCTTCAACTCTTGATTTTTTTCCTGATCCTTCATCCCGCTATGTGCCGAGTAACCGCGAGTAGCAATGAGCCGCCATGTGTGGCCACGGCAAACTTGTAGCTAGTGAAGCTAGGGACTTCGGCAAGCATCGGGAGCCAATGGAACCGAACAAGTTCGCTTGGTGTGATGTGTGATGCGTGACATTTACTAGTACAGTCGTCTGGACGGTAATCTGTCAACGAAGCGCGAGAGGTACAGAGATCTCGAGTTCATGGATTTTGCTCTTGCCTGAGTCGATGCCGATGATGCGTGTCGGGCCCGTGAGGAATAGCAGCACTGATTAACAGCTGGTGCGGCAGATTTCGCACGAGAGCTTAGTGGTAGTTGGCTGCGTTCTCCTGTCTGAAGCAGAGTTGCCATGATCTGACAAGGTCGAGTGGCGCGACTCGATCGTTTCGTCTCCTCTGGACCTGCCAAAGCGTGTTGTGCAAAAGCATGCGCGTTTCGCGCATCCACATATGCACACTCGTTTATTTAGCGAATTCATTTATTGCCTTATTGCCCCCCCCCCCCCCCCCCGCCCCCCCTAAGAGGACTTCAAGAGCTGGTCCTTTTGTGCCGCTCTGAGCGTCGAGGCGGGGAGACGGAGGGAGTGAGGACGCTGTGTCTGTGTGCGCAACAGAGAGGAACTCCTGTTCTGTTTTGTTTTGTCGAATATCACGCTCCCAGAGCGGGCGAGTTTTTTTGCAATTTTTTGCTCTCGTGTGACCAACAGGGGGATGGCATCGATTCAATGGCTGTGACGACTCTGGGTGCGAAGGCAATTCGGGATGCAGTTGGCGAGGCCGGGCACGACACGACCAAGCTGGTGCGATTCTTAGTGCAGTTCTTCCTCGGACCTCAACTGATTGCATTGGCGCGAGGCCTTCGACCAGTACAACCCAGCTGCAAGTTTGGAGAGTATGCTGCGTTGGTACACTTCACAAGGAACGCCGCTGTGTTAGCCTCGCTTTCTCCTCGAGAGGGCATCGAAGCATTGCCCCGTTGCAGGCCTCCTTCGATCACCCGAGTCACTGTCGGCACCTTCGCCGGACGATGTTTGAGAGGGCTTCCGCGCGGTTTCCCTTGGATCGACTTTGTGCTTCGTTCGGTCATAGCACAAGTTGTCATTGTGGTCTGAGGTCCGAGTGTGCATGTTGCATGTAACTTGGGTTTACGATAAAGGTGGTGTGCAAGAGGATGATTTAGCGTGTTTAGGCTGCAAAGCAGCACGGAACACGCAGGCTTATCGGCTCTGATCTGACATCTCTGCCAGATAATTTGGCTTGCGGAGCTGTTGGGCAGATGCACGTGGCTGATTGGGCCAGTGGATCGGTTTTGAGAGATCTCAAAATGCAAAAAAATATTCGAAGAGTGATGCAGGTCTCGGAACACAGTTCTGCTTTGAAGACATGGGGGCGGGGGGTGGGCATGATGCCTTCCACAGTTTCAAGCATGCTCAAGGAGAGCGCTTAAACTTCAAACTCTCGGACAAACACATGAGCAAGCAGCTGCTGGCAACACTAGCAGACGATGCAAGGCACACTTGAAGCTTGAGCCCCCGAACATTTGCCCCAAGTCATGTCAATCCTACTCGCCGTGCTGGCTGTGCTTGCTTTGTGAGCCCGGCTGAGTTCCGTACCACAGCAGCTCGGAAATGTAGCACGTAAGCACGTAGTCTGAGCTGTGATGTCCTGCCAGATTATTGCTGATGCTGCGGCTCTTTGCAGCAGATGTGCTGCGCTGAGCGCGGAACCTCCGCGTATTTGGCCCTGTCATGCCAAGCTTCTTGAGAGGTCTATGACATAGTTATCGTCTGGATGACAGCCCGGTGGTACCAGGCAGATCGCATCGCCCCTTGTGATTCAGAAGCGGGTGCAAGCAAGCGCTTGCTGTTTCTGACGGTGCGGTAGGCCGTCTTCAAGCGGCTGAACAGCGGCGACCGCATCCTGGACGTGGGCCTTGGTGTGTGATAATAAGCCAAATAAGCACAAAAGCACTTCCACAGACTTGACCACGCCATTGTGAGACGACGAAGTGCCCCCACTAAGAACCGAGGTGGGCATTGGCACAGCGTCAGCCCTTGCCCGGAACAAGGTGTCGCTAAGTAGCCGTGTAGCATCAATGCAGTAGTCACTAGTCAGTGTGCATACGGGTAATGTTTCACGCTAGTGTCACATGTGTCACAGCGTAACGGTATTGCGTCACGGCAGTAACTTGATGTTCTGATGGAAGAGTGGTGATACGTGGTGATACGTGGTAATGTATGCCGCAGGCCGAGATGCTGGACCGGCGCCTCTCTGTCGTCGGGATCGATTACGAGGTGTGCAGAGCCGCAGAGCGTTGTAGAGAGCACTGTAGAGCACCGAAAAGAGCAGAGACGGCTGCTGTGGCAGTTGGTTTGGAGTGCAGGCAGCGTATGTTCGCAAGGCCGAGGCCTGCGGTCTGCGCACCGCTTTTTCGCCTTGGCTGTCCTTCTCTTTGTTTCCACTTAAGCTCCGAGACTCTACCCTCGTACTTCTCAAGATTTCTCAAGATTCTCCTCACTTCTCCTCTCGCTTCTCTCCTCTCATTTCTCCTCTTTCAGACTTGTTCATATGGTTGCACGGGACTTCTTGGCCGACAGTTTTGAGCTACTCCTCTCGCTTCTCCAGTCTCCTTTGTGAGGCCGTGCTGAAGGCCGAGGAGCTTTGGCGGCCGGCGCCTGCGGGCACCAAGGGCTACAGAGAAGGAGAGCTCCACTCTGAGCGCAGTTTTCTCGCAAGGGGTGTCGACTTGTGTGTCCACATGTGTCAGAACCGTCCCAACAGTCATCCCAGCTTTCATTCCACAGTCAGGTTCTATTGTGCAGACCTAAGTCCGTGGAGTCGTGGCGTGACAGTGACAGCCCCTGGAATGACAGCGTCAAGTCTCTTGCAGAGGTCACGTGCTGCAGCGCTCCATCTACGACGACCTGTCAGACCTTTGCTTCCAGGCAAGTGAACGCAAGTGAATGTGCAGTGAAAGCAGAGTCGGCTGTCGGGTTTGCGCGTGCCACACGGAAAAGGTGGGTGATCAGCCATTTACGGGAGAGATTCCAAAAATCATCCCGGAGGCATCGCAAGGGGCGTGGGCAGTCGTGCGGATGACAACTGTCCGAGCTTTCTTTGGGAGGAGTTGCGCTTTGATGCAGTATACTTCTCCGGCTCTTACTCCGCCAGTATCCCAGAGAGCTCTTTGAGCTTAGAGGCTCTGAGAGTCTCGAGTCAACGAGGTCTTGCCTGATCCGCCAGCGGCTCTCAGAGCAGGCGAGAAAAGCACTCCGCTTTCTCCACTCCGCTGTGTTGCTCCGCTGCTGGGATGTGCTCTCTCGACATTCCTCGACGCCGTGACTGCCTGACATCTGCGCTGACTCCATCTTCTTACTCCCCCCTCCCCCCTCCCCCCTTGCCCCCTTCCTCTGCTCGGCTCGCCTCTCAGCACCCTCCTCTCAGTTCTACCGCTTATGAAGAGCGACGGCCGGGTCTTCATTACACAGCCCAGAGCCAAGTCAGCGACACGGTTCTGTTGCGTTGGGGGCGATTTGTTCCTGTGTGCAAAGTCAGGACATTCCAGAAGGCACACTCGCCGATGATGGCATTCTTCAAGCCACTGCCGCCCTGTCACCTTCGAGTTCTTTTCGAGCATTGCGGCCTGCGTTGCCGCGCAGCTTCGCACATGCTTAGAGTCATAACTTCACACTTCACATGACTTGCCAGGCTCAAGTACATTACCACCATAGACTTTGGCCAGCTCGTCACAGAGGTGCCACCCCTCTCTCGCGCAACACTAAGACTAGCCGAGTCACTAGCCGCACAGCCAAGAGCCAAGAGCCAACGGACAACCTTGGACAACCACCATGAACACTCCATCTGACACTTCTCACAGGTGGAACTTGAAGGACTCATCTCAAGCGCCGGAGGCTTCGAAGTGCTGGAGCCTGTGGCCCAGTATTGTCGCAAGGTCGCACAGACTCAGAGCAGGCTTCCCACATCTTCCCGCATCTTCCCAAAACCAAGGAACAAGCCCATTCCTGGCTCCATTGACACGCGGATGCAGACTGCTCGGCTCGTGATACTCAAGAAGGCGCGCGCTCGCTTTGCTCTCGCAGCACCAATATAACTACCATGTCGCTACTATTTGACTGATTTGACTGTGCCCCACCCTTTCTGCAGGCGTAGAAGACCTCGATTGCCACGCTTGCGGGGAAAGATGTGTCAGATGTGACATGTGCTCGTTCAGAGGTGCCAAAGAGCAGCAGAGCAGCACAGGCAGCACAGGCAGCACATGCTACTCCGGAGCCCGGTCGCCAATCGCCAGCAGTTGGCTCAGAGAAAGCCAGCATGGCGCCAGCGTGGCCACTCGTTGAGCCTCCAAAGTTCACTTACGTCCCAGACGGCTCGAGACCCTTAGGCCCAGCAGCTCCAAGCCTATACTAATCTATACTAATCTATACTATCCTATAGCTCACCATGGCAGAGATTTGCAGCGATGGGGGCCTCTTCGCCAAGGGCGGAGGCGCTGTTGCTTGGAATGCGACGAACCGCGGAGAACTGCGAAGAACTGGTCTGCGAGGCTTCAACGACTGCTACGTCCATGTCGTTCTTGAGGCATGCCCTCATTGCCCTCCTCAAAAGCCCCCGAAGGGTTGCCCTACCGACGTATGGCTCTGACTTTGTATGAACATGTGTGAACGTGATTGAACGTGGTGTGTTGCTTTGGGGTGGATCAGGCCACCATTGCCGGGCTGGCATTCATCGGCGTTGCCGCGGGATTGGTCATCATTCGCGACCTTCCTAGGCCCGCCCCGTGTGAGGTAATGCTGAGGGCGCTGCTGGAGAGTCCAACGTTAAGCGGGGAGCTCCAAATAGATCTCGACAGCACCAAGGCTGAGGGTTCAGAACATGACCCCTATGGATACCTGTCGTGGAGCTTGCTGTGGCGTGCTTGTTCTGGTGCGGTGCCCCAGCCCAGGAAGCTGTGTACCTGTGTTTTATTTGGCCGCTTGAATCTCTCGCTGGATCAGGTCGGATTGGCAGAGTTTGCCGTCGGGTTGAGCGCTATCGAAGCCCGGCACTCTGTTTGCATCGACGTCAGAGTCCTCCCTTCCTCCCCTGCTGCTTCCATTCTTACACGTTCTGTCTCGCAGGGCGGTAGCTCCCAGCAGTCTGAGGGGAGTCTGAAGAGAGTGAACTGAGTCAACTGAGGCTGAAAAATATTCAAGAGAGCGTTGAGGTTGATGAGTCGGTGTAGGGGAGAATTAGGGGAGTGTTGAGAAGTGTTGATATGTGAGTCAGAATGAGTCAGAAGTGTCAGTTGATTGAGAGAGCTTCCCCTTCACAGCTCAGGTCACCGGCGTGAACGTTTCCCAGGGCATCGGTGGCGCCTGCCTCGCAGCGGCTGCTCGGGCCTCGGAGGGAGTCCTAAACAGAGAGAGAGATGCGAGATATCCCGGATATCCCTCTGTTTCGGGGGGCTCTCTGTTGAGGCAATATGCTCTTATCGATACGCACGTAGAGGGCACCTCTTTTTGTGGAGCTAAGCAGCAGCCTCTTCTGCGATTCGTAAAGAACCGTAGAAGCTTCTTAATGTTCTTACTTAATATCCATTAATGAGAACCCTCTGTCAAGTATTCTTTGCTTCGCTGTGTCAGCAGCAGTGCGGAAGCAGCGGTGCGAGCAAGGCCCTTGTGGTGGCTTTCTGGCAGCAGCAGGCGACGAGACATGTGTGTGGAATGTGGGAGAGTCGGCTCTCGCGACCTTCACTTCAATTGAGTCTTCTGTCCGTGAGGAAGTCAAGCGTGGCCTGACGGAGAGTCTTGGCCTGAAGCTCTGGTGGGTGCTGGCCACACTGGCACAGGCCTTGGAGCAGGGTCCCGGGCCCCACAAAAAGAGATGAACGGGACGCGGTCGGAGGCACCACCAACAATTAACAAGTCGCCAGCGCTCCACGAACTTGACCAAATAGGTCGCGCCAAAACATAACTCAAATAGATCGCGCCAACACAGCTCTTTGAACTTCACCAATAGCTCGCGCCAAAACAGCTCTTTGACCTACGGGTGCAGCACGGGTACCCGGCGGGTCTTGTTGAACTCGACCAAACAGCTCAGCTCTTTGAATTTGACCAAATAGCTCGCGCCAAAACGGCTTGTTGAACTGCTCGCGTCTGTGAACTTGCACAAATAGCTCGCGCCAAAGCAGCTGGTTGAACTTGACCAAATAGGTCGCGCCAACACAGCTCTTTGAACTCGACCAAATACTCGTAGCTTGCACCAAAACGGCTTGTTGAACTCGACCAAATAGCTCATGCCAAGCAGCGATTTGAACTCGACCGAATAGCTCGCGCCAAATCGGCCAACTAGCTCGCGCCACGACAGCTGTTTGAACTTGACCAAATAGCTCGCGTCACAACAGCTCTTTGAACTCGACCAAATAGCTCGCGTTAAGGCAGCTCTTTGAACTCGACCAAGTAGCTCGCGCCAAAGCAGCTCTGTGAACTCTGCCCAAATAGCTGGCGCCAAAACAGAGAACTCGACCGGATAGCTTGCGCCAAATCGGCTTGTTGAACTCGACCAAATAGCTCGCGCCAAAAGAGCTCTTTGAACTCGACCAATTAGCTCGCAGGTGTTTGAACCCGACCAAGTAGCTCGCGTCAAAGCAGCTCTTTGAACTCGACCGAATAGCACGCGCCAAGACAACTCGTTGAACTTGACCGAACAGCTCGCGCCAAGACAGCTTTTGAACTTGACCAAGTAGCTCGCGCCAAGACAGCTGCTTGAATTGCAATGCTGGGATGATCACGTGGAGGTGATCACCACCTACGACCGTGCTTCCAAACCAGGTGCGGCCGGAGGCTTGGAGGTGACGAGAGAAGACGCTGGAAACACTGGAGTCTGTCAGAGAAATGCTGTGCCTGTACTGACATGAAGCATGGTTAGTTAGTTAAGGTTCGTGACAGTGAATTGATGTAAGGAATGCATTGCACTGTTTACGTTTCGATTGGTTTAAGGTGGCCCTGGCCTTGAAAGTCTCGGAGCTCCTGCTCTGCGTGGCAGCCACCGCGGTGACTTTGGCTACAATTGAGGGGAGGAGGTGGAACGGTCATTCACTGATCGTCATGATTCAGGTCGAGTCATAGCACAACAGTACAACATCCTGCAAGCTCATCTTGAGGGCCGGCATAATTAAAGGCCGAAATTATCCCAAGTGATTAAATGCGGCCCAAATGGGCCTTTTAAGGCCCAAGGCGAGCTCAAGGAGCCTCAAGCTACAACCCGATCAAGAGAACAAGCTGCAACAAGAAGTAGGTGGCTCCAGCATCTGAGACACAAGACGGCGACAACTCCAAAAAGGAGGAGCAGTCAAAGCCCTTATCTGAAAACTACAAATTGAAAAGCTCAGAATGCATGAGTGGTTCAACAGGCGTGCGCATCTCTCATTTGGTGAGGCTTACCTGGTGCCCTCTGGACGCCGTGGCTCCACCAGAGAGCCGCCATTGCTCAGCGAGGCGCAATCCCTTAAAGCCGAGCCCCGAAGTCCCCTCAGAGTCCCCTCCCTCTTGTGAAGACTTTTGCGAGAAGTTTTGACTAGTAATAGTGACACTACATTTTCTGGCCGAGTGCCCTGACAGATGTCGGATTGCCCAGCCATGCCCAGCCACGCCCAGCCATGTCTCTTTAGTTTTCTAGCCATGCGGTGAGCACCACTGCGATACCAAGTCTTCAGCTGCTCTGCACTGCTAGGAGGATGGGATTTCAATGGTTGGCGGCGGGGGACGTTTTGCCGGGCACTCGTTATGTTGCACCTTGCAAATCGCGCGAATACTCTCGCAGTCCGACAGATCCGACAATCTTCCCTGAAGGCGCGATCCCTCAGCACGCGCGAACCTTCTCCTGAGGCTCGGACCTTCAGTTACCTTCAGTTGAGATGCCATGTATGACGCCACATGACGCAGGACCAAGTGGGCATCATCGGATGGCTCGTGGCAACCTCGGGCAGAGGGCAGCAGTGAACTTCAGTGAACCGAATGGAGATACGAAGGGTCCGAAGGGTTGCAGACTCTTGCACTCTAGGACTCTAGGAGAGTGCTCTCAGAGAGCGGAGGCCTTCAGCTGGTTCACGCCCATTGTGGACCTTGCCTTTCAGCGTGACAAGGTGTTGCGCAGACTGCTTTTCGTGGGGGCATTGGGACTGTGCCCCTGAAAGGAGAGCGGGAAGCTGGAGCCCACCGACGTGTACCCCCTCACGAACAGGAGACGCGACCTGCCTCAGAACCGGAGAGGTCTTCTTTAGTTTTGTAAATGCTTGCGCGGCCCAGCGCGCGGTGCGGCGTCCGCATCGCAGACGAAAGAAAGCCAAGTCCTATGTCAACTTGGTGCCGCACTGCCACAGAGCGGGGTTTGAAGGGGGCCCAGGATCCCACAAACGGTTCTGGGGTGTACAGTAGGAATGCGGGTGTAGCATTCCACCCGGCCGGATACTCCTCCAGGCAGTTCAGGCCGCACAGCATTTCCCGCTGGGGTGGGGTTGGGAAGGGGGGGAGGAAACCAGATCCTTATCTGCTTGTTCTAGAGGCTGTCGCCGGAAGCCGAGGTGAATTAGTTGCTGTGAGGACGTTGAGAATGCTGTTGCTTCACTGCCTTTGCGCGCGGCATCGCGGCAGGAACGTGGCCCACAGGCAGCTGGAACGTTTGGACCAACAGTGGCAGGCAACGTGCTCATAGTGCGACGCACGGCCCTGGAGTCTTGTTCAGCGGGAGGTGGAGCTGCAGAAAGAGAAGCCGGCTCTTCTGTCCGCGATGAGAAGAGCTTTCTTTGGGGAGGCCACTCAAAGCTGGGCAAAAAGAACACAGCCTGACACAGCATGGGCAAGGTCTTCAGCACTGCCTGGGTCAAGTTCCTGAACGACGTCCTCCACTTTGCCTCCGACTTACTACCGAATCGTTACGACATTGCACGTTCTGAAACATGAACTCCACGGCAGGGTGTCCCCTACTCACTTCGAGTCATTGCTCCCCTTCGCGCGTTGTAGCTCTTCGTTGAGGTCGGGCCTTTCCTCTTGAACAAGCCCGGCCCTCACCACAATCCAGTGATGTGCACAGCAATTCTAGAAGGCGAAGCGCCTTGTTCTTTGGTCTCTTTACTCGTACTCGCCCGTCAGGATCATTAATTTCGTGAAAGGCACGGGCGAGGAAGCTGGAGAGGAGCAGGGCTTCACTCGCCTTGCTCGCCTTCTGAGCGCTTCTGTACCTCTGACAGTTTACAGCTCGCTGCGCGGAGGAGCAGTGGGTTGGATATATGTACGCGATCGGAATGGTCCTTTCGTCGGCGTTCCAGGCTGCCTGTGAGCCAAACCAATTGGTTTGGCGGAACTATGCAGTTCATGAGAGATTCATCGGGGAGGCTTTCCTCATGGCCCACTACTTCCAGGGTGGCTACCAGTCAGCCCAGAGAATGTGCGAACGCATTCAGAGAGCGATCCTCAGACTACTCAGGACCGGGATGCGCTTGCGCACGGCCCTAATCCTCATGTCCTACAGCAAGGCGCCTGTTTCGCAAAGAGTACTCCGCTGTCATCATTGCTCTCCTGAAGCTGTTTTATACCTTTTTTCGAGGCTCTGCGCGTTCTCCCTTGGCCGGTTCCACCACCACCTGAAGAAAGTGCACCAGCCTGGGGCTTAGGGCCTTAGGGCCCTTAGGGCCCTTAGGGCCCTTCGGGCCCTCAGGGCCCTTAGGGGCTTGGGGGTGAAAGTCGCCAACTCCAGAGTCCGTTTCCACTTCAGCATCCACTTAAGCCCAACTCAGGCTGAGCCAGAGACACGTCGATGCTGCAAGAAGACGTCTCGTGCTCATGTAGACTCATGTAGACTGGCACCAGACTGGCGCAATGTCCGCCTTTTGAAAGTCTTAGGCCCAAGAAGAAGCCGAGCCTACCAACCGGCGGTATGGGGCGGGGATGGGGTATGCCGCCATGACCGCTGTGACGTGTCTTGCAAGTGTTGCGCATTGAATTGTGCACATGGGACCTTCAGAGGCAGATGACAAACATCATTTCGGCTGACACGGAGCCGTGCTCAGTCACAATAAGCCTTTCCCTCTGCACTTTTTGCCATTCTTCTCCAGATGTCAAACTCTTGGAACAATCGCCAGGACAAGTTCACCTTTCTCATGCCGTACTTCAACCTTATCTGGTCTTGTCCGCTACAGGCCGATTCACGCTGTGCTTGATGTGGGTCGTCCTGAGCTTGCAGCACAGCTCAGTGTGCGACATTGGCAGATCATCATCTGCTTCATCATGCTCTTCAACTATGTGAGTTGGTCGCTCTTTGCTGGTGTGGTCGCAGCTCGGCCAACACACATGTTGGATGAAGTTGTGCATGGAATTTGCTCTTAGTCTATATTTCTATAGACGCCTACTTCTTTGAGGTGATGATTGCGTTCACCATCCTTTCAAGCACTGTGGCCGGCAAGGCCTCGCCCTTAGTGCGTGTGAGCAACGAGAAATGAAGGCACCGGAAAACAAAACATCAGAGCCATCAGAGCCATCAGAGTCGGAATCAGAATGAGACGAATGAGACTGACATCGAAGAGAAACATCGAGTCGAGGCCCGGAAGATCCAGCAGGAGGCGATGAAGGCCAAGGACGAGAGGTTGAAGATGGAGGTGGAGCTCCTGAAGCCCCGGCCTGAGAGAACTCCTCAGGATTCCGCAGGTCCTCATCCTGAGAACCATTGAGAACCTCAAGAACTCCAAACAGATATCCCGTCTCCACGATAGTATAGACTACAGAAAGTTTCAAGAGACATCTCATCCTTGAAGCTCGTACGAACGAGCGTGAAAGTTGTATGGAGTCGAATCGGACACGACCAGAAGCGCGTTTATGAGTTTAGCGATGACGAACCCCCAGCACAGGAGCAACGCAGTTCCCTGTCAGCACTGACGCGGTAGGACACTCGGGATTGCTGTTCAGGATCGTGAAGATCATCAAGTTCTACGCGTGGGAGAATGCGATCGAAGACAAAGTGACGGAGCTTCGGAACAAGGACACGATGTGAAGTGTCTGTACGTTGTCAACATTGTGAATTTCGGGCTTACCATGGCTTCCCGGCAGTGTTCGCGGTGCCAGGAGCTGGTCCTGCAGCTGCGCTACAAGCTTTGGAATGTGGCCAGGGCCTTGGGCACAACGTTTGAGCGCTCAGCACGTCGGGCATTCCGAAGTATGTGTGTGTATGTTCGTCTACGTGCGCATAGTTGCAACTGCTGTAACTCTACCAGCAAGTCCCTGAGCGAGAACTCCTCGACAGTGCGGAAGACAAGGTAAAGAAAAACTATTGGATAAGCAGCGATGCAGGCTATGCATACTTGATGTGCGAGGCTCTCTTTCTGTCCTTCTCCCTGAGCCCGGTTCTTGTTGCGCTGGGCCTCTCGACTTGCCAGCCGGGGTAGTAACGGGGGTAGCAACGGGTGGTAACTTGGGTCAAAACGTCCAAGGTCTTTTGGGTTCTCAGACTTGGCTGCTGACTAAATTTGACTAAGTAAACCCGAGGAACTTTTGCTTCCTTCACGCACGGGGCTCAGAGAAGCGACCTTCCGACGTGTTGGGGGCATCTGGCACTTAAGTGACTGACTCGTGTACAGATTTGTTGAAGGCTTGCCGAAGGGAAGAATCTTGATGCCGTCAAGGGCCGAGATGCATCTTCATCACAATTCCACTGCTAAAGCCTGTCATATCCGGATAAGCCAGGCGACCGCGTTTACCTCCTTGAGCCTCTTCAACATCTTGTCCTTCCCATTAGGCCAGACAAGAGTTCTGCGAGTTCTGCGAGTTCCGCGCTCATGACCAAGTGCGTCTTAGGCGCCATGCCCATGATGGCCCGATTCTTCATGGAGGCACGACATTCGATTTTGCGGATATTGTCTCTGTGTGTGTGTGTGTGTGTGTCTCTGTCTGTGTGTGTGTGTGTCTCTGTGTGTGCGCGTGTGTGTGTGTGTGTGTGTGTGTGTGTGTGTGTGTGTGTGTGTGTGTGTGTGTGTGTGTGTGTGTGTGTGTGTGTGTGTGTGTGTGTGTGTGTGTGTGTGTGTGTGTGTGTTGTTGTGTGTGTGTTGTTGTGTGTGTGTGTGTGTGTGTGTGTGTGTGTGTGTGTGTGTGTGTGTGTGTGTGTGTGTGTGTGTGTGTGTGTGTGTGTGTGTGTGTGTGTGTTCTTGCCTGGCTTGGTCATCGAGGCTGCTGTGGCAAAGGACCGCATTGAGGCTTTCTTGCTGAGCCCCGAGGCTACGGCCTCATGTGCTGTCAGTGAGTAACTTGAGGAGACTGTGGCTTCGCGAGCGAGTTTTCAGGTGTCGGAACGTCCTGCGCCTTCAACGAAGACAAGCAATGCTCTCGAAATCAAGACGTCTAAGCTCCAGTGGCAGGAGCCTTGAGGGAGACCCCCTTGAAATTTTGAAAGTTTGACAATCTTTGAAAGGAAGAACAATCTGAGAAACACTCCGGGCGCTTCATTTGAATCCCAAGGCCGGACAAGTCGCTCCTTCTGGAGGAGGCCACACTTGATATTGATATGGGGGCTTCTTATGAATTCTGTGTTCTATGTGACGGGCTTTCGCTTCGGAGAGCTAGGTGGACATCTCTGTCACGAAGGGCGAGATGCTGGTCATTGTTGGCAAGACAGGCGCGTGCGAATGCAAAGGGGCGAGGGAAAGAATTAGAGGAAAATAGCGGGAACCGACGGGGAAGGAGTGAAACGGATTGAAATTGACTGACATGGAGTGACATGGAGTGAAGGGTTGCGAAGGGAGTTTCTGCATTTTCCACATTTGCCGCGCTTCCAGGTGTCGGCAAGTCTGGGCCATCGCCTCAGCGGGCCACCTCAAGCTGTCAGGAAAAGAGTCAAGAAAAGAGTCTTAAGAAAAAGTCAACGCAGCGTCGGCATCCAAAGAGGTCTCGAGGTCTCAGAGCGACAGCCCGCGAGGCTTTTGTATGCGCTTCTTGGAGAGCTGCCGATCGACCCCGCGGATGGCAAGCTGCAGACTTAGGCTGTTATTGCCGACCTCTCTGGGGAGGCTCCAGACCTAAACTTGCTGGGTTTATTACCGGCCTCTCTTGGGAGGCTCCAGACCCAAGCTTTCTGGGGTTCCCGCGGGCACCGTGGCAAAGAAACGACGAACTGAGATCGCTGCCGAGGACGTACCTCACGGGATCTGTCGGTTACTGTGCCCAGAGCGCATGGGCCAGCCACTGAGCGGAAGGAAAGGTTCACACTGTTCACACATCTGCGAGAGAAGGGAGGAAATGGGGGCTGGGGACGGAGGGAGATGGAGGGAGGCTGGAGACAGGAGATTTGTTTTTGTTTTGGAGAGTTGGCGTGTTCCGCCGCCCGTCCCTCTGAGATCCGCAACGCGACGCTGCGTCGCCGACTCAGCTCACCCAGGATGCCCGATGAGGACAGCAGGAGAAGGGGACAGAGTCTGGCAGACTGGAGCCGGAGCATGGCGACAGCCGTGGGTCAGCCTTACCTTAGCCGTTTCGCCGTTTCGTGCGCAGTAACCCTAGCTCAGGCGACAACATCACCAACAGCCCCTCGCTTGAAACCGACGAGCGCTACGAGGCGCCCCAACATGCCCTGAGCATTTGCTGCAACCCCCCATTCCCCCTGCAGTGTAGCTCCCCTCCCTCCCTCCCTCTCTCTCTCTCTCTCTCTCTGCTCTCTCTCTGCTCTCTCTTTCTCTCTCTTTCTCTCTCTGCTCTCTCTCTAAGCTACAGAGGCCGTGCTCGATGCCTGCGCCATGCGGGCGGACCTGGAGGCTGATCTGTGGGAGTTCAACACAGACACATGTGTTCAAACGTTTTTTTTTCCCCATGCGTCTGTGTCTGTTGTCGTATGAATCTTTGCTTTAAACAGCGCACAAGTTCCCGTGCTCTCGGTTACCGTGTCGCCGAGGTGCTGCCGGATGGTGACCAGACGAAAATCGGAGACCGCGGTATTAACCTTTCAGGCATCTGTGCTATGTACCCTACTCTGTGTACCTCTATGTGAATTCTATGTGAGTATAAGTGAGCCTGAGGGCGATTTTAAGGCGGCCTCTGCTGAGTCTGGCTGCGTAGGTGGGCAGAAGCAGCGTGTGGCCTTGGCGCGAGCCGTCTACGCGAATCCGGACCGCCGCATGTTGCACCCTTCGTCTCGTGTCGTCGGCAGACTTGCAACTTCCGAAACTCCAATGTAAAGTCTATAGAGCATCTCTACATCGAGCTAAATTCGGAGGACATCTACGTCTTGGATGTGCAGACCTCAGTTGTGTTGAATTGGCAACGAAAAGTCACGGCACAGGAGAGAGAGAGAGAGAGAGAGAGAGAGGGAGTGGGAGAGAGTGGGAGAGAGTGAGAGTGAGAGTGAGAGCGTGAGAGCGTGAGAGAGTCAGTGAGAGATATCCAACTGGCGGTGTTCTCTTCATTGTGCAGCGATGTGCTTTGCGTCTTCCTTCTCTGCATCTTTTGCATCCTCCCCTCTCTTTTTTGAGGACGTTCTTTCAGCTTTGGACTCGCATGTGGCCAGCCACATCTGCAGCAAGCTGCTGCGCGGACCGCTGATGGCCGTCAACCCAGTGAATCTGCAACAGGAAGCAGCCTGCAGCCTGCGTGAATGCTTCGACATTCGTAGTTTTTTGGCTTTGTGCATCCCAGGCTGGCAAGACAGTCGTTCTGGTTACGCCCGGGGCTCGGAAGGTAACCAGAAACACCGCAGTGGGCAATCTCTTTGGAAGCTGAGGCACTCTCCCAAGGCCGTTCCTCTTGCCAATCAGGTTGTTTGCTTGGACGGCAAGAAGGCGAAGCATGCAAATTCGATGAGTGTCTGAAACATTTCTCGAAGTGGCACGCATTGCCAAGCATGCAATTAAAAGCAACTGGCAGGTGGCCTTCAATGGAAGCTTCGAGGTTGGCTTTTTCCCTTGTAGTGTAGTTCCGTTCAGACTCTCGCAACTGGGGGGCGGACAGGGGACATGTGGGGGAACGTGGCAACTCGTGGGAACTGGGAGCAGCGAGGACTTCAAAGCCTCGAGTGCCATGAGCGAGGAGGCCATTCGGAGACCGACCAAGACCCAATTCTGACTCCACGCAAGAGAGAGGTAGAGCGAGAGAATCCGCAAGGCGAGACAGAGCCTCTCCGCATAAGGGCGCGAGAGAGGGCGAGAGTCCAGGTGATCCACGAGGATGAGGCAGAGCCTGAGGCAGAGGAGGAAGGGCCCAGCAAGGACGAGAAAGAGAAGGCCGACAAGGACAAGACGGACAAGGCCCCCGTCAACTCATCTGATAAATGCTGAATTCGACCCTGTCCTTACCAGTCAAGGGACGCCTGCAAGTTGCAGGACAAGGCAGAGAAGAGCAATGGTGCCAAGAAGCCGGAGGCCAAGAAGGCCTCATTGGGTAATGCTCACGTGCCCCATTGTGTGTGTCATGTTGTCTGGTTTTTTAGACACGAGCGAGAGAGCGAAAGAGAGTGAGAGCGAGAGAGAGAGCGAGCGAGAGAGAGAGAGAGAGAAGAGCGAACGTGAGAGAAAAGCGAGACTCTTTCTTCTCTGACTCTCTTTTTCTCTGTATAGGTCTGTAACCTGCAAATTAAGTCAGGAGTCCATGTAAGTCTTATCTTAAGGGACAGAAAGCATTTTAAACAAAACATATTGGAAGATCTGGGGACACAAGGGCAACAAGACAACATTTCACCGCACTGATACGTGTGCCTCTGCAGGAACGTTGGGAGCTGGGACTCAAAGGGCACTCGACATCCCCCAAGCACATTGAGGGGCGCATGGCACCCTGCAAATAGCCAACGGGCTGACGCAGATAGCGCCCAAAAGGCGGCGCACCCAGGGCACGAGAGACAGGGCGCGCGAAGTCCAGGCGCCGAGAGTGTCACAGTGGCAGACCCCCGAGCACCCCAACCCGCCCCATCCAACCCAGCACAGCGGCACAGCACAGCAGGGGGCACACTCGCCACCGCCGTGAGTGAAAGCTGGGGGCAAGTAAGATTTGGGGGACGCTTCCCACTCACTTCGCTGTTGGTTCGATTGTTTTTTTTTGGGGTGTGGGGGCGGTGCAAGAGAGAGCCGAGAGTGACTTGACTTCGGAAACTTTCTTCTGGAAGAAGGGGGTTAATTCAATTGGATGGGTCGTGGACAGCACTTTGGCAGGGCTAAATTCAGCCAGTCTCTCGTGGGTTGCAGGTTCCAGAAAGCGCAGGATGGGGCCCGCCTTGGTGCCGGGTCCCCCTGGCCCCAAGGAAGAAAGAAAGAATGGAAGAAAGAAAAGAAAAGAACAGAAAAGAAAAGAACAGAAAAGAAAAGAAAACAACGAAATGAAAGAACAAGAAAGAAACCAAAGAAATGAGGGAAAGAAAAGGGATAAATCAAGAAAGCAACGAAAGAACGAAGGCAAGGAAGAAAGAAAGACAGAAAGAAAGAAGGGAAAGAGAGAGAAGAGAGAGAAGAGAGGGAAGAGAGAGACGAAAGCGAGAACAGAAATAGGAAGAGAGAGCGAGAGAAAGAAAGACAGAGAAAAACATCGAGAGAGAGAAAGAGAGCGAGAGAGACCCCCCTTGCGGCAGGCTGCGGCGCCGGCGCACGAGGAGAGATGCTCCCGGGGCACCAGGGGCCAAAAGAGAAAAAGAGAGAGAGAGAGAGAGAACCTCTGACAGAGAGAACAGTCTCTGTGAGAACACTTGTTCGGTGTAATCTCCCTGTGACCGTGTACGCTAAAGAAGCAAATGCTCCCTCAATTTCTGAGAGAGCTCGATGACTCAAGACCGCGCGGCTCTGATGCTGTGTCACGCCTTGTCGCCGCCGTCTCTCGACACGGAGAGGAGAGGCGCAGCGGGGCAGTCTCGTGGCATGTCTACTCAGCGCCTGGGCGCCGAGTCGCCAACAGCGCACCTGCGACAGTGCCTCGGGAGTGCCTCGGTCCTCGATACTTAGGTATGCCAAAGCTTGTGGTGGCGTTCCAGCCGTGGGACCGGAGCTCAGAAGGTGAGCTTCGGAGATCAGATGAACAGCGAAACACGGCGTGCTTTGAGCGCTCTGCGCTTGGCTGCGCTTTGCTGGGAGAGAAGGCGCCTTCCTCTGCGCAGTGGCCATCTCCGAGGCTCTGGAGGGCGGGGTTGTCTGATGTGTGTGCTGGTGACAGTGTAGATAAGCGTTGCAAAATGTCCATGGGTCCACAAAGCAAGACTCTCTAAAATGCAAACCTTTGTTTGATCCTTCGTTTTGGCGCCGCTGAAATGCCGCTGAAATAGGGCTGCTTTCTCAGGGCTCCCGGAACTTCAGCGACGCTTGGCTGGCACACTGGAGCGGTACCGGGGGCAGTGCCAGTGGCCTTGGGACCTACGCTCTGGCGGCTCTCATTTGCTTAGCTCCTCGACTCGAGAGAATGGCAGTGCCTGGCAGAGTTTCCCTTTTGTTTGCTTTCACGATGCCTCAGCATGACCTCACTTCTCAGGTTACTGGCGTCACTTACTCTACGTGCCGCGTGCTGGTTGGTCAGCGTGGGCCGGACACCCGGAGCCCATTCCAACTGTGGCTCATCGTAGAAAAGGTGCTGTTTCTCTTATGCTGGGCGCGTACTGGCATTTTTGGCAATGTTTCCTGGGCTTTGTGGCATGTGACTTACGCGAGTCATGCCGAGCTGTGTTTGATATGTCGTTTGACGTTGATGCCCTTACTGTAGCATGTCAGGTCGCGTGTGCTGCATGAGCGGTGCTTGCATGCACTTCTGAGAGCGCACATGCCCGCATCCGAGATCAGTTGGGGAGTTGTGATTGCATTCGCTTTTGCTTGTGCTGCTGCTGGTGCTTTAGCTCATGCTTGCTGCTTTTTGGCTGACCAGGTCTTTTTTTGACTTGACGCCCAACGGCCAGATTCTCAACCGCCTAGCCGAGGACCTCTACGGGCCTCCAATCGCGCGGCTGACAACGTAACATATTGTTGTAAAATGTAAAACTTAACGCTTCCGCAGCCTTCACTCGGAAGCTGCGACATCAGCTGAATGCCACGAGAGGACACCAACATCTTGGATTACAACCTGCCGCAGACGAGCCTCAACAGAAAGGGCACTGTTCACGTTAATGTGTCAATGTGTGATCTACAGTATGGCACCGTATGGCACCGTATGGCACCGTATGGCACCGTATGGCACAGTAGCAAGTGACTTGAGTGGCCAGGATGTCTGCAAACATCATTTGGCATCTCAGCTGCACGTCTGTGGTCGCAATGTGAGCGTGCGTGTGTGTGAGAGTGTGCGCGCGCGCGCCGCAGCTGCCTGAGCTGCATTGAAGCCGCGGCCTGGGTTCCCTACTAGCAATATTGAGTAAGGTTCTGGCGTGCAGCTTCGATCGTGGTGGTTCTGGCCTTTCAACAATTCCATCCCAGAGCTTTCCTATGCTCTGTGTGAGATGAAGTGAGGTGTGCATGCTGGTGGGATGGCCCAGCTCCCAGATCCACCACAGACCCGGCATCTGACAAAATCTGAATCTGACGGTTGGCAGGTACTTAATCATCCTCATCGTGCCCATGTTTCTGCTTTACGCGCGTCTTGCCAAGAGGCCTGTGTGTAGTCCGTCGGAGTGCGTCAGAAACTGGGGTGGCAGCCACCGGGTGGCTGTGATTGCGCTGCAGGTATCTCCCGGCCACGCGCGACTTGCGACGTCTTGACGCAGTCCACCCTGGCGAACATTGGCGAACTTCTGAAATATGAAATAGTCTTACTTGGCCGATCGTGATGGCTGGCCAGGCAGCGAGGAGCCCCATCTTCAGTCATTTCTCGGAGTCCATGCAGGGTGTCTCCACTATCCGCGCCATGCAGCAACAGGACATCTCAGTACTCCCAGTGCACATGCAGCACAAACAAAAACATACCATGATGGACCACTTGGGTCCCAGGAAAGGGCATTGCACACCAACGTCAGCAGGCCTGGTCCCTCGCATTATCTGTAGACTGCTTCGCGTTGTTTTGGCTGTTGGTCTTCGTATTTTTGAGGCTGGAAAGCCAGATGGAAGCCTACTACCTAAGCAACACGGCGGCCGCTTGGCCTAGTGTTAGCATGTCACCAAGTCACCTTGATTGTCAGTTTCCTGCATGTTACTTCTACAAGGCTCGATGGCTGAGTCTGCGCCTCCAGTTCAATGGCACCATTCTGGTCAGGTCCTCAAGGCAGCAAGGCTTCCTAATTGTGACGTACTGCGACGTAAAAATGAGTCACAGAGCGGTTCTCAAAGTTACTCCTTCAACTGGTCTTGGGGTCTTACTCTTTGAGCTTGTCGGTGGCCCAGGTGGGTGCAGTGAGCATCCTGGGCAGCTTGGCTGACGACTGTTGTTTGTCACGCAGACGAAGCCCTCTAACTAAACCTTGTCAGGGAGAGACAGCAACTTTTTGAGACTGTCAATGACAGTCCACATCTACACCTTAGCACGGCTTGGTTATCCCCATAGGCCCATAGTAAAGTGGGTCAGTTTTTGTTTTTTCTTGCGGCAGAGGTATCTTTCTTGCCACGAACAAGCAGGCCCGTCAGAGACCATCCGGGGGTCACCATCGGAGAGACCATCGGAGGGACCTTCCCCTGAATCTTAAACCTCGGCCGAGCTCTGTCAGGTGTCTGCGGGCCTCGTGGGATTGGCCATCACCTACGCGCTACGCCTCACGGATACCTTGAACCAGGCAACGATGCGCGCGGGCCGTTTTTTGGACCTCTTGTGAGACTTGCGATGATTGCGATGTGAGGTGAATCGCGAATCTGCGGACAGGACAGGCTTATTGCCAGGGAACCAGGACAACTGCCATTGCAATTGCCATTCTGCAAACTCAGGGAGACGCAGATGGTATCCGTGGAGCGCGTGCAAAACTACGTCACAAACGTCAAGCAGGACAGGTCTAGCTGAAGCGGCTCAAGCTCAGCTCAAGCAGCTGAATGCTTTCAG